TCTTTAAAGAGTTAGATTGGACAAGCAAGGGAATAATAATCGATGGAGAAAGGCTAAACAACCTGCGATTTGCCGACGATATCGCACTGATCAGTGATAGCATTGAAGATATGATTGATATGGTAGACCAACTACAACGTGAATCAGCAAAAGTAGGGTTAAAAATGAATTTGTCAAAAACGAAAATCATGACGAACATTGAAAATGCGAAAAATCACGTCCTACCTGTAGAATTGGTCGACCACTACATCTATCTAGGCCACAAAATCACTCTGAATTCTGAGAATCAGGTTGCGGAAGTAGGAAGGCGCATCGGACAAGCTTGGGCGGCATTCGGGGTAAACAGCCATGTTCTACGCTCCAAGAAAATTGCTCAACACCTAAAGACCAAGGTGTTCAACCAGTGTGTACTGCCGGTCTTCGTGTATGGGATGGAGACCACGACGCTGACAGAAAAGTCTGCTGAGAGACTCCGAGTCGCACAACGAGCAATGGAAAGACAGATGCTTGGCGTCTCCCTACAAGATCACAAAACGAACGAGTGGATCAGAGAAAAGACGAGGATCAGCGACGTGGTGGAAGAGATAGAGAGCCGTAAATGGAGATGGGCAGGACACATTGCACGGATGAACCAGAAAATTGATATCTTCATTTTAATTATTTTAATTTTCATACAAATCGGATTTTATAAAATTTATTTTGTATGAAAATTAAAAAAATTAAAATGATGATATCAAAATTCTGACTTCACCATACTATTTATATGCGTATGTTAACATGGGCTAGTGTCGGCTCATATACCCATTTACCTAACACTCTGTATATCATAAATATCCTTGATATACACCGTGTTACTTTGCATTCTTGCCATATTCACAGAGATAAAAGTAGGGAACAATACCTAATATTTAAGATAAACAAGAGACTCCCATAAATAAAGAACACTAAGATTTTAGTAAATTTGGTTTTTCAGTACAAATTGGAATAAACCAATTTTGTCTCGCACGTTCTACAGGTGCAAGTGGAATAAACCTAGTGGGCGTGGCCTAGTTCTTAATAATCTGTTGTTTTATGGCTCTGGGTACCAGCCTTTTTATCCAGTCATAATAATTATTTTGAAATACTCTTTAGTTGATTTCGATTTTCCTTTCTACTTTACGGGCTTAGGACCGTCAAAAATACGTGATAATTATTAGGGTTTTAATTAATTTATAACATTGTACCCTATTTTTACAAATTAATAAATTAAGTATGAAATGAAATCAACTTATTCACAATTAATTATTTATTTATAAGTTCCTACTTACAAAGTTTACGTACTGCGAAGCAAGTGTTCAAAGTGTTCTCCGTTCTGATGAAAGCACAGTCTAGCACGGCGAAGCGTAGGTTTTTCGCTTTAGTTTTCGCAACACATAAACGTTTTGTGTCACAGTTTCACTAAAACAATCCTTTCATGTAACGCGTTTACACTGTTAATATCTCTTCTGCGCATACCAGTCGTTTCAAGTCACTTCAAAAATCCATTGGTGTCAGGTCCGAGGATCGTGGTGGCCAAGCTACTGGACCCCTCGTCCAATCCACTGTTCACCAAAAGTATTATTTGCGTACCTGACGTCTTTATTGTGGGGGAGCACCATCCTGCTGGTAGTAGGGCATTTGGTGTAACGCTAAGGGTACGTTATCAAGCATTTCGTCTAAGACGTCTTGCAGACACTCCAAGCACCATTTTGATTAAATTATTCGTTGTTTGAATACACTTTAGTCATTTTTGTATTATTTATAACGTGATTTGTGATTGATGGATTTCTCGGTTATTTAAAAGTGTCAAAAAGACATTTTAAAGACAATAGATTGCAAATAGATATTTAAAAATACAATAAAAAGTAAAAAAGTCTCCATCGCCATCGCCAACAAGTGATGTGCATGCGTTACGATAATTAGTGGTGTGTTTAACAGGTTGTCGATAAAATAAAATACTCAAGATAAAAAAAAATTTTTTTTCGGGCATTATTTTTTTACGGATTTGTGTTCAGTATCAGTAATATAGTAACCTCTGTAAATATGGCAAGAATGCAAAGTAACACCCTGTATATCAGATATACACCACTAAATTTTTATCACCGAAAAAAAATATTCTGGATAATGAGTTATTAATACTGATCCCATTTGTGCAAAAAAAAAGTTGAATAAAGTGACTCAAAATTTCCTCCTAAAATTGGTAATTTATGGACACACGCGTCGCTAGCACTATTTACGTACGATAATTTAACACTTATTAGAATTCAAAATGGTCTAAGTTAGCTAAGTATGTAATAATAACACAGAGCCCCGATTACGGTAACTTTTAACGTTTCCAATCCAGACGCGCTTCTGATTCTGCGATACCATTGGTCAAAACAGCTGACGTACGCTGTTGAACGACCAATCGTATCGCAGAATCGAGAAGCGTGTCTGGATTGTAGACGTTAAAAATTACCGTAATCGGGGCTCAGGAAGCGTGGTCGAGGCGTGAGCGAGATATACAGACAGATCGATGCAACGTGCGAGCGCGTACGACTACTCTAACGAGCAGCGGAGTGACAAAGCTGTGACGCGTAAAATACGGACTAAAGATTTTATGAAAAAATTAACTTTATGAAAAACATTTCTTTTTCTTTTGCTTTAAATTTTTCACACATTTCTACATAACCTGTTAAATTTTTTTCGGTGATAAAAATTTTGTGGTGTATATCTGATAAATATCGGATATTTATGATATATCGGATATACAGGGTGTTACTTTGCATTCTTGCCATATTTACAGAGGTTACTATATTACTGATACTGAACACAAATCCGTAAAAAAATAATGGCCGAAAAAAATATTTTTTAATCTTGAGTATTTTATTTTATCGACAATGTGTTAAACACACCACTAATTATCGTAACGCATGCACATCACTTGTTGGCGATGGCGATGGAGACTTTTTTACTTTTTATTGTATTTTTAAATATCTATTGCAATCTATTGTCTTTAACCCTTTCAGACCTGAATTATTTTTTTTCACCCGATCAATTTAGTAAAATTTATGCAACTAAAGTATAGTAAGGTATGTAAGAAAAAAATAATGAAAAAAATCCTAGTGTTATACTTTTCGAGAAAATGCATTTTCTTTTTATGTCTACAAATGTGGCCATCCGTCTCACGTGAAAAAAACTTATAGGATTAACAGTGTTATTGAAATAATAGAACTTACTTTTATGGAACACTTTTTAATTAGTTTTTTATAAAAAAAATCATTTTTTTATCTAAATAACAAAATTAAATATCTTCTATCANTTCGAAGTAAAACAAGCATTTTAGTTAAAATTAAAATTGTCTCTACCTGTAGCGGAGAATAATGTTGTGGCAGGCCTTTGTTCAAACGATCATAGCAAATGTTGTGATAGGGATAGAGACATGCAATTTTTAGTTTTACAAAGATAATACGATAGAGAATAATAAAAAGTAATAAAAACCACCTGTTATAGGGGCATTTTTTGGAGAAATTTATCAAATAACCAAAAAAATACGAATTTATAAGCAGATTTTTTTCAAAAAGTATCATTTTTTATTATTTGTTGGCATTTTTTGTGTATTTTATGTATTTTTTTAGTATCGCCTGTTATTTAGCATTATTACTGTTTTTATTTTATCAGAATATACCTCTTAGTTTAAAAGTTATTACGTTTTCTTTACAATAAATAATTGGAAGAAAAAAAATTCTATAAAAAAATTAAAAAAAAATCTCAAAAAATTTTTGACCTCTTTTTTGTCGATAAAAGTAGGTCTAGTTTCATCTATTTTTATATGTACACTTTAACGTGACTCACACTGTATATCCGATATACAGGGTGTTAGGTAAATGGGTATATGAGCCGACACTAGCCCATGTTAACATGGGCATATAAATGGTATGGTGAAGTCAGAAAATTGATCTATCTATCTCTATCTATGTCAGCCTTTGGGTTCGCCTTCGAACATAGGCCTCCTCTTCAACCCTCCACCGTTTTCTGTCCCTGGCCACACGCATCCAGTTGGTGCAGTCCTGTTGTCCCCCCTGCTTGGCCCCCCTAGGGGAGCCAACAGGATTTCGAAATCCTGTTGTCCCCCCTGGCTAGGGGAGACAACAGGACTAGTTTTTAATCAATGATTTGAGGACTGTTGTCCCCCCTGGCAAAAATTATTTAAAAGCCATAAAATGTTATAACATTTAAGAAGGACTGGAGTACCTGAATGAATGGCAAATTGCCAAACTGAATACCTAAACGTATGTCAAATAATATTAACATTTGGATAACGAAAAAAATATAAGTTCTTGGTACCGGTACTATTTCAGACTATTTCAAAATCTGCTTTACTTGCTTTTGACAAAATCGTTATGAATTATCCCTACTAAATAATATTATAAATGCGAAAGTAACTTTATCTTTTTTTATAAATAAATATAAACATATTATTATAGCGGACAAAGCCGTAGGCAAAAGCTGAGTACCTCTATTATGCTATTCTCATGTATAAAAAATATTATCTAGGTACTGTAAAGTTTATCAAGTGTAAGTAAAAATCCGTTTAGTAGTTTTTACGTAAAAGAGTATCAAACATCCATACTCACAAAGTTCCGCATTTACTTACAACATTAGTAGGTAGGATGCTAAAACTGAATAATTTTAAATCTATACTTAATATTATAAAGCTGAAGAGTTTGTTTGTTTACTTGAACGCGCTAATCTCAGGAACTATCGGTACGATTTGAAAAATTCTTTCAGTGTTAGATAGCCCATTTATTGAGGAAGGCTATAGGCTATATACTATCACGCTACGAGTAAGTAATAGGTGCAGAGCAAAAATGAAAAATGTTGCGAAAACGGGTTTTCATGCATACGAAGTCGCGGGCACAGCTAGTTAATCATAATATTCAACAAATTACTTGCTCAGTGACAGTGATTCAACTAGCAGCCGCCCGCAATAAATCATTTTCTAAAGGTTCCTGTGCAATTAAACTACCCACGATTTCACTACCCTCGTTTGATGGTTCATACGACCAGTGGTTGGAATATCGTGATACATATCTGTCTCTGATACATAACTCTAAAGAAATAGATAATGTTCAAAAATTTCATTATTTGCGTTCTTCTCTCACGGGTAATGCATTGATGGTTATTAAATCATTGGAGTTTTCATCTGAAAATTATATCATAGCATGGGATCTATTGGAAAATAGATATAACAATAATCGTTTACTTGTCCAAAATCATGTCAAGGCGTTGTTTAATATTGCATCACTAAATAAGGAATCATCAGTGCAGATTCGTAAGCTGATTGATAACATTTTGAAAAATATGCGTGCCCTTAAGACCTTAGGTGAGCCAACTGAGTCTTGGGATACTTTAATTATTTATTTAATCACTTCTAAATTAGACTCATGCACTGAGCGTGAATGGGAATACTACAAAGGTACTCTCACACAAACACAGTCTGGCACACGTTTAAAATTAAATGATATTTTAGATTTTCTTAAAAATAGGGCGGATGTCTTAGAAACGATTAATTTATCTCACAGTAAAGGTAGCACGACGTCTGATAACAACATTAAAAACCGGTTGAATACTCAAAATAAATCACATAGTTTTGTAACAACACAAAATAAACAATCAAACACATTAAACAAAAATAATTCAAAGCGTTCACGTAATTGCAGTATGTGTAACGATACTCATCCACTATACGCATGCAATTCATTTTTGAATTTGTCAGTTAAAGATAAAATTAGTTTTTTAAAAGAGAAAAAGCTATGCTTTAATTGTTTACGCGCCGGCCATATTTTATCTGAATGTTGGTTCGGCCCATGTAAAATATGTAATCAAAAACACAACAGCTTAATTCATAGTGATGACGCTTCAACATCATCAGCTATGGTGCAAGTTTCAGAGTCACAGAATGCAGTCGGTTCGCATTCTAGTAACACAAACTTATTGCATTCAGCAGCACACGCATCAAATACGCATAAAATTAATACTTCTCATTCATTATTAGAGAATGTATTGTTATCCACAGCTTTGGTTGAAATAGCAGATGCAAATAATACCTATCACACTACTCGCGCTTTATTAGATAATGGTAGTCAGCACTGCTTCATTAGTCAATCATTATGTCAAAAATTAAACGTTCCATTAATACAGTCCACTGTTCAGGTCACTGGTGTTGGTAACTCAGTGACTCATTCATCAAAATCGTGTGACATAAATCTAAAATCAAAATACACAGATTATAGTACTCGCTTAAAATGTTTAGTTTTGTCTCAAATCACGGCCCAATTACCTGCACTAAATAGTAAATTGCAAATTAGTGTTCCAAAAAATATTCAGTTAGCCGATCCGTATTTTCAATCTCAAACTGAAATTGAGTTGTTAATAGGTGCAGATAAATTTTGGGACTTATTAAACGATGGCTTAATTCGCTTAAATAGTGGCCCGTATTTGCAAAATACTAAATTGGGATGGATAATATCTGGTCCAATAAAAAATAAAACATTTACTCGCATAAATAGGGTTCAGTGTAATTATTCACAATCATTAGATACTCAACTTAGAAAATTTTGGGAGTTGGAAGAAATCACTTCATGCAATAAACTCACAAAAGACGAATTAATATGCGAAAAATTATTCAATGAAACGACGTATCGAGACGATGCGGGCAGATTTTTTGTGCGCATTCCATTGGCTAAGGCCAGCGACACACTAGGAGATTCATACGCACTCGCACAAAATAGATTTTTCGCTCTTGAACGTAAACTAGATCGTAGTTCACCTGAATATAAAAAACTATATTGTGATTTCATGAATGAATATATACAATTGGGACATATGACTCGCATTAATAATTATACATTTCCAAATTATTTTTTGCCTCATCATGGTGTGTTGCGCGAACACAGCACCACCACAAAACTACGAGTTGTATTTGATGCAAGTGCGAAAACTACATCAGGTCAGTCGCTTAACGACATACAATTAATAGGTCCTTGTTTGCAAAATGACGTTTTCTCTATATTACTGCGTTTTCGTCAGTTTAATTATGTAGCATGCGCTGACATTGAGAAAATGTACAGGCAAATCAATATTCAATCCGACCAAAGAAATCTTCAATTAATTATTTGGCGTGAAAATAAATCAGATGAACTCGGTGTATACCAGCTTAATACCGTTACATACGGCACGGCGTCTGCGCCGTACCTTAGCATTCGATGCATCAAACAGCTGGCGTTAGAATGCGAGGATGACGTAATTAAACGCATTATTGACGAGGATTTTTTCGTTGATGATTTGGTAACAGGTCACGATAATAAAGACACTTTAATGGACATTTGTGGTAAAGTTTCAGACATTTTAAAGTCGGCATGTTTTCCCTTACGTAAATGGATGTTTAATCTAGAACCTTCCCATAGTAAAATTACAAAAGAATTATCAATAGATAAAAATTGTTCAACAAAAACGCTTGGGTTGGGTTGGTCTCATTCTGAAGATTTATTACACTTTACTACAAAAATTGATCCTAACTTTACCAATGTTACCAAGCGCATAATTTTATCTGTTATCTCACAAATCTATGATCCGTTGGGTTTATTATCGCCAGTAATTATAATAGCAAAAATATTATTGCAAAGGCTATGGCTTTGCAAGCTGGGCTGGGACGACTCCGTGCCTAATGATATTTGTAATGAGTGGCATAATTTTATTAACACATTTCAGTGCTTACAAAACATACGCATACCACGTCACGTGAGGGAACCCCATTCTAAATACACGGATTTGCACATATTTACAGACGCATCACAGGACGCGTATGGGGCCTGCGCGTACGTGAGTACTTACAGCGATGATTCACCAGTGCTAGTCAGGTTACTTTGTGCGAAAAGCAAAGTCGCTCCTATTAAGCCAGTCACTATGCCACGGCTTGAACTTTGCGGTGCCTTAGTCGGGGCTAAATTATTTAAGAAAATTAGTGAGTCATGGAGAATAAGTTTTAATAATGTTTATTTTTGGTCAGATTCAATGATTGTCGTCAGCTGGGTCAAAATGTCTCCAAATCTATTGAAACCTTTTGTTCAAAACCGAGTGGTACAAATAAATGATTTGACCGGTGAGTTGCCGTGGCGACATGTCGCGGGCAAAGATAACCCGGCCGATCTGTTGTCACGTGGACTACCACTCGATGCATTACAACAATCAGATATTTGGTGGCACGGGCCAGAGTTTTTGCGTGAAATTAAAAATGAATCTAGTCAAAATGATGTTCAAGTTCTTGATATGTGTGAAATACCGGAGTTAAAATCAAATAATTGCACAATATCATGTTTAGCTAAATTAAATAATGCATTTCCTTTTGAACGTTTCTCTAATTGGAATCGAATGAGACGCACAATGTGTTATGTGTTGCGATTTATTAATAATTTGCGCATAAAAAACAAATCGCAGCGCAGCAGCGGCCCATTCTCATCGAAAGAGCTTACTGAGTCGGTAAATGTTTTAGCAAAATTTGCACAACAAGAATCACATCCAGATGTTTACCACGCTTTAGTAAATAACCTACCTATAAAATCTAGACATATTTCCGGTCTGGACGTTTTTTTGGACAATTCGGGTCTTATTAGAGTGGGAGGAAGATTGCAAAATTCTGAACATTATTCTTATAATAAAAAACACCCTATACTTTTAAGCTCAAAGCATATTTTCTCTCAACTTTTGTTTCGATTTGAACACATTCACTTACTTCATGCTGGACCTCAGCTGCTTCTTGCCACTATTAGAGACAGTTGGTGGGTACTCAGAGGGCGAGATTTGGCGAAGCAAACTGTACATAAGTGCATTTCGTGTACACGTCAAAGAGGAAAGACATTAAATATAAAAATGGGTAACTTACCATCTGAACGACTAGAGCCAGGGTATCCATTTCAGCGTTGTGGGGTTGATTACGCAGGACCTGTGTTCATTTTAAATCGAAGGGGAAGGGGGGCAAAATTGAGCAAATGTTATATATGCCTATTTGTTTGTTTTACTACTCGTGCAGTGCATTTAGAGTTAGTAACGAGTCTCAGTTCTGAAGCATATTTATTAGCTTTAAGAAGGTTTTTGTCTCGTCGCGGAAAGCCAGCGGAAATATTTTCCGACAACGGAAAAACCTTTGTAGGCGCTTTAATTTTTTTTCACCCGATCAATTTAGTAAAATTTATGCAACTAAAGTATAGTAAGGTATGTAAGAAAAAAATAATGAAAAAAATCCTAGTGTTATACTTTTCGAGAAAATGCATTTTCTTTTTATGTCTACAAATGTGGCCATCCGTCTCACGTGAAAAAAACTTATAGGATTAACAGTGTTATTGAAATAATAGAACTTACTTTTATGGAACACTTTTTAATTAGTTTTTTATAAAAAAAATCATTTTTTTATCTAAATAACAAAATTAAATATCTTCTTTCATCATCATCATCATCATATCATCATCTCAGCCATAGGACATCCACTGCTGAATACAGGATAGGAATAAAGTCCTATAAGACTCCCCCAATGGTTTCCATGTTGCTCGGTTGGTAGCGGCCTGCGTCCAGCGCTTTCCTGCTTCCTTTATGATGTCGTCGGTCCACCTTGTGGGTGGACGTACCACGCTGCGTTGTTCCGGTACACAGCCTCCACTCCAGAACGTTGCTGCCCCTTCGGCCGTCAGTTCTGCGTACTATGTGCCTTGCCCATTGCAAATTCAGCGTGCTAATCGGTCGGGCTAGTCAGCGACTTTAGTTCATTTACGGATCTCTTCATTTCTGATTCGATCTCGTAAAGAAACACCGAGCATAGCCCTATCCATAGCACGCTGTGCCTCTTTGAGCTTCTGTATAAGGCCTATAGTGAGAGGCCACGTTTCCGAACCATAAGTCGTTAATGGTAACACACATTGGTTGTACCTACACTTTAGTCTTCAGGCACTGAGGTATTTTGGACGAAAAGATGTTGCGTAATTGCTCGAACGCTGCCCAGCCGAGTTGGATTCGACGAATGACCTCTTTCTAGAAATTGGACCTACCTAGCTGAATCGTTTGTCCGAGGTAGACATACTGTCAATAATTTCGAGGAATAGATCAATGGCTTCTCCAAATTTCTCTTAGTCATCTGAAGATAGCAGAAAATCCGAAAGATTTCCGTCATCAAGTGTTCTCAAGGCCTCTGGTGAGAACATTTTGACAGTATTATTACCTATCTGGATATAAAAAAATGATTTAAATAATTATTTAATATATTATATTATTTCTGACATAAATGTATTTTTGAACAATAAAAAAGTTGAAAAAAAAAAGAATTTACAATAAAACCGTTATCACTTGGAACAATTTCAAAATGCTCAGTTGCCTCCTGATGGGATCATTTGAGTACAAATCTAAAACTCGAGATTAGTAATACAAAGACAACACAAAATACACAAATTGTATGTTCCACGTGTCCCTTGTAATAATAAATACACGCTAGTATTTATTACAGAAGATCTCTGTTACTATTTCATATTTTTTCGAAATAAAATAAAGAGCTCACCTGCACAGTTCAAATCACGCTCGGGCACTGGTTGAAACTTGTCAATTAGTGCTATTATACCATGAGAGATGGCGTTAAAAGTACTGAATTACAGTCAAATTTTTTAGAAATCAGCAGAAATGTCATCAAAAATGGCCAACTGACATAAAAATATTTTTTGTCTGTGAACTAGTGATGCGACAAAACCTCTCGATAATCGCGAAGTGAAATTATTGTAGTACTTACTACATACTATTTATATGACCATGTTAACATGGGCTAGTGTCGGCTCATATACCCATTTACCTAACACCCTGTATAGTTATACATTAATAGTTTTCGTGGATAAAAGACAATGCCGGAAATTGGCGTCTTTTTTTTTCGCGCGGCCATCGACCAAACTTTATTTTTTGATTACAAAATAGTGTAATAAACCAAACTTACTATGACATGTATACCTCTAAACTCAATCTGAACTGAGTTACTAGCATTAGAAGTTTGATGATTTTCATACTAGATTTGCTTTTTGTGCGCAAAGTTTTGTAAGAAATTGCAACAAAATACTGAGATTGTATGTGTAAACAAACAATATCATCCATTAAAGGCTCCAGACATCATTATGGAGCAGAATCAGCGCAATAAAAAAATAGCGCAATATTTTGTTGCAATTTCTTACAAAACTTGCGCACAAAAAGCAAATCTAGTATGAAAATCATCAAATTTCTAACGCTCGTAACTCAGTTCAGACTGAGTTTAGAGGTATACATGTCATAGTAATTTTGGTTTATTACACTATTTTGTAATCAAAAAACAAAGTTTGGTCGATGGCCGCGCGAAAAAAAAAAAGACGCCACTTTCCATACAAAATCTGGCATTGCCATTTCACAACAAACAAAAAGCCAATAAAAATCATATGAATGATTTAACTGCATTTATAAAACTAGATAAAAAAATCTGAAATTTATTTCATGAAATATTTTTCCTTTGTCGTGAAGGGGTAAAAAAATATAATTATTTTTAAATATTTTGAATTTCTGGGAAAAATATTACGTCAAATCATGAGAATTCAAAACTACTATTTTTATTAGTAACCAATTAAAAACATAATAGGTATATTCAATGCCATCACATTACTACATTCAGAAAACATTATTTTTAAATTACATAGTTATTTCTTTTTTATTAATCACACTACAGCAACATCGATATCGAGATCGAGTAGTTCTAATGACACTCTTTTTTAACAAAACGAAGTCCACAATATCCGCAGGAGTGGTCACCAGGTTTATCCTGTAACAAAATGTTTGGATTAACACAAACCTACTGAGATTGTCAGTAACACACCTCTAAGTGTGTTCATTTAATTTTAAAGTGAATAGGTTCAATATGATTCAATGAGGATCAGTACTGTTGTAGAAAATTCAATAGAACTAGTATCTACGTTAATCTTTAAGATATAAGAAAGATATATCGTTTTGAATTATCCAAATCGGACCATTACTATATACCTTGATTTTTTAGAATCCAGCAGAGATGTAAACAAACACTTTCATACACAATTACACCTTAATCACTTACGTGTTCATACTAACATACACATTATTTAACAAGCCCATGAAACCAACTTTATTTTCACGTTTATATAAGTTTGAAATCAATCTTTGAAACAAATTATTTTAGCAAAATTACGTGGACGATGAAAATTTGTGAGACTTGTCAAATTGACTTGACGTTTAAAATCATGTGTTATCTCCAAATGAAGAAGGATGTTTATTTTTTTAATAAATTTCAAGTTTTTTATCGTGTTTAAGTCTAACAATAATCTATACATACATATATATGTTACGGTCAAAGTGATAAATGTGAAAATTATGAATAATCGCCGGTTATTATGAATAATTACCGCATGATTTGGTAAATGTGATTAATATGAGGTCATTTATGTGTGTAAAAAACTAAATAGGCGGCTTAGGGGGGCCCCAAGGGCCCCCCCCGCCGCACCTTAACCTATTTTTCACTTTAAATCAAAACATTATGTTATAGGCATCATGGAAAAGTAATATTATGCAAGAAACATTCCAAACTCATTATGCCAAATTATATTAATATATGATATCAAAACGTTCAAAAGTTTGGCTGTACACGAAGACGTACACAAGATGTTGTTCTCTTTTATGAAATTTGTTAGTACTAAGGTTGAATTATTAAATAATCACTGTTAAATGTGATTAATTTATCACTTTTACCGCGACTCTCGGGAATTATTCATAATAACCGGTTATTATTAATAATTTTCAATTTATCACATTAACCGTAACATATACAACAAAATGGTAACAAATTGTCTATGACTTGTCTCTGACACATCAGTGCTGTAACCTGTGAGTCATAGACAATAATCTGTAAATTTAATCGATATTATTTTAAGTATTCACTTAATCAGATTACTGATAATTTTAAATAAAAAATATACGATACTTTGTTTAGTTTTCCAGCGATAACTTCGACAATATTGGAGATAACGTAAAATTATTTTTCTACTTTTAGTGTAATCTTTTTCGGAGTCAGTTTAATTTTTAGTCGGTTTTTTATGCAGTTATGCTTACGTATTGTTCCATTGCTTATTTTCCTATATAAGTAAATAAAATAAAAGAAAATAAATATCTTCTTTCAATTGAGAATGTTACTAGGTATGCAAAATCACTTGAAACCTATGTTACAGTTAAGCTTTTACATTTACAAATACATTAGTTTTTATTTCATTCAAAAATACCCAGTAGTTATGATTTTATAGGCATTCAAAGTTCGCTTAAATATTGAGTCCCGCCTACGGTCACGTGACCCCGTGTGACGTACATTCACAGCGTCCGCTCACTAGAAAACGGATATAAACATACTTAAATAATTTTTTTTTGTAAATACAAACTTATTATACATATTAACACCTAGACCCATCACAGAAATTAAAATTGAACCAAACCCAAACTTGATGCGATTGTATCGTTTTATTGCGAATTACCTTCCAGCTCCATCATTAGACCCCGATTACTATATAGAATTAAAATACTCATCAATACAAAACGAACGAGCCCAAACTCGATGCATTTAAGTCGTTTTATTATAGAGTTCCTATGGCCACCTTCCAGCTCCATCATCAGATCAGCTCCATGTCATCATAATATTGCATGGTCATCCAAATCACATGTGTTTGCGAAATTTCAGCTTAATCGGTTGCCTGGAAGTGGGTCTTAATTCAGTTTGCAAGATTCCACCCATACAAATATGAGCCAGTCGTTGTAATATGACGTCACGCGCATAAAATGGCGGGCCGGCCGCCGCCCGCACTTTTAAAATTCCCCCCCCCCAGGCCAGAAACTGGGTATTAGCACTCATGTATTATTATGTTCAATATAAACAATCATAAAGTTATACATATATTTTTTAATACATAGCGATACCTATTTTTCACAATTGTTATTTTCAAAAATTACTGGTCGATCGATAGGTTAGTTTATTTTGATGAATAAATGTTATCAAAATTTTTTTTCTAAAACTGATAATTTAGCTGAAAAAAAATATTTTCCATCCCAAAATAGTACGCCGGCTGCGCTCGATTCGGATATAGTGACGTCACGCGGCCCTGCGTACCTTGACTTTAAGCGGCAAAAACGGCCTGTGTTTATTACTTAATATCTTCGTAAGTAATGGTCCGATTTGGATAATTCAAAAAGATATATTTTTCTTATGTCTTAAAGATTAACGTAGATACTAGTTTTATTGAATTTTCTACAACAGTACTGATCCTCATTCTGGAAATACAATAAGCCACAAAATCAAATTAATGAAAATAAAAACATACCAAGTTGATGTATACTCTTGGATGTCCTTCTGGTCCACTGCCACCATCACACCAAACAATTCTACCTGTCACTTCTTTTGGAGGAACTTCGGCTATTAAGTTAATTGCCCAATTCTGATTAACTTGTTTAGGAGCGTTCATGAATCTAACCATTCTATAATCATTTGAATCCCATTTCTGAAAAAAAAAAACAAATGCGTTAGTAAGTACCTAATACGAATGATCTGATTATAAAACAAAGCTCAAGTGCCGTTTGCATCTAATATTCAATGAATAGAAGAGTTAAATGCGTGGGAGGCGCAAAATAAAATAGTCATGAGATGTTGGACCGATGTGTTAGGATAATTTGATAGTCTATCCTTGTAGCGGAGTGTGTGGTTTTTTATTTTCTCTCTGACTGTAGGGACATATCACGTGAAGCGGACAGCAAAAATCAAGTCAGGTTTTGGATTTTTTCATATTTGGATTAAATGTATGTACTGCTGTCTGACCTGAATGGATGTGCATAGTTTTTTATGAGCGTTCAAAAATTTGATAAAATTTTAGGAACATATTTTTCGGAAGCTATTGCTGCTATTATTACAATTGATTAAAAATAAAGTAACAATTGGACTTTTTAGAATAAATAACTGTGTTTCTTACTATTTACTACAAATTTGAAATTTCTTTTTTGTTCACATAGAAAACCGGAAGTTAAGTTTTAAAATCGAATTTTACATAACTTCGGGATTTTTTAAAATTTTTATTAAAAAAATTGTATAGTTTTGAAATAATCGAGTAAGATCACTTATCGTTTCCACCCTGTATAATCCGGCTGTATCTCCAGGTCACCTAGATACATTCCATAGCAGCTCAGGTTCATACATTTACCAATTTTGGTAATAAATAGGCATTTTGTATTAGTTTTTGTATAACGCCTGAAGAAAAACAAAGGGTAATATTTTGGAGTTAAACATAGATTTCGAATAACTATTTTGTCATGACAAAAAACTGAGGTATGTCTCGTTTCTGTCGGGCCTGGGTCACAGATGACCGTTCTTCTTTGAAATTTCTTTTTTGTTCACATAGAAAACCGGAAGTAAAGTTTTAAAATCGAATTTTACATAACGTCGGGATTTTTTTAAATTTTTATTAAAAAAAATAACTAGTAGTCTATAAATAGTATCGTTTCTTTTTTGGTGCTTCTGAAAAGTTGTTTATGGTTCTGTGGATGTTATTGAAAAATGTTATTGGTGTTCAGGTATCACGTCATCAATGTGGGGTTTCATTCGTTTCAACAGTATTTTATGGCGTTGGATATGTTATTAGCATGATTGCCTTTCTAAATAACTCCTTCAATACCCTGCCAGTGATAACCTGGCGCTTTGTTTGGCATTAGGTCTTTAATTATGTGCTTTATTAATTAAACAAAAAGTAGCTTACTTAGGGTGAAATGGGCGAACTTGTATTCCTTAAATGACCCTAACTAACGTCTAACCTTCCGTCAAACATCCTGTATAAATTACCTAGGTATTGTATAGAATACCTGAATTATACACACTGCTGGTAAAGATAATATATTATTGAAGTGTGGATTTTAAGTTGTAGTTAATTTTATCTTAATTTTTTGCCAAAAACTGAACATTCCCGGCAAAAAAAGCCAAAAATTAAAAAAAAAATTTTTTTTCATAAAAAATTTTTCTAAGTCTCGTGCCCCATAGCGCCCCGTTTCCTATACTCCAACCCAAAACTGTAATATTTTCAGAATAAATAGCCTTCTATGCTATAAAATTTAATAAAAAACAAAAGTATGTACTTGGCCTGTGTGGGTGCAGATATCTTCTACTTTGTTTGAAACGTTGCGACTTAAACACGGTGTCACATATTTATAAGATTGAAGTAGCGTTTTAGATTGCAATAATCTGACTGAAGAATTCATTTTATATAGCTGTTATCCTTTGAAACTAATTCTGAAGATTACATAAAATTACACTGACTTTTCGAGGTTTGATGCATAGAGAATAATTTGATGGATGATGTGGGATGATGGCCACAGTGACATTGACAGATGATGTTTTTTTTTATTTAGTAGGCTCTGGGTGTGCTCTGGGTATATATAGATGAACTATACCGAACCGTCTCACCCGTGGTGGTGGAAAGATCGCAAATATTACCCGGAATTGATGACAGCGCCCTCCTGCAAATGACATTTTTCAGTAGTTTCCAGAGAGCAGAAATAACAGGAGTAGCAGCGCGCGTTTATTTCCATACAAAAAAATTTCGCCATTTCCTGAGGGGGACGAGGTAATGACATTTGTGTAACAGCTGATGGCGCTGAGACACTATCGATATTTTTGTCGATGAGAATCATTGCTCTATNAATAAATTTTCCAGACTGGCAAAAAAGGAAAGTGAGAAAAACTGAAAAACTTAATTTCAATTTTTATTTACAGAGCAAGAAACTATTAAAAGCCTTGTTTCGAAGGTTAACAAAAATATTCCTACACATTTTTATTATAATAAGTACTTACATTATACACATGACTTGAACAGATAGAGAAAAATGGTGAAAAATACAAATATTATTTATTATTATAGTATATAATAAGATCCAGATATTGCGAGTAGTTGGATCTTTTGGAAATCTGTAAAATAGCGGGAACTTACTTAACACGTTTATTATGTCAGGGTAAATGTGATAAATTGAAAATTATTAATAATCGCCGGTTATTATGAATAATTCCCGACAGTCGAGGTAAAAGTAATAAATGAATTTACATTTATCAGTGATTATTAATAATGTATTAATACTAACAAATATCATAAAAGAGAACACCTATTGGCAGTATCAAATTGTTTGCATAGAATTTCGATTATATTGTTATAAGTACACTATCCTTAAAATATTACACAATTAGGAATTTTTGCTTTCCAGTCATTCCAGTGGCAACACTTCTAGAAATTTAGTTTTTTGCAAATTTAGTGTATTAATTAATGTGAAATAAATAAAATAATATTTACCGATGGAATGTAATGTGGTCCTTTTCAAAATTTGATGTTTCAGATCTCTTCTTACAATTAAAAACACTGCAATTCACCATTTTTATCGCAGCACGTTACTCTTCAATAGTGACATTTGGAATATGTCATTGGTGGCGCTGCAACTAGTTTTTATAAACTGAGTGAACCACTGGTCTACTTACATTGCTAGAGGGGATTGCCTGTCAGTTCCACTCCTGTTATTTCTGTTCTCTGGTAGTTTCCGATTCCGACGTGGCAAAAATCGGAACTATTAATATCAGAGGGTCGGGCATTGGTCTGGGATGCGACTTGCTGCGACACTCTTGCCCCCTCCCATGTGCCTTCCACGTCGAGGGCTGCAGGCGCTGCGGCTGCTTCAGCGGAATCTTTGAAGAAAAGCAAATATTCCGCTTTAGACAGCTGCTACCGTTTTGTACCTTTCGGCGTGGAAACGCTGGGACCTTGGGGCCCGGAGGCCAAAAAGCTTTTCACCGAGCTTTCCTCCCGCATCATCGAGGTCACCGGTGACCAGAAGGCCGGGTTCTACCTTGGCCAGCGTTTAAGCCTAGCGATCCAACGCGGAAACGCTGCCAGCCTTTTGGGCACCGCTAACCTCACCGACAGATCTGGGGATAGGGATACTTTTTTAATTTAACTTTTATTTTCCTTTTTTGTAAATATTGTATTTTTTTTTGTATATAGTATAGTTTTTAAGTTTGTAAATTACCTGTACAAATTTAGTTTGTTATTGTTTAATAAAGCGGATATCAGAGTATTGACGGTGGCGCAGGTTCAGTGTAGGACATCTATACTATTTATACCGAATCGCACTTTTTTAAGTAATCGCATTGACTACATCACTAAAGTTTTATAATCTGTGCGAGTGACTGACGACTGTTGTTTGTCATTTGCTGATTTTTCTGTGATGGTGGAAAACTAGAGTGTGAATAATTTTTATTTAACAATACATTGTAGTATCTAAGTATTGGAATTGTTGAAAGTCTCTTGATTTGAAACTTTGTAAGATATTAGTCCAACTAGTGAAAGTTTTGCACTTGACACTTACTGCTGAGGCTTAAAAAGAAAGACAAAAAATTCTTTGTGTTGTTACGCGTAATAAAATCATCTCTATTCTACGTAAGTAATATTAAATTGGTCTTGGGTTTTTATATACATTTTACTGTCAATATGTATTTACTTGTGCATTTCTACCTTGGGTACTGAAGGTCTATGAATGAATCACTGACACACCAATAATAGGGCTACTTCAAATTAATTGTTAGTTTATCATTTGGTTCCATTGAATTGATTGAATGTTATTAAAAAGCGCTACGATTTTTTTGTTTGTGTGGCAATCATGTTGAATATGTAACTTTTCTAATTAATTACTGTTATTTACCTGTTTTTATCTTAATTATTTGCAGGATCATGACTTCTGGACCATATAATTATTCTTATATTTTTAAGTACATCATTATTGGTGATATGGGAGTTGGAAAGTCATGTCTTTTACATCAATTTACTGATAAAAAATGTAAGTAATTTTGTTTTTATTTATCCTTTATTTATTTTGAATGTGCCTACTGACAACATTATCTACCTGTGTGTGAAATATTTATGTACTGGATAATTTACATATGTTGGCCGTTCCAAATATCGAGACTGCATAAGATTGGTAATTAATTTATGGGAACATGCATTAAACTTTTCAATAAATTACCAATAAATCGTAGAATTGCCCATTCTTAAATTTAAAACACATGTTGAGGTAAAGGTAAGAAATTAATCACATTTATCAGTTATTATTTCATAATGTAACCTAACCTTAGTACTAACACATATCATAAAAGAGAACACCGGCTTGTGTACAGCCACATATTTTAAACATTTTGATATCATACATTAATTTAAACATATTTTAGCATAATGAGTTTAGAATTTTTCTTTCTTTTCCGTGATGCCCATAACATATTGTTTTGATTTCAAGTGTCAAATAGGCCCTTGGGCCACCCCTAACCCGCCTATTTAGTTTTATACATACATAAATGATTTTATTTACCAAGATTAATCACATTTACCAAGACATGAAGTAATTGTCATAATAACCGGCAGTAATTAATTTATTAATCATTTTCACATTCATCACAATATAATATACTGTAAACCCATGGAAAAGAGACTGATAATAGTGACTGAGTTTCTTGCGCTGCTTTGTCTAAGCACTGGCCCATTTACTGCAGCGGCATGGTGATGCTGATCAAGATGTGCATATTTATTAAAAAGTTAGTGCCTTATAATTATTATCCTGTAATAGTGCCATAAATGTAGAATTTGTGCCCAATAAGGTTTAGGAGTAAGTGCAAGTTGATAAATAAAATAACGAGTGGACTGTATAAAAATAGAATCTATTTGATTTAAAGAATAATGGGACATTTTGTATGAACTCCATCCCTAGAACTGTTAGCACTTTAATACCTACCTTATATGATTATACTATAACATCGTATTATAACTCGATTAAATTAATTTTAACCTACTTCAAACGATGCTCGACCCTACAAAAACTTGACCCGGACAACTTAACCCCTACGACAAGTCTACCACTGTGACAATTTGACTCTAAAATATTCAACTATGCAAACCATTATATTATATTGCAAACCATTTAGCTCCATCAATCAATGCCTGAACTGAATCTATAATAAGTGCTCAGAGTAGTCGCAGGGGTTGACGTGTCGCAGTGGTCGACTTGTAACAGGGGTCGAGTTGTAATAGAGATCGACTTGTCGCAGGGGTCGAGTTGTCCGGGTCGAGTTTTCTTAACGCTCAAGCAGACGTGATACCGTTTGATATAACTTTTTTCTGAGACATGTCACACTTGAGCTGTTGTATAATAAAATTATAGTATTAGCATGGTCTATCATATAAAGTAGGTATTAAAGTGCTACAGTTCTGGGGACGTTTTGTCCCATTGTTCTTTACAATAGCAACCGTTTAGTGCAAAATCTTTGAAGAATGCCTCAGGGTTGTCTTTGTGGATGTTCGCTTGCGAACCGAACATTACTCGTCTGTTCGCTGCGTGCTCGCCGCCCGCTCGCTGCTCCCTCCGGTCACGTCGCCCGCGGGCAATATCCGTGCGTAGACAGTAACCGCAGCGGCATGATTTTTAACTATTATTATATTATTTTGTCACTAGCTTTCCGCCCGCGGCTTCGCCCGCGTGAATTTTGTCTGTCACAGAAAAACTTTATCGCGCGCGTCCCTGTTTCAAAAACCAGGATAAAAGTATCCTATGTCCTTTCCTGGGACTCAAACTATCTACCTGCCAAATTTCATCAATATCGGTTTAGTGGTTTAGGCGTGAAAGAGAGACAGACAGACAGAGTTACTTTCGCATTTATAATAATTATTAGTATAGAAGTATAGATTAATTCTGTATGAATTCATGGTATAGGCAATAGGCATCTGCCACTGCAATCACAGCGCCTTTCTTATGTGGTTGAAGATCTAGAGGCTATTTTTTATATTCACAGAAACCCATATAATTCATATGCGTTTTTTTGGAATAATGACTATGGCACAAATTGGCACTAATCATAGCGCTCCTGCTGACAAAAAATCGTATCTGTCCATCAAGTCGTTCTGAAGATAATTATGGAAATCTGCGAAACGTTACCCCAGTGGCATTTGCTTGCNTTACTTAATATCTTCGTAAGTAATGGTCCGATTTGGATAATTCAAAAAGATATATCTTTCTTATGTCTTAAAGATTAACGTAGATACTAGTTTTATTGAATTTTCTACAACAGTACTGATCCTCATTACTCAAAAACTACAGGGGGCACAAATGCCGCTGCTTGAACAAGGAAAGGCACAAATACAATCTATCTTTTGAGCTATTTTAAATTTGTCTATAGATAAAAATGATGCTGCTGCGGTTACGTTTTCAAGAGTTTGAAAGAGAGACTGAGTTTGTTCCGGCGTTTCTTCTCAGCACTTGCCATATGTTTGTCTCGAAGCGCTGGTAGGGCCCAAAAGATAAGTAGACATGTCTTTACATATCTACAAGGGCTAGCTTTTTTTTTATTTACGATATTTTGACGTTATGAACGTGAATCAGAGGTCTAAATTGAATAAAATGTTTTTGATTGATTTTTTTGAAGCATTACCGCAGCGGAATCTTATTTTCTCCAATTACTCCTAAACCTTATTGGGCACAAATTCTAGATTTGCAGCACATTCACAGGATATAAGGCACTAACTTTTCCATATAATATGCACATCTTGATCAGCGTCACCATGGACGCTGAGGTAACGCACGCACACCCCATTTATAGTCCCGAAGCAATAGTAAGAAGGTAGGGTTATTACTTCGACGTCTAAAAGAGGCTTTTAAAAGCCTACTTGCGAAAGTAAAAACCGTAGATAGAAAATTTTACTCAAAAATACATTCCTTTATTTTTTGATAGTTTTTGCCCGCGGCTTCACCTGCGTGAAATTTCATTTGTCACAGATCGTCATAAATTATAGCCTAATGTTATTCTGAGTTATTTTAGTAAATTAATTTAAAATATGTGTATAATTAATGACCCTCTCCACAGCATTTCATTCAAAGCAAAAAGAGTATGTTTGTAAGTAAAACGTGTTAAAACTCATACTATCAGTTATTAGGCCTAGAGGAATGACGTCACAATAAAAAATGTTCAGCTAGTCATGTAGCAATTTTTCATATCATTTTCTCGTTAATTATTCGTCGCATTCGGTTTTATTTTAATATATTTGTGAGGTACTATCTGAGGTACTAAAATATAATGATAAATATTACAAAACCATAACTTACTTGTATCGTCCAATTTCAGCATACACCCGCCAACCTGATTTCAGGTTCACAATTTTCTTTGGCCGGCTACTTTACTTTTCGTCCATTTTGTCAGATGCCCTTTGTTAGAGAGGTTTCATACTTATAATTAGGTAATCTTAATGATCAATGCAAATTAACACAGAATGTATTACAATTTTAACAGATTTTCAGAATTTTCGGAAATCTTTGAATTCAGATTTCTTACTTTTCAAAAATAAAAGAATGTTTTCTTTGAGTGAAATATTTAAGGCTTCCACAGACCAAACGCAGGTCAGAAGCAGTGCGGGTCAGTTGCAGCGCGGCTGAGGCACACTGAAAGCAGCGCAGTTTCAAAGCAGTTGCAACGCGGGCGGTTGTCAAAAATTTAAATATTCGAAAACCGCTTTCAACGCGCTGCTACCGCCCTGCGTCCGGTGTGTCATGCTAATATGGCCGCCATAGTAATACAACAGCGCGGGCCCGCGTCGCGAACGCGCTTCTGTACTTCTTCTGTCTCGCACCCGCGCCGCCTCGTTTGTCGCTCGGCAGTTGAAGTGCGGCGCGGTTGGAGCGCGGGCCCGCGTTCAAATTTGGTGTGACACACTTCAATGAGTTTCTTGTATTACAACTTGCGCGGGCCCGCATTCAAACTGCGCTGCTACTGCCCCGCGTTTGGTCTGTGGAAGCCTTTAGAGTAGGATTTCGATCCAGGCGGCAATACAAAATTCCACCCTGTATAACCTGTCTCTGCTTAACCTGGATAAAATTAAGTGAATAAATAAAAACAACATTACTAAAATATAATATTTTGTTACAGTTATGGCCGACTGTCCTCATACTATTGGTGTAGAATTTGGGACTCGAATAATTGAAGTAGCTGGACAAAAAATCAAATTGCAAATTTGGGATACTGCAGGACAAGAAAGATTCAGAGCTGTCACTCGTTCATACTACAGAGGTGCAGCTGGTGCTCTAATGGTTTATGATATAACGAGAAGGTAAAACTAAGCTTGTTATTTTAAATAAATAATATTCATTCACATTCTGATGAACCTTATGATTTACCATTGATTAATTTTCAAAGACAGGAATTATTTATTTTCCAAATTTAAATATATTACTATGGTCCCGATGTACTAAAGTCCCAATTTTGTTTTCGTTATGTATTAATATTTTATGCTTATTTTGTACCAAGGTTACGAAAAATGAAAGGAGCTGGCAAAAAAAAAACAGAATCGCCAGAGTTTTCATATGTGCCGTTTTAATAGGCACAGTATGTTCATCAAGAATATACCTATTAAATTTACATTAACGATATTTTGAATGTTCAATCATTTGTAAATTCGATATTTTGATCGTTCGAAGAAACGTGTTCGATATTTTGATTTTCGATCATTTTTTATTCGATATGGCGGAGGTAACCCAGTTAAAAGGGCGCACCGCTGGGCGTAACAACAAGTTAAAACGGTGATAAATACCTGTCCTTGAGTTTAACTCATATCTAAAAAAAAATTGTTGCGTCTTTTTAACCGGGCAGAATTTTATGTAGGTACAACATACATACACATAAAAAAATTTACGCCAGTAAAGACCAATCATTTTGGGTCCGTGGCCGAGTCCCCCAGTGTTCGACGCACCCGTGGTCGACGCCCGCGATTTAAATTAATTTAATGTCATATTTTTTCGGCTTTTGCACTAAGTACAGTCAACGAAAACTAATGAAAAAACAATGATTTTGCATGTTTACTGTTGTTATACTAAAAAGTAAAAGATGTGATTTAATTCCTATTAATTGTTATTTATGTTATTATTACAAAAAATGCTGTATTAAATTTTTTGTTATAAATACTTAAAACTTATATAATTTATAATTTTATTTGTAGTTAGTTACAAAATAAAACCTATCATTTTTTGTAGGAATCACTATGGTAAAATATATTAAACATTTATTTGTACGATCAATATAAATATTTATACGTTTATAAACATTTTTGTGCCTGACTGTACATTTGATTAAAAATTGCTTCTAATCAAATTTCACTGACCGGGGGCGTCGACCACGGGTGCGTCGAACACTAGGGGTCTCGGCCACGGACCCAACATTTTAGGCGACCCGAAGGGCACCTAGTACCTACATATTTTTTCATTGCAGAAATTTTACACTGATTTGATAACAATAATAATAACTGTCATTTCACATTCTTAGGTCAACTTACAATCATTTAAGTAGCTGGCTTACAGACACACGTAACTTGACTAATCCCAGCACTGTGATATTCTTAATCGGGAACAAATCGGATTTAGATGGTCAGAGAGATGTTACATATGAAGAAGCTAAACAATTTGCTGATGAGAATGGCTTAATGTTCGTCGAAGCTAGTGCCAAGACGTGAGTAAAATTATTATTGATTTCACCATTGTATTTATTTATTTATTTATTTATTTAAAACTTACATGCACATAAAAAACAGTACTTAAGGCGTGTGACAAATGCGTCAGAATAAAATACTAGTGACCGATCGAATATTCGTTTTCGGCCAAAAACCAACCGAAGCTTCGGCCAAACCGAATATCAGAAATACGTGAAGAAGATGGTGACGTATAACGTTTGGATATCTTCGGAGTGAATCGGGTGCACTCATGGTTCCAATCAGACTTGAACGGACGCGGTATTGTCACACTGTTTTAAAGTTGTGAAGTGAGTTTACGTTGTAAAGAGTGTCCAGCGGAAATTTTTCAAGTTCAAAATTGAATACAAATAAAGCCAAAGAGTTTTCATTAAGTTTAAAGGCTTCCACAGACCAAACACGGGGCAGTAACAGTGCAGTTTCAATGCGGGCCCGCGCAAGTTGTAATACAAGATACTCTTTGAAGTGTGTCACACCAAATTTGAACGCGGGCCCGCGCTGTTGTACCTATTACTATGGCGGCCATAAATTAGCATGACGCACCAGACGCAGGGCGGTAGCAGCGCGTTAAACCGTCCGCGTTGCAACTGCTTTGAAACTGCGTTGCTTTCAGTGTGCCTCAGCCGCGCTGCAACTGACCCGCACTGCTTCTGACCCACGTTTGGTCTGTGGAAGCCTTTATTGTTTCAAAATAGAGTATAAAATACTGCGGATTCGAAATACGCCATGAGTCACTGGTCGAGAGCCCATAGAGCGTTCGCAGTTGGGCAATATCATTATAGTGTTGCCGATAATTCGCACAAATACCACAAGCTGCTGAAATAAACAGTGCATACGTTTCCTTTTCAGGGGACAGAATGTTGAAGAAGCTTTCCTTGAAACGGCAAAAAAAATATATCAAAGTATTCAGGACGGTCGGTTGGATCTGAACGCGGCGGAGTCGGGCGTGCAGCACAAGCCGGCGTCGCCCGGCCGCCCGCTGGCCGCGCCGCCCGCCGCGCGCGACAACTGCTCGTGCTAACACGCCGCGCGCGACTACTGCTCGTGCTAAGGGCGCTTCCAATTTAGACGTTTCGTGTTGGACGTTTGTCGAGCGTTTGCAGGACCGCACAAGGCTAATTGTATGACAATTGCGTCACAATAAAATTATCAATTACCAATAGTTAGTGTGCGGTCTTGCAAACGCACGACCAACGTGCGACACGAAACGTCTNTTAGTACGCCGGCTGCGCTCGATTCGGATATAATGACGTCACGCGGCCTTGCGTACGTTGACTTTTAGCGGCAAAAACGGCCTATGTTTATTACTTAATATCTTCGTAAGTAATGGTCCGATTTGGATAATTCAAAAAGATATATCTTTCTTATGTCTTAAAGATTAACGTAGATACTAGTTTTATTGAATTTTCTACAACAGTACTGATCCTCATTGAAAGCGCCCTAACACGCCGCGGCGCTCCGCGGTTTTTCTTAACCCTCAACCTTATTTATAGTAAATCGTATTTAATTATTAAGAAATCATTGTTAGTAATAATTGCAATTATTATGAATTCAGTTACTTTCTTTTTATTTTATTTACACTGTTTTAACATTCCACGTTATATTCAAGACTGGACCAATCGATGACTAAAGCCTAGTCCGTGAGCACGTAGAATTTTGTCCAATGAACCCAAGCTACCCATCTTTATCGCTCGCGCGTAATTATGTTGCTGTCGCGCTCGCACACTTACTGCGGGTACCCGTCGCACAGTCGCGACAGCAATATAATTACGCGCGAGCGATAAGGATGGGTAACTTAGCTTGGGGTCATTGAACAAAATTCTACGTGCTCACGGAAGAGGCTTTAGCAAGTATTTATTTATCGGTCCGAAGCAATTTATTTTCCGCATAATATGACCTTAAAGCACTTGGTTTTTATGTAGTCTTCTTGAAGAATGTTTGGTAAAAGATACTAATCAAATAGGTAATCGTGTTTATAGATATTGTTTTGTAAATCATTATGCTGCCTCATTTATTACACTGGAAAATGATGGCATATATTGTTTTATTTACTTCCTCTACTTTATTATTTCTTTAAAGTCGCGCATTAGAAGCACAGTGATAGTGTTATTATTTTCTTTAATTGAAACATAATATTCGCTATACCTCAATCTGTACACAATCTCTAAAATAGATATTAATAGTTCTCAGATTTTATGAGTTATATGTATAAATTTTAATATTCAATCAGGTAGGTACTTATTTTATACTATAAATGTCACCTTAAAATTGAGAATTCCGTCAGATTATAATCAGAAGTAATTAGATTACAATCTAACTTAACCTAACTCACTGTTAGTTGACACTCTCGTGCGTTGTATTAGAGCTGTCAGTGTTCATTCGTCTCCCCGAGTATGCATCAAAAACAAAACACGAGCGGCGTACCCGCCGTACACTTTGTATGCAAACTATCACAGCTACAAAGTACAAACGGTTTTACGAATTGCGTAACAGTCGACGAACTTAAAATATTTATTATAAGTATTGCAACTCATAGAAAGTAACGTAGATGACGTTTAGCCAGTAGTTATAACTAGGTAAAGAAGATTTAGCGTTACGACTGGCAAATACACCTGCGCTTGGCCAGTTATGCACGGCGTTTAATAATTTCAAAATAATTTCGCTCATTTTTATGAAAATCCAATTTACATTTTAAAATTTTATTAATCTAAGTTTTAGCATCAATTGGTTTATTCCACTTTGTTCACCCAGGTGAATTAGTGATATAAGTCCACTTGATCAATGAAAAAAATCGCATCCGTTCACCTGGGTAAATAAATTCCTAGATGAATAAAGACGACTGCTTTAGTCGACTCAATTCACCTGGGTGAAATGGTTGCGAGATGAAAATGAGGACACTAAAAAATCTATTTTGTTCACCCATAAACCATCAATTGAGTAGTTGAACACTAGCCACTATTTTATTTTCAAAGCCAGTAAATAAAAAAAAAGTTTATTGCTTTTTTTAATATAAACAAAGGAATTACAGGAAACAAAGTTACAATAGTAGTAGGGTTTCAGACAGTGCTAAAATCAGCCTGCTGGTACCTGTTAATCGTTTATTAAATGTGTGTTTTTCTTTAAATTTCAGTATTGGGCTTTCAAATAACACCAAATTGGTGGAGCACCATGTTTGTGTCAGAGGACAATCTTTAGCACCGACGTATATACCACCTCCATGATCTTTAGCCTAGGCGCAGACCACCAACTTTTAGTTGGCCGATAGTTGGGCCCGATTTTATTTTGTATGAAGAATCGGCGGATATCAAATCAGTGTAAAATGTGCGCACTTTCATACAGTAAACCCGACTTAACTATCGGCCAACTATAAGTTCTGCACCTAGGCTAAGTTATTGTCGCGGGAGGTGCGTTTTTTATGACGCCGAGTGTATAAATAACGTTAACCGGCGTTTTAGTACAGTTTGACAGACTTTTGACATTTGTTAAAGTAAGATGGTTCAACCCAAGTAGACTCTGTTGAGAACGTTGCCCAAGCGCAGAATCTGAAAATCGCTACTGATAGGTATTTTAAGAAGAAAAAAAGAGCATTATTTGATGTAAATATATATATTAAATATCAAATTTCTAATTTAAAATAAAAATGTATTATAAAATATAAATATTTTATGTAAAATAATCTAGCTTTACAATATTATTACACATGCGTTTTTATAGTTCGCAATCTGTATAATGGTCTTAATTAAATAATAAAACAATGAGTATTTACTTATTTATTTATAATAGAAACATTACAATTGATTGAGCACGTTTTTTTTAAAGAATTGGACATCGACAGTTTGCGAGATTTTTTCAACAGGCATACGGAAATAGCTTTAGGTAGTTAAAAATGGCTGTCTATTAAATCTGTGCCACCGTTAGACTGCAACCACAAAATAGAAAAGTACTGCAACCAACTCGCACACTTTTGCTAAAACGCAAGGGTTCCCAACTAAAGGGCTTATTCCACTATTCCCCGTTAACGTTAAATTGGAACTTATATTGGGGAATAATTAACTAAAAAGTTCATAAATCCCCATTACGTTCAAAATAAAATCCTAATATAACGGGGATTAATGAACTTTTAAGTTCATTATTCCCATTATAAGCTCCAATTGGCGTTAACGGGGATTAGTGAACAAAAAGTTCACTTATCCCCGGGGAATAGTGGAATAAGCTAATAAAAGGGAGGTTCTTCCTGCAAACTACTAACTATTAGTCTATAAAAGGGTTGGGAATTCCTAATCGGAAGTGTTAAAGACAATTAGTTAAATCCACCATAAATCATTAATAGGTAGTACTTACATTGCATTGCTATTTATTTTGCATAAATACCGCAGTGCCTGCTGACCTTGTGTTAAAGCAAACGTTGAAGCAAAACAAAAAATAAAAGTATTTCTTGATTTGACTGAACTAAGCGGTTACTACTACCGCTCGAATAAGAATTAATGTATTAATCATGCGCGTATACAGGGTGGAATTTTGTAATGCCACTTGGAGGGAAAGCCTACTCTTAATACTGTAGATAGAAAATTTTACTGAAAGAAAACATTCCTTTATTTTTTAAAAGAAACAGAACTGCATTCAAAGATTTTCGAAAATTCACTAACGTACCATACAATTTTCTGTAACATAATTAAAATAATTGAAGATTTCATGGTTTTCCTTTCATTTGATTTATCAAGTTTGTTAGAGAGATTTCATCCTTATACTAAACCCTAACGATCGATGTAATAAAAATACAGGGTGTAATTTTTAACAGACTATAGTTGGTTCGATTCCCGGGTGTGGCACGCAAATTTTTGGAAATCTTTGAATGCAGTTCTATTTCTTTTCAAAAATAAAGGAATGTTTCTTTGAGAAAAAATTTCTATATTAAGAGTACTTTTCCTCCAGGCATTACAAAATTCCACCCTGTATAGGCGTGGCACCCCCCCAAGAATGGTGATTGACTGATTTGAAGATGAGTTGATAGTTACTAACTCACGGTATGATACTGTACTAATTACAGTACTATTCATTGGTCTAAGTTGATGGGCAGTCGTCTACATATACATATGTACATAGTATTATAATTAATACGCAAATGTAAACAGTTACAATTTATTAGCGATTCGGCAATTTACAATAAAAGGAAATTATAATAATCTCAAGCCTTTTATAACGCAACTAGTGTAACGCAAGATTATTTGTCAGTCTTGTAATAACAATCACTTAAAATATGTAGGCATTATACATCTTTATCACTGGTAACACACATTGGTTATACACTCTAGTCTTCAGGCATTGAGGTAATTTGGACGAAAAGATGTTGCGTAGTTTCCCGAACGCTGCCCAGCCGAGTTGGATTCGAACATTTAGTACTTATTATTATAAGTATTACAGTGAATTATAAATATTTAAGTTACATAAATTATACATATTTAAGTTACATAATATGCATAATTTCTCCACCAATACCCAATTTCTTAAACTAAAACGTATCAAAGTAGTTATGTAGAAATGACAAGGTAAAATGCATTTCATTATGACAAAACTTGCTGATTAAAAAGCTTTACAGTTTAGACTGTGTATTTTGTAGCAAAACATCGTGCATGTCTTGGAGGGACTGCTCCAAAGCCGTTCGGTATTTACTGCAGTCTGTTTCGGTATTCGACGCAAATGAAGATGTTGCAAAGTTGACATCATTATCGCGAGGATTGTAGCACGTAGCATATCCATTAGCTACTAATGGTCCGTAACACATAAATCCATCGCATTTACAGGCGACCTGCAAATATACAAGAGTCATGTTTATTAAGAATTTAAGATTATTTTGTTTATCAAATAAGTTTCCTAGGATAGGCATGACTAAACATATTTTTTTAATTTATTATCTGTGTAATCTTAAAGAAATCCTCGGAGTATGTGATTTTCGATTAAGGCCCGGTTTCCACCAAGGCGAAGCGGAGAAGAGACGAAGACGAAGAAAAGAGAACCGAATACGAATAGAAGAAGATGTCACGATTAATCTACCTTTCGATATTATGATCATTCAATGTTACGGCATTGGATGTTTGAACATGGAACATCTGCAGTACGAGTAAGTGGATGTATTGCCTGTCTGCCCTGCATTATCTCAATGTACTAGAATGTCCGAATGTAACATGTAGTCCAGTCAATGAATGCCTTAACGACGGTGTAGAGAGAAATCCGTGGAACACAATTTCTGACCTCGGGACTTTATTTAGCCTAGTTAGGAGGTGAACATAGCAAAAGTCCCCGCCCTTAGCCCTTGAGCCGGCGGGGGGAGGGGGGTTTAAAGGTACCACTTTTCGGTTTTTCGCTTAATCCTCGGAAACTATGCGTCCTAGTGACATGACTACTAGGAACCAAATAAAGCTTATTCAATTTGCTACAGGCGAGACCGTCAAGTTTTTCTATATCTTGTATAGTTTTTGCGGCATCTGCTCTCGAAGGTCTGTAAAATTGGAAATTTTATTTTTGTCTTATATGTTCCTATCAGGAGAAAATCAACTAAATCAACATTGAGCAAACACTATAGACATGCGGGAGCATGTTAAGCCTAGTTCCAGGGAGGGGACTGCACCGTGCGTATATTTAGACAAACCAATTGTAGCCACTTTTAACTCCTCATCATTCAAAAAGTACTGTGCATTAACACTTCAAATTTGGCTCATGTATTGAGACTTGCAAGATATACATCAGCTTCAAATTTCATAAATATACCTCAAACGGTTATTTAGGTATTGACGTTCAAAAATCGACATTTAGAACACTAAAATCTATCTATCACCTGTGAAATGTTAAAATTTACTGGTTTTTTATTTGTTCCTTTGTATTTACATAACTACCTTTCTGGATGCAAAATTTGAACCTTCGAGGTCATCTGGAAGTGGTTAGAATTTGGTCTATAGGTCAGACATGTAGATTTTTGGACGTCAATACCTAAAGAACCGTTTAAGGCATATTTATGTAATTTGAAGCTGATGTATATCTTGCAAGTCTCAACATATGAGCCAAATTTGAAGTGTTAATGCACAGTAGTTTTTGAATGATGAGGAGTCAAAAGTGGCTACAATTGGTTCGTCTAAATATACGCACGGTGCAGTCCCCTCCCTGGAACTAGGCTTAACATGCTCCCGCATGTCTATAGTATTTGCTCAATGTTGATTTAGTCGATTTTCTCCTGATAGAAACACATAAGACAAAAATAAAATTTCCAATTTTACAGACCTTCTAGAGCAGATGCCGCAAAAACTATACAAGATATAGAAAAACTTGACGGTCTCGCCTGTAGCAAATTGAATAAGCTTTATTTGGTTCCTAGTAGTCATGTCACTAGGACGCATAGTTTCCGAGGATTAAGCGAAAAACCGAAAAGTGGTACCTTTAAACCCCCCTCTCCCCGCCGGCTCAAGGGCTAAGGGCGGGGACTTTTGCTATGTTCACCTCCTAACTAGGCTAAATAAAGTCCCGAGGTCAGAAATTGTGTTCTACAGTTTTCCATCTATAATGCTTTATTGACTGGACTACTGTCAGTGTCGATGGCGTTTGTATAGTGCCGTCCTTCTTTTATTGCGTTGATTCTGCTCCACACTAATGGCTGGAGGTGGAGACTATAATAGGTTGTATTGTTTGTTTACACATACAATGTCGCTATTTTGTTGCAATTTCTTACAAAACTTGCGCGCAAAAGGCAAAGTTTCTTATAAATCTAGTAGTATGTAAAATCATCTAATTTCTAACGCTCGTAACTCAGTTCAGACTGAGAGGTATACATGTCATAGTAAATTTGGTTTATCACACTATTTTGTAATATAACAACAAGGTTTGGTTGTTGGCCGCGCGAAAAAAAAATGCGCCTATTTCCGGCATTGCCTTTTAGTTACCTACTTAACTACTTAATACGTGTAAATCAGCCTTTAGTGTAGTTGTAGTGTTTAAACGTTCCATCTTTTATCAAGTAAAGAACAAAAACTTATCTGAAAAATTATATTTTTTCTATGATAATGTCTTTCAAACGTTCGTTCGTTCGTTTCAGCCAAATGACGTCCACTGCTGGACAAAGGCCTCCCCCAAGGTTTCAAACGTAATTTAACGAAATTCATCCATTGAAATTACCATATTGTCTCTTTGGAATATTCATTTGTTTAACCCTGTAACGATTTCTATCGGTGGTATTTACCTGGCTTGTGGAAATTCTCATGTGTGCACTTTTGATATACCCTGCATCCGAGTACAATTTGGGAACTTCTATTCCATTTTCCAAAGCAGTAAGTTTCAATCCAAGCAGATGTCTGTCAACACCATATCCTTGAAGTGCCTTAAAGAAATAATAATATTATTATAGTATGTACTTGATTACGAAGATTAGGTACTTAGCTCAGTGGGGATTTACCCCATTTATTTCCTCCTCCCCCAGTCTCTATACTATTCGATGGGTTTTCTATTAAAGTGTTCATTTAACCTCCTGGTAAATCTGATATTGAATTGATCCCTAGTTATAATTTAAGTGATAACAGATGTAATTTTATGAAAATATTACCTGTACTGTATAGTTCTTGTGAGCATTTATGGCATTCTTCATAGCTTGTATTTTTTCTTTTGGACTACTTTGAGCATTTAGCATTGTTTTTGCAAATTCAATAGACTCTATAGAGCACGATCGAATAGTCTCTGTGCGGCCTCCAACGTACATTCTAGTAGCAGCCGACTCGTAATGAGCGCCAGGGGTTTGATGAAGCCTAAAATTATTTTAGTTATAAAACAAAACTTGTTAGTTATACAGGGTGTTGATTTCAATCCTCACCATATTTATTTAGGTGATCTATTATGACTTATATAAACGCATTTTCCACAAAAAAAATATAAACGAAAGTGGACTTTTTAGCGAATATTTTCCGTGCGACATCAACTGTACTGTGGCTCGCAATACTGCACGTTTACACTGCGGCACCATCGAGCCACGCGGATCGCTCGCTTATCATGTTGGATAGCCTACAGAAGGAAGCCACGTAAAGTAGTTGACTAACTAAAGTTCATTTTTATTTCGAAGTAATTTTTTTTACTGATTCGTGATCAGAAAAAGCTACTTAATCAACTCCCTAAATATGGCGAGGATTGAAATCAACACCTTGTATAATTAATTATTATAAAAAAGCATATAATGTTACACAACATTATTGTATGTATATGGAGCAGAGACGGAAGCATTGCAATGAGATTGATTACTAATGTTTGGCCAAAAACGTTTCCCAAATTATCACATCGCAAACAACGTTTCGCAAATTTTCATTTGGCAAAACAACTTATTGCAAATTTTCATTTGGCAAAACAACTTATTGCAAATTTTCATTTGGCAAAACAACTTATTGCAAATTTTTGTTTACCAAATTATTGTTTGGCAAAGTTACTTTTCCCAAAGTATTTCATGATAAACAATTTACAAAATAATTTGATTGGTGCATAGAATGGAAAACAAATTAGCTTGTGGTTATTATTATTTTGTGGGTACTTAGTTAATATTAAATTTATTCTAAATTAATTTTCATTTAGATTAAATTTAAATTTTCATTCTTTTCATGGAAATTTCCAAATTATTCATTAACAATAGAGGTGATTCTAGCGCTCGGCGGCCGCTGCCGCGGCACGCTCACTTCGCTCGCTCCGTTCGCTCGCCTTCGCGCGTTAATGGTCACTGTCGGCCGTTTGGTGTAGTGGTTCGGAACGTACTACTATGCCGAGAGGTCCCGGGATCGATTCCCGGCCGGGCAGAAATTTAAATGATGAATTTAAATTACTGTGATGGGTCTGGGTGTTACTATGTATAATATGTATGTAGGGTAAACCGTATAGCTATTGCCCACTTAAAGATTTCAAATACATTGAGATGAAAAATTAAAGAGAGTATTTTAATTATCGACCATTTATGACTTTTTTCTTATAACTCAATTAACTGTTAAACAGAATATTAACAGTTTTTAGTTAAAACTTACGTAACTTAGAAAATATTGAAATAAATTTAAAATCCTCCAAAAAGTACAGTCATTGCCCATTACTTACACTAATTGCCCACATCAAAGCACAGTAATTGCCCAGTATCTTAAAACAAAATAATCAATTTTAAAATGACAAAATAGACTTTAAATAAACAAAACATTAAACTTAAATTCTAGTAGTACAGTCTTCAAAATTTCAAAATAAATTGCGTTTGGCCTTATTAACATATTATCAAATATTTCTTGAGCTAATCACAGAATAATAATAAGTACTACGTACAGAAGTTTTACTTCGCGAAGGTATTTAAAAAAATGTATGCTCAATGTCATTAACAATATGGTGTAATTTAGCTTGTCTCAAGAGTCAAGCAAGTTTGTCAGAAGTTTTGTTGACAAACGTCAGTGATCGGTACTGCGCCGAAGCTATAGGGCTGACTTCGGTAAAATGATGTGACGTGAGGTGCCAATCTGCAGAAAATGGCGGAGGAAATACATGATTTAGCATGAATTATCATGAATAATATTAACTACTTATTTACCTCTCAGTGTCTTCAGGCAACTTAAAAAAGTACATTCTGTGTTTTTATTATTATTTAGGCAGTTAAATACTGCACAGTATTTAGTACACCATTTTCTTTATTTTTTTCCATCATACACAAGAATACGCGTGCGTGAGTCAATGTTCGCTCGTATGTGAGGCCTTGTCGAATAGTACTCTTGTAGGGGGCAATCGTGCGTGTTTTGTTTTCGATGTAAACTCGCGGAGATGAACAGGCCTGCCATTAGTTGAATATTAAATAATTTGCAAAAAAAAATTAACCTCCAAGCAAGTCATTCCTTAGTAAAATTGTTAAAGTCTTTACCTGTTTGAGTAACATTTTCACCCGTCTTGACAAAATCCGCCATGACTGTTTTTTTTTTAGTGTTTCCTATTGTAAATTTTAAATCTACTGTTCATTGATCTCGGAGCCATCTACTTAGTAAATTCAAATATAACTGGAGTGATTCAAAGTCAGCACCTGACAATATTATCCTTAAAGCGGGCAATTACTACCAGTGGGCAATCACTCTCTGGTTTACCCTATGTATTACAAAAAAAGTATTTAAGTATGTTTATATCCGTTGTCTAGTACCCATACTACAAGCTTTGCTTAGTTTGGGACTAGAAGCGTAGTGTAAAATGTCCAAGGATATTTATATTATATTTTCTGCAATACCTACTTTCTGAAACCATACTATTTTGTTAAATTTAAGGTAAATTTAAAAATTTTGTTTAAAAGAAAATCATGATCTTATGACCTTATGCTTTGATTTGTGGGTAAGTATGTAAAGTGTCAATTTGACCAAACAAATTATTTGGAATGTAATATATTTGGCAAAATAAAACATTTGCCATAAAAAAATTGACCAAGTAAAATTTTGCCAAATGAATTAGGTGCGAAAAGTAACAGTAGCTAAAAGTTCATTTGGGAAATGAAACTTTGGCGATAAGTTGTTTGCGAAGTGCAATTTGGCGAAAAGTAATTTGGCCAAACGGAAGGATACCATTGCAATGGCTTGCGTTCTTTTAGTTAGTTCTTCAACCTTCATTAGCTTCGAATAAAAAGCATTTGGAATGGTTTAGTCATAATTTTTGATATCATATCATTCTGCCAAAGTTAGTTTATGGAACCTACCTATATTAACTTTATGATTTATTAACAACATATATAAACAATATTCAAAAGCAATGTGATGTATAACCAACCTGTAAAAAGCATATTGCATCGCCATCTGCAAATAGCTGTCGGGACTCATCTTCTGAGTTTTTATAAAATTCTTGCCATATTTATCGTAAGTAAAACAATTGAGTTCCAAGTTGTCTGCGAGTCTGGAACATTATGATGAATTAATTAAAAAATATCCGTCAAGTTCTTTGTACGAACCAAGTGAATTAAACTAGCTACAGTAATTTTCTTATTAAACCTACTGACTTAAAATCTTGATGGACAGCCATTCATCACAGAACCGTAATTAATTGGAGTAACCATAACGAAGTACATTTACCTATAGCAGCACTATTTAAAAGCTATCGCAACCGTATTTATTATGTGTTGCTACTGAATGGAGTGGTATTAGGTAGGTAGTTCAGCATCCTGAGGGCTTAGTGTGAGTTTACATCAAACAAGCTCACTAGTAGTAAGCGCATTAAAAAAAAGTATGGAAATTTTACTTCTTGTAAGTTTCCGCTAGGGGCGCATAGGGGGTCATAAAGAAGAACGGACATCTGTGACCCAGGCCCGACAGAAACGAGACATACCTCAGTTTTTTTGTCATGTCTTAATTAGTTAAGTTATATATTTTTTATATTCGAAATCTATGTATAACACCAAAATATTACCCTTTGTTTTTGTTCAGGCGTTATACAAAAACTAATACAAAATGCCTATTTATCACCAAAATTGGTATATGTATGTACCTAAATGTCTATTACAGCTGCTATGGAATGTATCTAGGTGACCTGGAGATACAGCCGGATTATATAATTTCATGTATTATATTTATATAGTTATATTTATATACCTATATAGTTAGCTACCTACATACATGAAATTAAATAATTTCTACAATACGCACCTGTTCAAGTTCGTTTTGGCATTATTTATCATTTCAGAAACTTCATTATTCATCGCAAATTTCAATAAAACTGGTTCCTTAGGCCTAGCGGACTGCGTCGGCGACTTTTTATCTTGTTCTCTGAAAATTTGAGAAATAAAATGTAATAGACGATGGCACAGCAAGTTACATTTTTTTTTTTATTTTCCTTATTTGGAAAATATACCTTTAACGAATAATAAAGAAAGAAAACGTACATGTATTGAATAATATAATCGGTTAGAACAGCTATTGGTTGTCCTTCCGCTGGAGAATGTTCGTAAGTCAAACCCGTTATTCCGTCAGCGCCAACAATGAACTGAAATATTTTTTATGATCATAAATTATTATCTGGTTGCTAAACTTTCAAAAACTGCAAATGGAAACAACACAACTTACGAATATGATAATTTTGTCACTTTTCTAGAAGAAAAGAAAGAAGATAGAACGAGGTAGAGGCGTGTATGGTGAAAGTAGTAGGTACAGCAAGCCTTCGTGCCGCTTCGTTTGCCATTATTTATTGGGCACCTTAAAATTATTTGTTAGGTTTGCTAAAGGTTAATAAAGGCTGAACTAAAGTAGCAATGGATTTAAGATAGCTCTCAAGCGCATGATATCCTTTTATCATCATTTCATCAGGAAAAATATTTGATACTAAATCAGGCCTGTCAAACTTTCCTTTAATTAATATAATCTTTGGAAAAGTTTTTAGTATTTTTAGCAATAGATTTCATTGGTTGCGCGTTGCGATAAAAATCATTTAACTTTAGTTTGTTACAGAATTGTGAACATAATTTAAAGTAAAATTCCACCACCACTTTAATCACCTATTACAGGGTATTTAGTGAATTAACCTGTACTGTTTTGTCGAACCAGCGATTGCAACCGTTGCTGTTTGAACCACCGCCATGAATTGTTTGGGCAGCGGCTAAATTCTGACGAGCATTCTTGTCCGGACACTTCCATAAGTCTACTGGTGCGTCCAAGCAGAGTACGGCTAAACTTTTTTCTATATCGGCTAACGACTCCCTATTCAAATTATCTATGAATTGAAAATAACGATTTAGTTATAATAATAAACAATTGAATAAATAATTAATTACATATTATAGTAGAGCTCGTATCTTATAAATGTTATAAGGTACTGTAGATAACTTCTTAGCAGTTATACATAGAGTAGTACACCAGTGTCCACCAAGAAATAATTAAAATTGAGTTCGCATCTGCATTTTAGTAAGTAATTTAGTGTTATCGATATCGCGGATATATTTAGTGATTTCCTTATCTAAGAAATTACCAATTAAATTATGTATGTATGATAAAACATAAGTAAAGCCTCTAAAATAGCAACTCATAACGCTAAATGTATAATTACAAGACAAGAAGATACCCACCTTTAATTAAAATATTATAAGCTTTAGCCCAAGTATCACGATTTTCAGATGTAAGTATTCCAATACCCTTATCTGTTGCTGTTTCGGATAATTTCATTACTTTTTTAAGTTGATCTTTGATTTGATCTTCATTTAATCTCACGCCATCTTCGCCCCATAAATCTAGATGAAATATCTGCAAGAACAAATCAATATTGATTATACAAGGTGGAAACGATAAGTGATCTCACTCGATTAATTCTAAACTATACGAGACATCGAAAATCTGATTACTGATCCTAAAAGTGCTTCACGTGCTCTATCCAATGATATCAATATAAGTTACAGAATAAACTGGATCTATCCGAAAATTCAATACTTCCAGCTTACATACATTTAATAAAGCCATACAATATTAGAAGTGTTAAGTGTCAGTTTTTTTAACACAACTGTAGTGTTTGTATCTACGTACTAGATAGATACAATACGCTGTCTCACGTACACAAGTGATAGGCAGTCACGTGACGTCGTTAGGCCTCAGCCTCGAACTTAGCGGGCAGCGGGGCGGCGGCGGCGGCGGCGCGGGAGCGGCAGGATCTTATGCGTAAAATCAAATAGACCGGTTCTCGAAAACAGCGGCGCGGCAGCGGGGCGGCAGCGGGCAACGAGCGGGCAGCGGCGAGGGAGCGGGCAACGAGCGGGCAGCGCACTCCTTCTTTTGCCCACAATAAATCGAGCGTTAGGAATAAATTTTAATCGAAATAAGATTGTTGCCGTTGTTCAGACATTTCGTTTGCGAATAAAAACAAATATCTCGACAACACAACCCCGAACACAACACTTCGCCGCTAAAGCGCCGCGCGAGCTGCCCGCTGGTTTCGAGAACGGGTCTGCGTTGCCCGCCCCGCTCCCGCGCCGCCGCCGCCGCCGCCCCGCTGCCCGCTAAGTTCGAGGCTGAGGCCNCACATTTACAACAACAATTTAGGATAATACCTAAATGCTCACTTTAAGTAGTTATTATTAATGTAGGTACAACAGTCTTAACGGTTCATTATAGTGCAGTATTTTATATTAATACTAGCTTTACGCCCGCGGCTTCGCCCACGTGGATATTTTTCTGCCACAGGAAAGCTTTATCGCGCGCGTCCCTGTATCGAAAACCGGAATAAAAAGTATCATAATATGTCCCGGGACTCATACTACCTCTATGCCAAATTTCATTAAAATAGGTTCAGTGGTTTAGGCGTGAAAGCAAGACAGACAGACAGAGTTACTTTCGCATTTATAATATTAGTATAGAAGTATAGATTAAGCCTTAGTATTCTTACGTGATTATTGTGGATGACGGTGACATATTTGCTATCGTTGTATGATAGTTTATCTCGTTTTTCTCCAGGTATCCTGCATGTGCCGAATATTTTTCTGTATTGTGACATATCCAGTGGATTCTTTCCCATCATTTCTACGGGTATTTTGTTCCTGTAAAACACAAGTATTATAACGCAATTAAGAATGTATATGTAGGTACCTACATTAAAAGCAAGAGCAACTATTTAATTAAAGTAATGTAATGTTTAGTTGACATCATTATACAATAATCTCAAAACATAGCAGGTGTTCATAATAAAATAACAATCAATTTTCTAAATATTATGTTTATGCTAAATTTTATTACCCTTACCCGTCAATTAGAGCTTTATATTCCAGTACAGCGAGCAAAGTCTTCGCTGCATATTGGAGTTGGTCGTTTTGATTGTTAAATTTACGGAACGGGAATACTAAGCCAGGGCTGGAATAAACAACGACTGGGTCGCGATATTCGAGATACGCTGTATTTAACCACCATTCTTCTAGCCAATTTAGATGTTTCTCAGCTCGACTTTCCAATAGACTCTGTAAAAAAATGTAAGATCAGATCAAAACTAATTTATTTAACACAAAGGCGCGGATCCAGCGGAAAATCTCTAAAGTGGAAAAAAGAAAAACAGTGATAAATTATTAGCTAATTAGAAACCCACCTCTAGTATTCTAGAGGGTGTTAGGTAAATGGGTATATGAGCCGACACTAGCCCATGTTAACATGGGCATATAAATGGCATGGTGAAGTCAGAAATTTGATATCATCACTTAAATTTTTTAAATTTTCATACAAAATAAATTTTATAAAATCCGATTTGTTTGAAAATTAAAATAATTAAAATGAAGATATTAATTTTCTGACTTCACCATACAATTTATATGCCCATGTTAACATGGGCTAGTGTCGGTTCATATACCCATTTACCTAACACCCTGTATACTACCTACATTATTAAAGCAAAGAATTATTAAGTTAGACTTACTTGTAATTTTTTACCTTCCCCAGATTCAAAGCTTTTTACTAATTTCGTCGTTTGTGAAAATTCCGTATCGTTCAAGTGTGGCCTCACGGTTTTCAAATATTTGTCGAGAGTATCGCTTAGCTTTGGGACTGGCAGCCGCGGAAGATTTTGAACATTAGCAGCAGTATTTGCAGATACATAATGAGCAGACAGTTCAAAAGAACTTGCATAAGGTTTCAAAAAAAGACTCTTGGGTCCACACTGTAACAAAAAAAAAAAAAACATATCACAGTTCCAATCAAATCAAATCCATTTATTTATTAAAACATAGGTGAACATGTGGAATTCAGGTGGTACATAGTGAGTAGAGCTCTGTTTTGCCTATGAGTGGCGTACAAATTAGTCTCATATAAAGTTACAAATAAAAGTACTTAAATCCTAATAGTTACATGTCATAACAAGTTCGTAAAACCTTGTTCGCGCTAGTCGATTAATTTAGGCGTGTGGCGAGTAATTTAGTAGCTATACGTGTCCGAAAACCAAAAATTTAGTTGAGTAGGTTACATGTTGCTACTGTAAGTAGTTAGTGTTTTAATGGACTGGACTAAACTACCCGGTTCGAACTTGTTTAAAGCCGATGAGCGAGTGAGCAGGGATGCGTGGTGGCGTGGTGGGGGGTAGGTACTATTCGCCTGTCAAAATAGAACAAAATAAACTGGCTCGACTAATGATTTAGTAACTTACTCGACTGAATTTTTTGACCTACGCTAGCGACATCTACGTGCATCTACTGTCTAGGTGGAGGTAAGAAAAAGTAAGACGATAAACATAACATAACATATCATTTTTTTCTTAGTTGGTATTACCACAGTATTACTGATAGGTATAGGTACCTAAGTAGGTATACCCTGTTGATGTATGAAATAAACATGTCCATTGTCCATACAAAAATATAACGTATCGAGAGGTATAAGAGCAAAAGTCGCCCGAACAAGCACGACCGCCGGCGGTCTTGTGATCGTTGACGGAAAATCGGCATTAGAACAGCGACCGCCGGCGGTTTTGATACTCAAGGGGTTAAGATAAAATATGTGTATTAGTTTGCTTACCACTTTATAACCCGCTCGTAGCATTTTTGAATCCTGAAAAAAATCCAAAGAAAACCAATATAATATATTGACAATACCATTAAATTATTAATTTGGTTAAAAGCTCTTCTTCTTCTAAAAATAGTTGTTTACCTACTTACATAAGTACATATTTTATTAGAAAAAGGATAGCCTGAAACTAGTTTGTATGGCAAAAGCAACTTATAACTTGAAGCTAGGCATGTGCTGATGCCAACCATTGCCAACCTATTTATTTTCTATTAAAATTAATTTAATTTAAAAAATAATAGCAAATAAAATTAAATAATGGTATTATTTTGATGTTCAATCAAAGCTTAAAATAAAACTTTTATCTAGAATGTTTAGGGGATCAAAAATGTAGGTATTGTTTGGTGTGCTACTGAATTACAAAATTATCATTATATTTTATTATTATTAGGCAGTGCATAATGACTATAAGTTATGTACCGCACTACCGCATGATATTGTGGTCTACATAACAAATAAGGTACCTGTTAGATAAGCCCACAATCATAGATATATAGGTATTACAAAAAACCTTAGGTATACTTAAAATAGGTAATTGTTTGATAATAATTATAAAACAATTTTTCCAGTAATTTTAGTTGTTTACAATTTTTTTACTAATATTTAGTAGGTACTTACTTACCTACCCACTAAAACAATTGATAATCTTTTAGGAACTAAAAATTGTAAACTTCTATTTGATGATATTAAGTTAACTTTTATAAATAACAAATGAGAATCTATACTTACAAACTTCGAGAAATTAAGCTTCTTCACTACATATAAATAATTAGACATTACCTACCTTGAAATTATTGGCAGTTGAAACTGTGGTGGAAACCATAGTTAGTTGGCAATGTTGGCTCACAGAGCAAAGTCTAGTGCAAAGAGTAAGAAGAGATTAGTGAAAGGGAACACGTAGGCAGGCAGGAAGTTATAAATTCAATGTCAAATAGGTACATCGTGTTATTGTATCTTTGGAACGAAACTTTATTTAATCGTATTCCATGTTCCAGTGATTTTATCGATGTCGATATCTTTTAGGATCTTTCCTTATTTGTGGTGTCCCGCTAAAACGAAAGCTTTGAACGCCTCGGGCTTCAGTGTTGTGCGAGTTGTGTGACGCCATTATTTTCAGTTTTTTTTTTTTGTATGGGAGATGGGAGTGTGATTTTGTTTGAGCCAGCTAATAAAAGTAAAAGAAAATGTTCCCCGACATGGCTCCAAGCTCCAAGCACACAATAAAATGGTGGAAAAAACCATAGTCTAGTCTAGCCTCTATAAAACTACTTCTACCTATTTTGTCACGGCCGCTACTCTGAAACGCTGTTTACGTAGTAGTTTCGAATCTATCTGTCATCGTCGCTCATGCTGGCATCTCCCTGTGCGCGGGAGGGATGGCAACATTTGAAATATCGATTATCGTTTTTCGGAATAACCCCGCAGTCACTTGACCAGTGTCGGGCATAGACAATTTACGATGAATCGCCATGATTCTGTTGGTACGCGGAATTTATTGGAACTAAAATTTATTAGGTATTTTGACATATTTTGGTTACACACTAGCGCCACTAAAAGACTTCTTTTCCGAATGGGATAATATCTTGTTTTTGTGTTTTGTGTGCGCTTTCAGATTTCAATTAAAATCAATAAGATCTATTATAAATTGTTAAAAATGGCTGGACAAGATGAAACTAAACACAATGAAGACGAAGTTGCGCCTGAAAACGATGTAGACATCACAGACCCAGAACAAGATAACGACGAGAACATGAGTGAAGGTATAAGGATAGAAGAATACAATGTAAATTAAATGTTTTTGATTTAGTTTTTTATATAATGTATTTTCTTCTTTTATTTTCTTTTTACAGAATACTATTTACTAGACACGAAACTTGATGAACTAAATACGGCTTTGGATTTCTTAGAAAAAAGAACGGATGACATTCATGAAAAATTGAAAGAACTTTTACAATCTAATAGAAGTATTAGAGAAGAATTAAGAAACGAAAATTTGAAGTCCATTGAAAAGTAATAATGGCAACTGATTACCTATTTGGGTTACTACTGAAATGTACGGTATTATCGATTTAAAAAAATATGTGATTGTATGTATTATCGATATTATTTTCATTTATCATTGTAGCAATGTGATACACTTACCTGATTATTTACTTTTATGAAAATTGTTGTTTAATAAATAATTCTAACCACTATTCTAAATATTGCACTTAAGTTCCTACCTACTCAGTGCCTTTTTCCTGTGATGCGGATTTCGGCACGCGTGCGGTTGTTCCGTCCGCTTGCGTGTAAAATCACGCTACTGGCTGCATGCAGGACAAAGATTTTGTATTGTATGCCCACAGCCAATCCACTTTTCCGCGTGCGTGTAGCCCGCGTAATAGGAAAAACTCATACTAAATAAATACGCACGCGGCCGAAATCCGCATCACAGGAAAAGGGGCACTTACATAATCCATCTATAATTTCTTACAACGTTCGCATGCCCCGTCAATAGGGTATTTCCAGTTACCATCAATGGACCATGCCACGAGCCCCTTACAAATTAATTAAGTGTATGTATTACGGTAAATGTGATAAATTGAAAATTATTAATAATCGCCGGATATTATGAATTTAATAATGTAATGGCTGTGACATACGGACGGACAGACAGACAGACATGACGAATCTATAAGGGTTCCGTTTTTTGCCATTTGGCTACGGAACCCTAAAAAGGTAGCCCTTAACCTTAACCCTTTACCGCATCGTTTCTCATACATACCGCACCTTTGCACCGCAACCGAGCCGTAAACGCAACTGTATAGGTATGAAAATAAAACACATAATTATAGTAATTTCTTTATGTATTTATTTTGTGACAATGAAACTTAGGTGAGATTGTGCTTTCATAATAGCGCGCTGTGTTATTGTTTACTTAGTTAAAACTAAAAAAAAATCTGGAAAGTTGCCGTTGGAAGAAACGAGGAACAGAAAATGAACAATTTACTTGTTAAATCACGACGTCGCGGTTTCGTCGTAAAAGCTTAGTTATTCATGACACGGATCACCTAGCAGCATAAAAAAAATACATTAATTATGTTTCAATCTATCTCTATAGTTTAATGTATATTGGTAACTAGTTTTCAGAATATTAAAATTTTAAGAATATCGCATTCTATGTTAAAAAAATATTTAGGCAAATAATTTCAAATCATTATTGTATAAGACATCGCTTTCCATTGTTTTTTCTGATACTCCATACAAGTCACTGTGTTGACTGCTTCCCAGGTTACTGAAAATGAAGCCAAGAGTGGATTAAACATTAATAATAACAAAAAAAATCCTATCAAATTCATTAGACAAAGATTCTTGCTCCATCAACATGCTCTATAATAGTAATGCTACAGTTTTATTTCGGGCAAATGAACTTCAAACCCACGACCGAATAAAAAAAATATTAAAAAAAATAAAGTAAGTGGAAAAAAAGTAAACAAACTAACCTTGTTAGTGAGAATCGGCTGAGGTGATTCTACATTTTTTTTTTAAATATATCTCCGTGTATTTGCAATGTACCCATTGCAAAAAAATAGGTATAGTTGTCTAACACTGAACCAACTGAACCGTCCCAGCTATGATATTGACAGAAGGGCGCTACTATCAATACTGGGTTATAGTTCCGATTTTTGCCACATTGGTCAATTTTATAATTATGGCATTTATAGGAGAGCGCTATTATCAATGCTGGGTTATTAATTAGTTCGCAACTTGATGTTTCAAAATTGTTTGACTATACTAAAAGATGCCCGCAACTTTTATTTATTGTTATCCCTAATAAAAAAAATATAAAAAAAATAAACAAAGTTCAAAACCATTCATCACATCGAAATCCAATGTTTATAAATTAATATTTTTTGTACGTACAATAGGCTAGAAGACAAAATTTCAATCATTTGTCCGAAAAAAGACAGATAATTAGAAAATATTAATCATATTTTTTATTTTCTTTCATAATTAAATAATAACAGTGCTACATCGAGTTGAAAAGGCGCGTTACGTCACACTTGAGTAGATTTTTTACTCAAGAGTGACGTGAGACGACATTTCGACTCAATATAATATAGCCTGACCAGGAACATAAGAACCCGCGCCATGTTGTGGAAAACTAATGGTACTAATTTCTTTTAATGGCAACAGTAACTACTGAAAACTTCATTGACATGTCACCTCGCATGTCATTAATTAAACTGTCTATTGCTGTCAAAGTGTAAACAAACTTTATTTTAAATGTGTGCAATTATTGATTTTGTGAATTAAATTGCTAAAAACTTTTTATAGTCGTGAAAGAAAAGTGGTTCACAATGTGTTAAAGCAGTGTTGGCACTAATCAATTAATTTTTTAATCAATTAATTAATTTGATTAATTTTAATCATGATTAAATTAATCCTGATTAAAATAATCATGATTAAAAAAGTAATCATAATCATGATTAATTTGTTAATCATTAATCAATAATCATTAATTTGATTAACTTGATTAACTTCTTAAATGTTCTATCGAAAACAATGTTAAAACATTGAATTCTAATATTAGATGTTTGGTTTTAGGCTACAATTCTATGACAGGTCATACCTAGATAAATATAAGGTAACCTAGGCTGCCCCCCGCCCCCTTCCCTCGCTGAAACTTCCGGTGCAGTCTTCCGACCTCCCGTAGGAGGATATCAGTCCACTTCCTCTACCGTTCCAGCACTTACTTGCAACCCCACACTCCCACCACCTGCCCCCCACCCCTAGCCTCCCCTGAAACTTCTGGTACGAAGTCTCCTGCACCTCCCCAACACGCAAAACCTCCTAGTTTAGCAACCCCACCCTTCTATTGAATTGCCCACGCGTGGGCCTCCCCCCGAAACTTCTGGTACTTAGTCTCCTGCACCTCCCCAACACGCAAAACCTCCTAGCTTAGCAACCCCACCCTTCTATTGAATTGCCCACGCGTGGGCCTCCCCCCGAAACTTCTGTTACGAACTCTCCTGCACCTCCCCAACACACAAAACGTCCTAGTTTAGCAACCCCACCTTTCCGTTGAATTGCCCACGCTTGCGCCTACCTTGGGAGGGGGGGACTTCTCCCCTATCGTCAGCCAGCCCGCTTAACTTCTATCCTGACCCAATTTTGCTGGAGGATACCGGAAGAATAGAAGGAATTGTGAGAAACAAAACTAGTGCGATAAGTGTTTTGAGTAGTGAAAATTGACGCAGTTTTTTGGGAAAACGACAGTACAACTCCAGATCCCCCCTTTGCTAGATATTTTATAAGTCGCGGGTACCTTTTCATACACTCCCAACCCTTTTCTTATGAAAATAGTAAATAGTTAATCAAATAATCAAAATAACAAAAAAAATTGATTATGATTTTAATCATTAATTTTTAATCATTAATCAGATTAACTTTTTGCCAACATTGTGTTAAAGTATTTATCGAAGAGAAATACCTACTAAGGGTTCGGACAATATATTCATTGAATAATGTTTCCGACAAAGGTTGTCAAATTGACTGACATATTTATCGTATAGTACAGTCCACTATGAAAATTAGCTGTGGTTTGTTTCAACTACCTATTTTAAAGCTTTTTGTCACTTTGTAAGTGTTGAATTTTATGGAATTGGGAAAGAAGTACCGAGTTTGAAGCGTTCATGAGCAGACATTGTAGTTGAATATTCAAGTTCTGAATTTGATTAAATTGTGAATAATAAAATAAATCCTACTAGCTCGATTGATGGTTTCATTTAATTTATTTAAAATAGTACGACTAGCACGAAAAACTTTCGAGTTCGAATCGTTTACGTTTTCGACAAATTTCGATACTCAACGTTCAAATTAAACGATAACGTGACAATTTTGATTCTCAAAATAAGTTTCGTGCTACCATTTCTCATACTAAGTTCACTTTACGACACGTTCACAAGGGCGCTGTTGTAGTTTTCGTACTAAATCTTTTGATGGCGATTAGAATACGCAAACAATTCGAACTCGAAAGTTTTTCGTGCTAGCCGTACAGGTTAANACATGATGTGCCATTTACTCCATTTATTGTGGACTCCTTTAGTTTAATTCACGATAATGTTCGTTTTCACAGTGCTCGCTCAGTACAGGCACATCTAAACCATTTGGATATACCCATGATGCAGTGGCTGGCAAGATCCCTAGACAAGAATCCTATAGAGCATGTCTTGGACTTTCTTAAAAGATGTGTTAAACTCAGAATACCACCGGTGGTGTTGAGAAACGCGTTACTAGAGGAATGGCAGACATTGCCCCAAAATACCCTTCATATCATTAACTGCAGCATGCTCAGATGAATGGAAACCATCATCAGAGCAAGAGGGGGAAATACCCATCATTAATTCATTCATTTGGATAGTGATAAGCTACCCTAATTTTTAATCTGGCCACAATTTCTAATTTTTGTTCAAAACTGAAAAATTGAAATTTCGTTTCGATGATTTTTTATTAAATAAAAACGACTATTTATTTAAAAAATATATGTTATTTTATTTTATTTTAATTATCTCTTTATTTTGTATAATAAATATTTCATAGATCAGTAGTAATTTTCCTTATTTTCATACTTTTTTTTGCGTTCCGCTAAATCTGCCGGTGTGTGTATAATATAATCCTTTTCGTTAATTTGTGAAAATATCAAATTAGCCCGTAATCCTGAATCCTGATACATAAAGTTAGCCTATTAATTTAACACAGGTATGACTGTACTCAGTGTGGCACTAAAGCCTGGTCCGTGAGCACGTAGAATTTTTATGGTCCTGGTCGGGCTATAATACTGTAATTATTCGATTATGAAAAAAAAATCAAAAATATGAGTCTAAAATTTTTTTTATTATCTGACTGGCGGACTAAATAGAATTTCGATTTCATTACCCAGTCATCATCCCTATTACTGTATTTCATTTTAGTTTACCTGTTATTCATACGATCCATGTCAACTTCTCCTGAGAAACTGTCCGAATCTTCGTTGAGCGAAGTTTGGGAATCTAAAATAAAATTAAAGATTATCAGAAAAATTAGAAATGCAAAATGCCCACTTATTTTGCTCCTAAAAATAGATTACAACTTACAACAGGAACCTAACAGTATGGTAATAATTTGAGTTGATTGAATACTCAATCGATTTCTTAGTACACACATAATATTAATTAATTTCGATGAAGCGTTAACATTCAAATAAATATGTACCTGAGGTAGTAAGTCGATGCGTAGTGAGGTATTCTGCGGAGAGGTAGGGAGGCAGGTCGTCCGCGGCGTCCCCCGCGCCGCCCTCGGCGCCCAGGGTCTCCACCACTGACAACCACTGCCCGTTGTGGCACCGAAACCGTTCAACCTTTCACAAAATATTACACGTTATAGAAATCACATCCACGAAGACGCGCCCCACCACTCCCCGGTCGAGGGAAGCGCGGGGTGCGGGGAGCCTGATCCGACCAATCCGAGCGTTATCATTGTAGTGTGCGCGCGCACTCACGGACAACTATCCAATTGTAACGCTGTCAATGCCAACAATGACGCTCGGATTGGTCGGATCAAACTCCCCGCACCCAAAAAGTGGTGGGGCGCATCCTCATGGATGGTACGATCTATACTTCTTCTATAGTGTTACCTTAATTCTAGCTGCCCAGTCATTTTGCATCTGAGATATGATATCCAAGCAAGAGTCGCACATTTTCCTAATTTCAACATTTTTATCTTGCATGAGATCGATGAGGTAAGCTGGAGCTTCTGTAAAATAAAAATATGTCAATAAATTTACTATACTAACTAAAAATACTAACAAAAGCCGAATCGTGAAGGTGTCGGACTGGCCGACTCACAGGCAACGTGATATGAGGAACGCGTTTAGACTATTGTGGTGAACCCACTCGTAACACAAGCATGAAGCATCGGCAATTACCACGAGGGGTTAACGACATTTATTTATTTGTTATTAAATACAAAAAGCAAGCTTGAACTAACTAACTATTAGTATAGTTAGTTTCAACCACGAAGATACGCGGGGTTGAGGGAAGCGGGAAGTGCGGGGAGTTTGATCCGACCAATCCGAGCGTCATTGTGGGCATTGGCAGCGTTGCAATGGGGGCTATCGTTTTTATACTTAACAGTTGGCACCCCTGGCGATTGACAGGACCTTACTCTACAGTGGCGCCATCTTGATGAGTGCAAATGCGATAGTCCTCCTACTACTTTAGCACTCACCAGTTGGTGCCACTGTCTTCGCTACTAGCAAGTGACAGGACCTTACTCTACAGTGGCGCCAACTGGTGAGCGCTAAAACGATAGCCTTCATTGGATAGTTGTCTGTCCGTGAGTGCGCGCGCAAACTACAATGATGACGCTCGGATTGGTAGGATCATGCTCCCAGCACCCCGCGCTTCCCTCGACCCCGCGCCTCTTCGTGGATGAAACGAACTATAATGAGGGTTTTCGCGTATGAAAAATCCGCCAGATGGCAATACGTAGACGCGAGGTCCAAATGCTGCACGATTGGTTATTTTTGACATGACATTGACAGATATGTCAAAATCCACCAATCACGCAACAGTCAGACCCCACATCCACGTCCCGCCATTTAGTGGATCTTTCATACGCGAAAACCCTCATAGTGTAATAACAAATAACTTAATATTAAGAGCGTTGTCACATTTTTCATGCAGAAATCCAGAATTTGGCAGATTTCGAAATGATTTTAGTCATATAATTTATTGTTATGGCTTCTTTTGACTTATATCATCGTAATTATCATACGTTTTTACGGAATGTCTATTGACAAAATCTCGTTCAAATTGGATTTTTGCCTACGAAAACAGCGAATTTCGAAAGCCCGATTTCCAGGTAACTCGCGATGGCACAACTTTGAACCAATATTACAACAAATTTATTTCCAAGTAAGAAGATAGAATGTATTCATTAGAATAAGCATACCCTGAAGAAGAAAGTGTATTGAGAAAATTTTGATGTTTAATTCATTAAAATGCATTTTTATCATGTCTAAGATAGTCAAAATTCGAGAAAATTACTGCAAGAAAACAGGTCACATCTCATAATCTAAAAGTCATTTGGCAACATAAACTACTTTATACTTAAGAAGAAACATAGTACTATTATTGTGNTTTTGATGCTGTAAAAAGAATAAAATAAAACATAAATTCTTTCAAACCCATCAACTTATTACTTTACTCAATTTAAAGATTAAAAACTTGTCGCGGGATTTACTAGTGTAAAAAATACATTAATTAACGTAACTTGATTTTGCTAAAAGTCTGATCTGAGAAAAAATCAAATAGGTAAATTATACATTATTTCTTTATTATTATGTATGATGTACTGTCTTAGGTACGATACAACTACGGATTAAGATCGTTTAGTCGACGCAGCGTTGAAATTGTACAGATATATACAGTTTGCGCACTCACTACGCGACGTCAAGCAATAAAAACCTAAAATTCGAACGCCAACTTTTTGCTACAACGCTCTTAAAAAAAAAATAAGTTGACCGGTGCGCGTAACGAGGTATTCCGCGGTGCGCGGGTGCGCCAGCATCTGGCGGAAGGCGTAGACGGTCTGCAGCACGTGCTCGTCGTCGGCCTGGCGCAGGCGCAGCAGCGCCACCAGCGCCTCGCCGCCGCCCGCGCGCACCAGCGCCGCCGCCGCGCGCTCCTCCGCGCCCAGCGCGCCCGCGCACACCACGCCCTCCAGCACCAGCTCCGGGTCGCACGTGCTCTCTGCGCAGGACACCCGAAGGAATATAAGCCCCCCGTCGAACACTTCTCGTCCACTTTGCGTTGTTAATTGCTCATAAGATAGGCCCCCTTAATTTAATTTATTGTCCGTGGTGCATAATCTTTTCTTAAACCTTTGTTTGTCACCTGTCATCCGCTTTGCAATGGAGGGAAGTCGAACCTTAATTTCGAACTCCTCCTATGTTCTTCTGATTAATTTCGTTGCGGGTCCAATGACAGTTTAACTTTCCCCCGGGACAAACTTGACCTTCATCGGTTGGGTTTTTGTGGCGGTCACGCTGTAGATCCTGGCTACACAGGAGTTGCCGTGGTGGGAAAGAGAGGGGGGAATAGGCCCGGTCTCGTCCACTTGCGACGACAGTGTGACATCTATACTAATATTATAAATGCGAAAGTAACTCTGTCTGTCTGTCTGTCTCTCTTTCACGCCTAAACCACTGAACCGATTTTGATGAAATTCGGCATAGAGATAGTTTGAGTCCCGGGAAAGGACATAGGATAGTTTTTATCCCGGTTTTTGAAACAGGGACGCGCGCGATAAAGTTTTTCTGTGACAGACAAAATTTCACGCGGGCGAAGCCGCGGGCGGAAAGCTAGTCTCTTATATGTATTATAGTTATAGTTGTTGCAATTCATGAAGGCAAATAAGCTTTACATGTGTGGTGGCTCGCTAGTTGCTACTGTTTGTCTTTCAAAAGTTTTGATAGACTACAATATCGTTATGTGCATGTACACGTACACACACAAGTAAAGCTCACACGCCTCCATGAGTTGCAAGAACTAAAGAGATGTCACACTCTCGTCGCAAGAGGACGTCCGACTACACAAGACTATTATGAGCGATGGCAATCGTCGACTGTTACTTAATAAAATTATCCCAATGAGGGTTTTCGCGATTGAAAAATCCGCCAGATAGCAATACGTAGACGCAAAGTCCAAATGCTGCGTGATTGGTGGATTTTGACATATCTGTCAGTCAATGTCATGTCAAAAATAACCAATCATGCAGCATTTGGACCTCGCGTCTACGTATTGCCATCTGGCGGAATTTTCAATCGCGAAAACCCTCATTACGTGGTTAAAACGGGCACTGGGCAGGAAATCAAAAAGACTTTCACAAATCAAAAATTATCACAACGTGCGAGATAGAAGAATATACGGATTCATCGATCTCATTTAACTAGGAGTAGACTTCACGAATCGCGAACTGCTAATAAGTTGAACAATATTTTCGTTTTACCCTAAAACGTAGGATAGCCTGATATGTCGTAAACTTACCTATTTTAAAAAGTACACGATTACATATCAAATTAATATTAATTAGTTAACATAAGTACTTGCCTGGATCTAAAATTTTCATAATGCAAGGAATCAAGTTGTATCTCTCCACAACGGCATAAACGTCGATGTTATTGTTCGAATTCAGAATATTGCTCAAAGTCCCAATACATTCAATTATAAACTCCTCGGCAGCGTCACCGCTAGTGACGGCCCCGGCTATGTCACCAACAAATTCCTGAAATCGTATGAGTAATTTCACAAAGTGATAAACGTTTGTAGCTGATTTAGAGAATCAAGTATCAGCGGCAGGGCCTTAAAATAGGGCCTTGTGGCCTTTTTGAACTATCATAGTTGGCTTTTGTACAATTATGGGTTCCCACATCTAATGACCTGTATTATTACACACTGGACAGGCTACTGTCTCCATACTAATTACAGCTAATTTTGTGTGGCAATTTGAAGCGCCACTACGATTGTCCCGAGAACTAATTTTGACGTACTTTGTATGGAGGAAGCATAGGACTAAGCGAGAAAATTAATTTTAGTTCCATGGACAATCGTATCTGCGTAGAGTATGGCCTACAGCGCCAAAATGGCGAAACTGAAATAGGCGGCACAACAATATTATAACAGCAGCCAGTCAAGTGTGTATTAATAACAGGTCAGTGCCCACATCATTTATAAACTCGCAACTCACCACAAAGAGGAGTTTATTCTGGGCATGGTGCGACAAGTTGCGCACGAGCTTCATGAGCATGGTGTTGCGGTGGCGGAAGGCGCGCGCGAGCAACTCGCGCAGGCGGCCCTCGGCGGCCATCTGCTGCGCGCGGCGCGCTCGCACCACGCCAGGTCAGTGCCCACATCAAGTATCAAAAAACAACTCGCAACTCACCACAAAGAGGAGTTTGTTTTGGGCATGGTGCGACAAGTTGCGCACGAGCTTCATGAGCATGGTGTTGCGGTGGCGGAAGGCGCGCGCGAGCAACTCGCGCAGGCGGCCCTCGGCGGCCATCTGCTGCGCGGCGCGCTCGCACCACGCCAGGTCAGTGCCCACATCAAGTATCAAAAAACAACTCGCAACTCACCACAAAGAGGAGTTTGTTCTGGGAATGGTGCGACAAGTTGCGCACGAGCTTCATGAGCATGGTGTTGCGGTGGCGGAAGGCGCGCGCGAGCAGCTCGCGCAGGCGGCCCTCGGCGGCCATCTGCTGCGCGGCGCGCTCGCACCACACCAGGTCAGTGTCCACATCATTTATAAAAAAAAAATACTCGCAACTCACCACAAAGAGGAGTTTGTTCTGGGCATGGTGCGACAAGTTGCGCACGAGCTTCATGAGCATGGTGTTGCGGTGGCGGAAGGCGCGTGCGAGCAACTCGCGCAGGCGGCCCTCGGCGGCCATCTGCTGCGCGGCGCGCTCGCACCACGCCAGGTCAGTGCCCACATCAAGTATCAAAAAACAACTCGCAACTCACCACAAAGAGGAGTTTGTTCTGGGAATGGTGCGACAAGTTGCGCACGAGCTTCATGAGCATGGTGTTGCGGTGGCGGAAGGCGCGTGCGAGCAACTCGCGCAGGCGGCCCTCGGCGGCCATCTGCTGCGCGGCGCGCTCGCACCACGCCAGGTCAGTGCCCACATCAATTATCAAAAACCAACTCGCGACTCACCACAAAGAGGAGTTTGTTCTGGGCATGGTGCGACAAGTTGCGCACGAGCTTCATGAGCATGGTGTTGCGGTGGTGGAAGGCGCGGGCGAGCAGCTCGCGCAGGCGGCCCTCGGCGGCCATCTGCTGCGCGGCGCGCTCGCACCACGCCAGGTCAGTGCCCACATCAATTATCAAAAAACAACTTGCAACTCACCACAAAGAGGAGTTTGTTCTGGGCATGGTGCGACAAGTTGCGCACGAGCTTCATGAGCATGGTGTTGCGGTGGCGGAAGGCGCGTGCGAGCAACTCGCGCAGGCGACCCTCGGCGGCCATCTGCTGCGCGGCGCGCTCGCACCACGCCAGGTTCACGCACAAAGCGAGTAGAACGTCCGTCACGCCCGGCCCCGAGCCCGGGCTGCTCTCGCTGTTCACGTTTAGCAGCAGCATGTCGGTGAGCTGGAAACGAGGTACTCATAACGAAGGATAACATTCATGCGCGTACATAGCGGAGGGGCGTATGGTCTGGTACCCCTCCCAGGATGTTGGGCTACTGGTTTGAAGATGATAGTTGATAGTACTAACTCGTGAGCTATGATACGAATTCAATAAGACATGGCATATCAGGGGCCAGGCCCTCCCTGAAAAAGAACCCTATACATATAGAGAAGCACGTCCGTCACGCCCGACCCCGAGCCCGGGCTGCTCTCGCTGTTCACGTTTAGCAGTAGCATGTCCGTTAGCTGGAAACGAGGGTGCCAAAATAGGGTCTATTACGAAAAATGACCAAAAGTAAGTCCGTCACGCCCGGGCTGGAAGCCGGGTTGCTGTCCTGTTCACGTTCAGAAGCGCCTTTTTTTAGAAACATGACCAAATAAATAACCCTTATTTAATAACTCAGAAAAATATGTAAATTATTGGAAATACACATTTTACAAAGGATTAATAATGATAAGTATGTACTTACAAGTTTTACACAATCTGACTGGGTGAACATAAGCTTCACTCTGTCATCCATGCTCAGATGATACAAAATTTTCATTGCTAAATTGATGTGCTTGTCGTCACCTGTAAATAAAAAAAAGGTGTGATATGATTTCAGTGGAGTATGAAATATATCAATTTCATGGATGTTGAAAAATAAATGCAGTGGGTGGCTTACTTGTGAACTGAATGAATTTCGGCAGCAAACCTATCTTAATCATTTTATTGCGCAATTTCGTGTCAAATGTTAGATTAAACAACAGTTTTAAAGAAACATTGACTAAGTCTGCATTGGGAGAATCTAACAAAGGTGCCAGTTTTTCTATTATTCCTCTTGAAGCCATACTATTTTTGTTTTCCACAAAAATAGACAATTTCTGTAGGAATGACACAATTAAAATAAGTAAATCAATATTTGAATGTCTCTCCATTGCTCCAATCAATAGACCAACTATATCTTTCTTGTGCATTTTTTCTTCCACTTTTACATTATCTGCAATATTGAGCAGCATATAAAAGGCTACTCTTAGCAATTGTTCTTGTCTCTTAGATAGGGTCTTTAGTTTTCGTTTCATTTGTTCTTCATCATTTTTAGAAAGACATTCATCTGAAGCATTGCATAGGTCTTCATGGTAACTAGAAACAAGAGCTCTAGATTTCTGCATATTAACATCAGCCACAGCCCATGTGCCTGACTTAGGCCTTCTTTTTGGTTCAGGAATTCTACTCTTGGGTAATTCACTCTGCAAAGAAGACTTCAGATTATGAATCTAGAAACTAAATACAAAGTTATTTAGTCTGAAAAGAGTGAGGAAAATATTTATTGCATTACCTCCTGACCATTATATGGATTAATTAGGATAGGATAGCAGTGTTTTGATTAATTAATTGAATTACTTACTTTATCAGGAGTTAACAATGGCTTTTTCCCTTCTACCTTTTCTTTCCACTGGTCATACCTTTTCAGTTCATAATCTATAACATCCATACAAAGTGATCCAATTTTATACTGTATAATTACAGGATGAAATTCATTATAAGTTGAAAAACAGAAAAAAGTGTACACTATGTTGGTACTTAGTTCAATACTTCTTTTCCATTCCTCTCTTAAAACTCTTGATAGAGCACTCAGCAAAGCTTCTGGAAATAAAATTGAAGCATATTAAGTAAAGGCTGTTTAGGAGTACTATGTAGAGACAAACTATAAAATGAGAGACTGACCGTTTCTTGACAATTCAATTAAATTATCTGGATTTCGTGCCAACTGAAGAATCAGAGCTGATCCCTTAATTTTTTCTGGAATATCATCATAGAGCAACTCCACATAATCATCAATGCAGTTCAGTACTGCTACTGGTACACTTTCCACAGGACTCATGATAAACCTAAATAATAAACTAAGTTTAGTTTTTGTTAATTATAAATTAGCATTGCTCAGAAAGTGAAATCTTGTTATATTGGTGTTTGTTTGTAATAAGAAATCATGTGAATGTCTTAAATGATATATTAGAAATGAATGAAAATTATGATGGTTATTACAGACTGGCATATGGTTCAAATTATTCTTACTATTCTTCAATATTACAACGTAATGGATGTGTTGTAAGACTACCCGTTGGCATTGAGACAAGCAAATTAAAGACAAAATGGTAATGTGTGTGCTTGTGGGTGTATTTACGTCTTGCAAGTGAGGAAATACTTACCCCGTTTATGTCCGAAGACTACGTATATTTTTTTCATACAACGGAAAACAAGATGCAGTATGTAGCTTGAGTAATTATGACTAACTTATAAATGACGATATATGTATGTACTATGTATTAATGTTTTTGAAAATGATGTATGAAAATCGAAGATTGAAAAAGTCGAAAATCAATAACATGAATGAAACCATAGAGAAAAGTAATACAAATGAAACGTCTGACAAACAGTCAAATAACGCCATCTGTCAGATAGACAGCTGATAAAAGTGACACAAGCAGGTCAGAGATTATCTAAGAAAAGATGTAGCTAGCACAAACCTATAGAATACCGATAATAAAATAATATAGGCAATAAAGCATAGAATGTAACCAGCCGTTAACCATAACCAGCATAGCTAGCAATAGAAGATTATAAAAAAATGCATATCTTTACTTTAACTGATATTAAAGTATTATGTTAAAATAGTGCGCTTCGCACTATTGAAGCCATTAGACAGAATAAAAATAATAATAAATACTCCTATTCATGGAATTCAAGAAAAACTTAAAATAATTTCTTCTCTACGTTTCCCCAACTTTGTCTCCTGATTCGTGGACTTTACAGAAAAACGACACGATTGTAATACGATGAAAATTAATCCATATAACTTTTTTAAATGTCTTTCTCATTATTACATTATCAATGGTTGTGAGGGAGGAGGAAGAAAAGTCAATGTCAAATTGTCAGAAGGAAAGCCATGTTTGTTTGCAACATCTGTGGTCATTGGTGATTAATTTCAGAATTATTGTTTTATTTACGCTAAAGTTTCGCGTTTTTGGTAATTTAATGGTGTAGCAGTGAAGTTATTTACACAATTAATCAAAGTTTTACCTAACGATGTCAAGTGAGTAAGATCTACAAAGTAAATATTGCAATCGACTCATTCCAATGATTTCTGAGTACTTATTTCTTGTCTTTTCCTTCCAGCAAGATAAGGCTTTGCGATAATGAGATAAATTTAAAAGAGCCTTGCAGATTGAATTGTATTAAATTGGTAACAATGTTATGAAATAATATCAATTTCTAATAAATAACACTTACCTACCAAAACACTTGTTTACTTGCTTGTATGGCACTTTTTTATAGTAATCTAATGCACCTTTTTATCTAATTAGTGCATAGTTTTTTTAAATTAAATTCTTGTGCTATCAAGACTGATACTCCCTTTTATCAACGTTGTATGCATGACATGAGGTAGGTTTACTTCAAAAACAGGATAAAGATAACAGTTTCTGTTCACTGTAAAAGAAGGATAAATATTGTATATTTTTTTAATTTGTAGCCTTTGTTCCTTCTCTTGAAATAAAATACTTTTTTAGAATAAAATTTATGCTTAGCCCATTTCAGTATTTTTTTAAGCAATAGCGCTTCTTTAAACTCTGATATTTTTGATCATAATGTACAGTAATCTATTACATCTTCAACTTAGATCTCCCCATTATCTACATTTTCAGCTAATTCAAGAATAATATTAATTATCATTCCTTGAAAACTACAAACCATTTGTGCCATTACTGTCCTGCAATAATGCAGTAGTGAAAATAGGTACCTAATTATTGTTAGAAATTAAACTTTCTGTACATTTCCATTCCCCATACTCACACTTTTGGTTAGAAATTATGTTTTTTAAAGAGTTGAATTTAATAGTGTTTTATTTATTTATATTTTTGATTATCTAGATTTCTTTTAGATGGCCTTTGTTGATACTTCCTCTAGATATGCAACTATAGATTAGTTAATTATAATTTCAAATAAAATTGTTTCAGGTCTCTTCACTTCAAATATATAGCAGATTTTGGAATTGAGTGTTAATATGAAGTATTAGTTATCACAATGACTGAAAGTATAGCAACTCTCACAGCTCCAATATCTCTGTCCACATATCACCAGCTTAGCTTAACAGGTACATTTTTCTCAGGATACAAACTGGTTTAATTATATATATTGCATCTTTTGACATCATTAGTCTGCTTATCCCAGGGTTTAGATTTGCAATTTTGATTTATGAAATGTGACCTTCACAATACACTTATAATATTATTGATTTTAGTTGAAACAGCAAGCATACGGAATTCAGGACTATTCAAGCCAAATCCTTATTTGCAAGTAACTGTTGATGACAAGCTATCAAGAAAAACTGAAGTTATAAAGAATACTTTACATCCAAAATGGAACGAAAATTTCACAATATTGGTCACACCATTGTCACAGTTGTTGTTCAAACTTGCAGACCATCATAGCTTTAGAAAAGACAATATTCTAGGCGAAAAAAGGATAAATCTTTTAAAAGTTCTGCAATTCTTTAACGGAAAATGCGAAAATATAGAGTTGACTTTAGGTGAGTTTATGAATTTTCACACTATTAATTACCTGTGTTACTTCAGCAATTGCCAATTATTTAATATGTTCTTATAATACTTTTTTTTAGATATGATGAAAACCCCATCCCAAGACAATGCTTCCAGTGCAAATTCTGAAACTAAAACAGCTGAGCTTATCATACTTTTGGATGGCCTAAGAATTGACCCAGCTATTTTACACCAGTCACATGAAGTTCTTGGAGAAGCAAGTTCTTCAAGAAATCCATTAAACGAAGGAATTCGAGCTCGCATCAGACTACGAAACAATCCAGAAACACTAAGATCGATGTTACGATCACAAACATTGAGGGTAGCTATAGAATTTAATCCTATAAACATGTTATGTTTTCAGTACTTTGTTTATAATCATTCTACTAGTATACACCATTATCTGATCAAAAATATATTACAACAGCACAGCCTTGTTATAAATCAGTATCATTCTGCCACATACGAGGTGTGTTCAAAAAGTAAGGTGACTTTTCAAATTTCGCGGGCAACGTACTTTCGATTATCGATTTTTTTGTTTTGTTATATTGGTACACTCTTCCCGAACATCTGTACCAAGTTTCAACTGTATAGCATTTTTTGTTTGGTTGTGAGAGCCGTAAAGGTTATAAGTGTTTTGCGTGCTCGGCGATTTTTAACTATCGAAAAATATGGATCAAAGGATTTGCATCAAATTTTGTGTAAAAACATTTAAATTTAGTGCTCCGAAACACTTGAAATGTTGACAGTGGCATACGGTGAAACTGTTCTGAGTAAAAAAAAATGTTTCAAACTCTTCCAAGATGGCCGGGAAGATGCCAATGACGAGCCTCGCTCTGGACGCCCAAGCACGTCAACAACTGATGAAAACGAGCAAGCAGTGAAGAAAATTGTTTTGGAAAATCGTCGAATCACTATCAGAGAAGTTGCTGAGGATATCGGCATATCGCTTGGCTCGTGCCATGAATTTTTTTCTAACGTTTTGGAAAAACAATTCATGGCTTTTGCATCACGATAATGCCCCTGCTCACTCATCTTTGCTTGTGAGAGATTTTTTGGCTAAAAACAACACCACAATCATGCCTCAGCCACCATATTCACCGGATTTGGCCCCATGTGAATGTTTCTTGTTCCCAAAATTAAAGAGACCTATGAAAGGACGGAGATTTACAACGATTGAGGAGATAAGACTGCATCGCTGGAAGAGCTAAAGGCTATACCGAAAAGTGCTTATGAGAAGTGCTTTGAGGATTGGAAAAACCGTTTGCATAAGTGTATTGTATCTGAGGGGGATTACTTTGAAGGGGACGACATAAATATTGATAAATAAATAAATATTTTTTCTTAAAAATACAAAGTCACCTTACTTTTTGAACACACCTCGTATGTATAAGATTAATTGACGCGGATCTCAAAATGTAGCATAATAATAAAACATCTAGCAAAAAAAAGTGCGCGTATAAATCTAGGTCATGCTGTGTGTTTCGATGTTTGCATTATTCTTCATGTGTGGCGTGACCACATTTCAATGATGGCAAATTTAGGATGAGATAATTTCCTAAAACATCCTTTTCGAGTTTTTTTTTTCGGATTGACAATGCTGATAGCAGCAATAGGTGAGCGCAGATGGCTCTCAATCTCAAGCCTTAAGTCTAATAAGGTTTATTTTCTTGCAGCCACCCCCGGGCCCACCGCCTATAAGCAACGGGTCTGTTCTCGCGGGCGCCGAGAGCGCCGCGGGGACGGGCGCGGCCGGGCCCTCCAGCCAGCCCGCGCTGCCCGCGCCCGACCACCCGCCGCCGCCCGCGCCCGCGCCCGCCGCCACCGAGGAGCCCCTGCCTCCTGGCTGGGAGATGAGATACGACGTCTACGGCAGGAGGTAAAGGAGAAAAACCGACACCAAAAAACCTGCACTAAAACCACAGAATAAGTAATAGTACAGGTACAGAAGGATTACTCCGCACGACGATTTAAGTAAATGCGAGTCTTGCTGCGACGCGATACAGTGGAATTCAGCTCGCACAGCACTACGTACCTACAATTTTATTCACCTACAAGTTTTGTCTCATTCTATCGCGTGCCTCTGAACTCTTCTTACGCTGTTAGGGTTGCTGTCTAGAGAAAAAATAATTAGTCTACTTATTTGTAATGAGGTACGTATGTAGGTAAGTAAAAATAACATTTCAAATATATCTAATTAGGATTAAAAAAACTTGTTCTATTACAATGTTTTCATTCATACCTATTTTAACATAAGACAGATAAATTATTAAACATACTATTACAGAAAAAAAAAGAATCCTATACTATCCTATAAATTTTATTATTGATTACCTACATGGCCAACATACCTTTCAGCATCTTTGGGAAGCGAAAAAAAAAGATAAATCCGGTAATTTCTTTTCGAATTTAAACACCCGAACGCCGCACAATATTTCTTTCTCTTCATGTCCATTTTTAAATAATACTTCGATCATAGAATTATAATCATACTAAAACGCACGCCAGCGTCCTGACGGGCGAGCGCGTGACACTCGACTGATATAATACCCGCCGGCGGGGCGCTTCGCTGTAGGTAATTATCGGATGTACCGCGCGGAGTGAGCCAGGCCTGCTAAAACGTAGAAAAATAATTACTAATTACCTACTTATTTATTACGACGAATTAATTATTAATGATTGATACTTCTGGAGTCGGTGCCAAGATTATGAAACATGTTAAGTTTGCCTGCACCGACTCTATTGCGTATAAAAAAGTTCATCCCCAATTTTCCACCCTTGGGGGTTGTTTTTTTTATTATTAAATTTAAATGGGACCACCCTTGAGATATTACCTATACGCCGAAAAAAGATTTGTTCAAATCGGTTCATAATTGGCGGAGTTATCGCGTAACAAACATAGAAAAAAAAAAAACATACGGGTCGATTTGAGAACCTCCTCCTTTTTTGAAGTCGGTTGAAAATTGAGCAAGATACATTGTCTACTAACTTATCAGCTTACATTTTAATATTACGCTAGCTGTAGCGAGGAAACGAGGAAAGTTGGATCTCGGTTTCGTGACTTAGATAAACACTGTAAACAATTTAATCATTATTAACTTCAGAAGTCATATAAACATTTATTTCGTTGCCTTTTTGGTCTGTCTGTAGCTTAGATCAAAAACGCGAGAAAAAAAAAATAAAAAAATTGAGTGTCCGCGATTTATCGTAGCGACGAATTCAGCCGTAAGGCCGTTTGTAGACATCGGTTTTTTCACTGGACGACCGACCGTCACAAAACGGATATCTTTTGTTTGCTGTCAATTTTCTCGCCGGACCTATGTCCGATGCATGTGCACACGTTCATTATAAACCATATACCACCGCTAATTCAGGCCAAAAAAATCGGGCCGTAGTCCGGTAAAAAAACGGTTGTTTACAAGTGGGCTAAAAGTTAAAATCGAACGACAACAGATACTACGTGGACCACAACACGCGGTCGACGTCGTGGGAGCGTCCGCAGCCGCTGCCGCCGGGCTGGGAGGTGCGGCGCGACGCGCGCGGCCGCGTGTACTACGTCGACCACAACACGCGCACCACCACGTGGCAGCGGCCCGACACCGAGCGCCTGGCGCGCTTCCAGCACTGGCGCGGCGAGCGCCGCCACGTCGTCGCGCAGGGCAACCAGCGCTTCCTGTACCCGCCGCCGCAGCCGCCGCACCAGCCCGACGCTGACAGCGACGCTGCCGCCGTCGGTATGACACGGGACTGTTCCCACCGCTGCAACTCCTGGTCCTCGATTGCGCTAATTTATTACGCCTCCAATTCAATCGCGTTTCAGCTGATTATCGTTCGTGTTCCAGTCGCGTTGCAGTTGAAAATCATTAACGCAATCGGGGCCCTGTGTAGCCAGGATCTACAGCTTAACCTCCAATAAAACCCAACCAGTGAAGGTCAAGTTTGTTCCGGGAGAAAGTTAATTTTTGTGAATGTTATGGATTTACACTTTTCAATACTAAGATGTAATTTATATTCAACAAGACGATTCAAATCTGCCTGAAGACTAAGACAATCATCTGAGTTATAATTTTTTTTAAACTTTTAGATTATCTGCATATAACAGAAACTCTATAAATATTATAAACAGCAGCGGCCCAAGAATGGAGCCCTGCGAAACGCCAGACGTAACCAAACTACTACTAAAACTGTAACCCCTGACAACCAAAACCACCTAACGTTTTTTCGGAGCAACTTTCAACACTGTCGTGTCAGATTTTATGAGCCAACAGCTAAAGAACGATTTCGCACTACGATTGATCTGAATGCGAAAACGCTCCGGATAGTCGTAGAAAAATCTGTGTGGTATTTCATGTAGAGACGTTGATGTTAGTGAGTAAACTAAACATTTTGAAACGAGACTTGTAAACGGGATGAAGATGCAATATATTGGAGCGAATCAAGAAAGCTTGTATTTAAGATTGAACAATGATTGAATGAGGATACCAAAATAGCAAGAAATTATTATTATACATAATATAATTCATAACAATATTTTAGTTATCTATCACAGAGAAAGTATTTTATTTGATAAAACTCATTATCGATATAATGATAATTCCTGATAAGCATAGATAAGTTATATGACGTTTTTATAGTATGTTTTTTTATCATGCACTAGCTGACCCGGCGAACTTCGTACCGCCTTAGCGTAGAGATTTTCTTAATATTTTTTTCCGTAAGAACCATCCTTGGACTTGGACAAACATTTAAAAAAAAGAATTATCGAAATCGGTTCAGCCGTTCACACGTGATGCCGTGACAACGCGAAACGGGTTTCATTTTTATATAATATATAGATTTCAGTATGTCGAATATGAGAGTTACAAAAAACTTTTGCTAATTTCGGTTGAATTATTTCGTCGTCTAAGTAAATATGAAATGGCTTAGTTAGGTTCAATTTTTAATACCGCAAATAAGTCCGCCTTTGATAAGAGGGATAAACAAGTAAAAAGGCAACACCTTGGAATGATAATGATAAAATACAGAAAGTTATTTAATTCCTAGCAAACTTGAGCTCTGTCGGAGAGGATAAAATATATCTTGTTTATTTTATTAGCATTTTAGCAACCCAAAAACAATTTATAGCTTTGCATTACAAATATGTACAGGCGTATGCTTTAAAATCTTGAAGTACACGGTACCGGTTCCCGTAAATGGCAATCCGCGTCTAAAGTGAAGGTTTCCCACAGGTCCAAAAGACAGTAGAGTAGCACTTACCCCTCAGCGCGTAAAAAAAGAGCCTTGTAGACTTGCGGAGAGATTTCCACGTCTAAGCTTAATCTTTCCACAGATCCAGACGACAGCAGAGTAGTACCTATCTCCAGCAGTTAAAAAATAGACGTACTGGTGGACTCGTGAAGAGAATTTCGCTCCAAACTTAGTTTTGTTTTCACAGGTCCAGGTGACAGTAGTGCTACACTACTGCGCGCTACCCAGCGCGTAAAAAAAGACGTGCGAACCCATAAAGCGAATTCCTTAATCTTAATCTTCCCCACAGGTCCAGGAGGCAGCAGTGTTGCCCCTATCCCCAGAGCGTAAAATAAAGGCGAGCGAACCCGTCAAGCGAATTCCGTGTCTAAACTTAATCTTTCCCACAGGTCCAGATGTCAGCAGCGTAGCACCTATCCCCAGCGCGCAATAAAAGACAAATTGGTGGACTCGTGAATAGCGTTCCGCGTCTGATGTGAAGGTTTCCCACAGGTCCAGAAGGCAGTAGAGTAGCACCTACTCTCGGCATTGGCGTATTTATTTATTTAAACTTTTAGCACACATAGGTACTAACAATGCACTGTGGCGAACTTAATGACTTAATGCGTATCTAGGGTTCTTTTTTTTGATAGTAGGTTCGTCGATAGTACTAACTCAAGAGCTTGGACATCTAGCTCTTGAGTTAGTACTATTAACTATCATCTTTAAATCAGTAGCCCAACATTAATCTTCCCCACAGGTCCAGGCGGCAGCAGCGTTGCGCCTATTCCAAGCGCCGCCTCCGGTGTAGGCGCGAGTGGTAGCAGTAGCGCGGCGGGCGCGGCGCCGGCGGGCGGCGTGGGCTCGGCGGTGGCGGCCGACGACCCGCTGGGCGCGCTGCCGGCCGGCTGGGAGCGCCGCGTGCAGCCCGACGGCCGCGTCTACTTCGTCAACCACAAGAACCGCACCACGCAGTGGGAGGACCCCAGGACGCAGGTATGGCACATCGATTCATAGTGGAATGTATGATCGCCGCAGTGGCGTAACTATACCATCCGAGGCCCGTGGCATTGAAATCCCATAATGACAAGGGGGGGTTGGTATCTTAGCACGTATGAATGAGACGAATGAGTACCTTCTATCAACTTCGAATCGCTAACCCAAACAATTTAATGTGTGCATTATACTTAAATGTATTCTTTTTTAGCTCGGGCTCGTGGTATTTTGCCAGCCCGGCCACCCTGTAGTTACGCCACTGGATCGCCGCGTGCAGGTTTACAGCCGCATCTTAGTAGATTTACCGCCGCGTCTTAGTTAATATTAAAACGCGTGGACGCATCCCCCACAAGAACTCAACACTCCGCTCCGCTTTAGTGGAAACCGGGCCTAAGACACACCATGTATTAACAGACATTACTATGAGGTCTCACAGTGCGCGTGGACGCACAGGGTGATATATGAACCAATCACAAAGGTTTATTCAACGCTGTGCATTCGATTTGCTGCTTCACTTAAGCAAGCATCGTTTGTGAATACGAGCGTAAGTCCCATAGCTCCATAGCTACGGTACGGATACGGGACTTACATTATTATAGAAATCATAGCCAATTTTCATTTAATGCAGTACAAAAGTAATACTTTTATTAACTAAGTATTTTTATGGCCTTTATCGTGTAGCCTTAATTAGCGTCTTTATTACCTAATGGCCATGAGCTTAATCTACTTTCGAGTGGAAGGTGAAAAATCAATAATGCCTTTCTCAGGGTGGGGGTTGGTTGAACTTGACTTTGGAATTCTACTTAATTACCAGACTAAGTGTAAAAGAAATAAGAAAGGTCAGGGTCAACTAGCCGAATGGGGCTATTGTGAGGATCAATGTCGGGCTGCTTTGTTAAGTTTGTTTCTAAAACTACTGGCGTCGCTTAAATGGCATAAAATTCTGGACCCCTATTGACCGAGCAAGGTGGCTGAGCATGTGTCTTAAAGATGGATAAATCTTTATATGCTGTTTTATTTTTAGCAACATTAAGACAATGGGACACTATGACGTCACTGGTTAGCGAACTCAATTTATTAACGTGCTTTTATCAATAAATTATTTTTCAGTCTTGATTGTTTAATGGTGTTTATTGGCTTTGTGGTTCTGGCAGAGTGGAATACCACCACTGTCGCTATCGTAGCCTCTGACCATCGCGGGGAGCATAGGCCAAATCTTCCATTTGCTTTGGTAAATTAGAGATGTCGTGTTCCTGCTATAGCCACTACACGAGCAGATAATGATGATGACCCCTAGACTAGAACTAGACCTTGATATTAAGATATAGATTAGAATTAGACCTTGAACACAAAAATTTTGTGGAACAGTTCACTGAACAATCGCTCCAAAAAATTTTTAAGTAATAATTACCTTTATTAGTCTTACCCTTACTTACTTACTTACTAGAAATAAGTTTATAAAATAACCTTATTTTTCCGAGTCACAGAATCTAATGACCACGGTACACCAGTGTGCCGCGGTACACCCTTTGCGGAACACTGCCCTAGACTACCTATTTACCTTGACTGTTATTGTCGCTCCAGGGTCAAGAAGTGAGCGCGCCGGAGGAGGCGCTGCCTCCAGGCTGGGAGATCCGCTTCACGGAGGAGGGCACGCGCTACTTCGTGGACCACAACACGCGCACCACCACCTTCCAAGACCCGCGGCCCGGCGCGCCCAAGGGCCCGCAGGTAACACTAGACCCTTTTAAAGGTTCGGCCAAACCAACGCAACGCGATCAGCCTGCGTGCGCGATGGTGATCAATGCGTTTAATTCTGATCGCCATCGCCATCGTGCACGCCGGCTGCACGCGTTGTGTTGGCCGAACCTTTTATTGCTTGTATGTAAGTAACAGTGTCACTCGTTGGGGAAAAAACCCATTCAGTCACACTGTTACTCGTTCGGACGTTTGTTTACCTACCGTCCCAACTGGTTATTGTTGTCAACAGTAGGTTACAACAAGGTGTACACCGCACTCTTGCTTATGCCAATTTATGATTAGTCGTTTGAATCCTTTAGAAAAGTCGTTCTTATTTCATTTCATTCACATGAAAAAATTAAGGAAAAACCCAAACCTGTTCTGGAAATTCTTAAATTACTCACATTTAAGAATCAGCAGAACTGAATAAATAGTAGGAAAGACCGAGGTGATTTGAAATAGAGATGAGTTGAAACAACACCGATTTTTCAGAACTTAAAGGTGTCTTGAGAGACGCCAACTAAGCAGCCAGCGGGTAGCAAGAAGCATGCGAATTGTGACAAAACCAGCTCAGTAACGGTTTTAAGTTCTGAGAAATCAGTTCAGTTCAGAATCAACTAAACTTCTTTTTCAAAACAGTGGCTATACTTATGTGCTTAATTAATACCTTCTATTTCATTCCATAGGGTGCGTATGGAGTACCGCGCGCATACGAGAGATCATTCCGGTGGAAGCTCAGTCAATTCAGATACCTTTGCCAGAGCAACGCTCTGCCAAGCCATATCAAAATTACACTTTCAAGGCAAACGCTTTTCGAAGACTCCTACCACCAAGTAAGTTTTGATCTTTCTTTTTATAAAATTTATTATTTGTATTATCGTTTGTCAATTTATTTATCTATTTTAATTGTTACTTTTGGGAAACTTTTAATCACATTATTATTATGATCAGAGCCACACCCAAATCAAGTTGGTACATAAAAACTAATGTTTTGTTAAAAAAATATTTTATTACTTTTTCAGATCATGAGGTTACCAGCCTACGAGTTACGTAGACGACTGTATATAATATTTCGTGGAGAAGAAGGATTAGATTATGGCGGTGTCAGTCGAGAATGGTTTTTCTTGCTTTCGCATGAAGTTTTAAACCCCATGTACTGTTTATTCGAGTACGCCAACAAGAACAACTACAGTCTACAGATCAACCCGGCTAGCTACGTGAATCCTGACCATTTGCTGTATTTCAAATTTATAGGAAGGTTTATAGCAATGGCGTTATATCACGGAAGATTCATATACTCTGGTTTCACGATGCCATTTTACAAAAGAATGTTAAATAAAAAGTTAACGATGAAAGATATAGAATCAATCGACCCAGAGTTTTACAATTCACTAGTATGGATAAAAGACAATAATATTGATGAATGTGGCCTTGAGATGTGGTTTAGCGTTGATTTCGAAGTTCTGGGGCAGGTTATTCACCATGAACTGAAACCAGCAGGAGACAAGGAACGCGTTACTGAAGTAAGTTGTTGCACAATGATATTTCAATCTAATCTCTATTTTTCTGCAAGTTGAGAAAATTCTTTTGCTATAGACATTATTTTGAAATACTGACTGATATGATATGTATTTCTTGGTTTTCAGGCAAATAAAGAACAATATCTTCAACTCGTGACGCAATGGAGAATGACACGAGGTATAGAAGAGCAAACGTCTGCTTTTCTAGATGGATTTAATGAGGTAACATTACTTTTCTCAATTGTAAATTACCTTGTACTTTAATAAACATTTATAATTTGTGTTACCTACTAAAGACAAAATTTCCCATAACTTATTGATTAGCAAAATCGGAAGGGTAGGTATACACGGCGATCTCCTGAGATGGCTGACCTCATACTTGCGCGAAAGATCCCAGGCAGTTGCGATAAAGGGCTATACTTCTAGCTTTGTTCCTATCACATCTGGCGTGCCTCAGGGCTCTCATCTCGGCCCTCTTCTCTTTAATATATTTATTAATGACGTCATGAATTGTTTTCTTCATTCCAAAGCATTATTATACGCCGACGATACTAAAATTTTTACATTCATTAAATCTGTTGAAGAATCATTGCTATTTCAAAACGATTTGAATAATTTTTATGATTATTGCTCAGCTAATAATCTAAAATTAAATATTGATAAATGTCATACTATTACCTTTTCACGCAAAAAACGTCCGATTAATTATAATTATACATTTAATGACATTATGATCAAAAGAGTGGCCGAGGTGAGAGACCTGGGAGTATATCTAGATAATGAACTTAACTTGGCGTCTCATATTGATAGAGTTACTGCGAAATCTTATAAAATGTTGGGTTTTGTCTTTCGTCAATGTAAAGATTTTAAAAATATAAACACCTATATAATGTTGTATAACTCCTTAGTAAGAAGTCATCTCGAATATGCATCAACAGTATGGAACCCAATTTATGCCACTTATATTGATCAGATGGAAAGGATACAAAACAAATTTTTAAAAAGACTTAGATACTTGTTTAGGGATCATTCAGCGCAGCTTCAGTCATTAGAATTAAGACGTGAACATAGGGATCAAGTATTTTTGTTTAAAATTTTAAATGACTACATAGATTCATCCTTCCTTCTCAGCCGAGTGTCATTCAGGTGCCCCAGGCTCAGTGCCCGCTCCAATGCAGTTTTCTCTGTTCCTATTTGTAGAACTAATTATTCAAAGAATAGATTTCTTGTTCGTGCTTGCAACACACATAATGTTCGATATAGCCACATTGATATATTCAATTGTTCTCTGCGTGTTTTTACTTCACATGTTAAGAAGGTTGACCACGTTTAAGTGGGATTATCTTGTTTCTGATGAACGAAATTACCTAGTTAAATTACTACGAAACTTTTTATAATATGTCTTCGCTATTGACAAATTAACATTGGAAACTTTTTTGGCTTATGAATAAACTAAACTTTTTCCTGTAACTATATGTAATATAAAAGCTGTATGTTTCTTTCATTAAATAAATAAATAAATAAAGCCCGGTCTCCGAGCACGAAGAATTTTGTCCAATGACCCCATCCTTGTCGCGAGCGCGACTGTGCGACGGGCGCCCGCAGTGAGTGTGCGAGCGCGACAGCAACATAAGGATGGGTAGCTTGGGGTCATTGGACGAATTCTACGTGCTCAGCAACCACACTAGTTCATATTAGATTTTATACTTTCGCGTTAATGTAGTTGTTCAAATACTCGCTGTTGAAGACGGCGTGTACTGCGTTGCACATCACTTATGGAACGACCCTCGCTGCTCCGCTTAATGGGAAACTCACCATTTAAAATACGTGTAAAATAATATTTTGACACTTCGTGGCACGCCACGCAGCGCTCAATGAGGGTTTTCGCGATTGAAAAATCCGCCAGATGGCAATACGTAGGCGCGAGGTCCAAATGCTGCATGATTGGTAATTTTTGACATGACATTGACAGATATGTCAAAATCCACCAATCACAGCATTTGGACCTCGCGTCTACGTATTGCCATCTGGCGGATTTTTCAATCGCTAAAACCCTTATTGTGGCTCATCCTTAACCCTTAACCAAGTAATAGCTAATAGACCCCAAATCAAATCGAGCTTTATGCAATGAAGATGCGGTTTTCAACCAATTTTACGTTTTACTTCAGGTGGTGCCGCTGGAGTGGCTGAAGTACTTCGACGAGCGCGAGCTGGAGCTGATGCTGTGCGGCATGCAGGAGGTGGACGTGGACGACTGGCAGCGCAACACCATCTACCGCCACTACACGCGGACCAGCAAGCAAGTCGTCTGGTTCTGGCAGGTACAGACATCGGAAAACACCAATAGGATATGCATCGATTTTAAAAGTTAATAAATTATGTATAAATAAACACTTTAGTTAAATCATACTAAAAATCTAGAAATCGAACTGGAAGCAAAAAAGTTACAAGTGTTTAAACTTTGTATGGAAATAGCTGAGCGTGACGTCAAATGTCACCCGCCTATAGTAGCTTGTATGGGACTCTGTCTGCGTGTCTGTCTAAAATGCCAATGACGTCATGAGATCTCTAATGTCTATATCTTAGGTATCTTTTGATTTTTTTTAATGCCAATTAAGGCTACTGAAATGTAAGAAATATGATGCCGCTTTTTGGCTTATGAGGGTAGTATTGTAGTGTGCGTGTGCACTTATTGATAATTTAGCGTGCACCGATAACACTTAAGACATTAGCGGAAGAATGGTTGGGCGCATCTTCGTGGATGAAACGATCTATAGACATTGTCAATTCAGCAACTGAAACGCCATGTCTATTGGTATTTTGTAGTTCGTACGGCAGATGGACAACGAGAAGCGAGCGAGGCTACTGCAGTTCGTCACGGGCACGTGCCGCGTGCCCGTGGGAGGCTTCGCCGAATTGATGGGGTCCAATGGACCACAAAGATTCTGCATTGAAAAGGTAAACTACTTTTTACATTTAATTTTAACTGTACCACATTTTTTTGAGATAGTAATTTTTCCCCCTTGTTAATTAAACAAATGTTCATATTCTCATAGACAGTTTAAATCAGCATAAGAAATGACACGAAAGTAAATACACGTTTATTAAAATATTACCGACCTGAAATCCGATATAGTATATTATATCGATATGAAAGGTGTAATATTGATAGTAGATGTAAAATAACACTGCTAACCTACTATGTACTAGTTTACGGTCCCTTATCAATAATGTATCAACCTATTACTAATAATCAAGTTATAATAATAATATGATTTATTTAACCCATTTACTTTGAGACTAGGGTTGCCAACTCTTGAAAGGACCAACCCGGGAGAATTNGGCGCTTGCTCCATAGTTGCTCCATCACGCTGAATACGTGCTCGAATGAAGCATTAATAGAGACAGGAATGGAAAGAACAAACGTGACCATTTTTTTTAATTCAGGACAGGGATTTCTGTCTTTCGATTTCGTAAAGAAGTCAACCCAGCGTAAATCCACTCGACTTTCTTCAATAAGATGTGGTTGCTCTTCACGCAAAAGTCCAAACTCATCGTACAATTTGTCACTATCTATGTCAATATTTAATAATTCCTGGAGTTTAGTAATGCTGGTCCATGTGATTGGTTCTTTTAAAGATAAAATTTATAAACAAGTACGAGCAGCAATGGATGCATTTAATTTTTAGAAATACCGGAGAAAATATTGCTCTCCGGGAGGTCGGGAGGTTAACCATTATTTCCGGAGTCTCCCGGGCAATCCGGGAGGGTTGGGAACCCTATTTGAGACACATAATAACACATTGCCACGTTGGTACATAAATAAATTGTTTACCAGACTCGTGACCTCTTGGGGGTTAGATATCGACGTTGGTAATGGCAGAAATAAATGTTTATTCAGCAAGAACAGAACTGCTCATATTGAAAAATAAAAAACGGAATCTTTGCTTGCCACACTTGCATGTTTGCAAGTCGCTCTGTTGTAATANAGTGTATGCAATAGGCAAGTTGCCTCTTGTCACCATTTATCATAATAACTTTTAATTCAAATATTATTCTGTACAAGGGTCCGAAATATATAAACTTCAATAAATATAAATAAGGGATTGCTGTAAAAATTCAACTGAAACCCGTTAATTTTTTACTTTTTTTTCTCTTGACTGAAAACACCGTCCGCCATGTTTCTACGTCACCAATATTGTAAACAACAAAATGTCAAACACCAGTTTCAGGTTATTCGTGGTCTTTCATATAAACGCCTTGTTTTCACATAAAAATATTGTACAGTTCGCATTTATTGAAAATTATCATGGATCCTGAGTTTGTGAAAGCAGAAAGCACAAATCTGCTCAAAATCGACACATTGATGGTAACAAAATTGTTTGCTTTAAATCCTGATTTCTGCTCAGCTAAGCTAAGGAATGTTAAGTTAATTAAGTAAGTACAGTTCATTTACAACCTTTTTTTTTTATTTAGACCACACCATTAACTGAAAATAAGGAAATAAGTACTAATAAGTGTATTCTAACCTCTGACCAACTACTTATTGCTAAACTATTATATTATTTTTCAGGTCTGCTGGAGAATCAAATGGTGATGATGCAATTGGTTATGTTCAACTTAAAAGGAACAGGTTCAACTTGAAATGTAAAATGTGTCCTGAACATAAGGTGCACTCTAAGCAGTATCAGTTTCAGCAGTCATTGATGAAGAAGAAGAGATTATGTTGTTTGTCAAGATTGTCCAGCTGCAGCAGGGGGCTGCAAACATGCTGTTGCATTTTTAATGTAGTTGCATCGTCGCAGTGAAGAGCCATCTTGCACATCAGTAGAATGCTACTGAAAAAAATCCAATCTTTCAAAAGTCGGCAGCACAAAACATTACCAGTGTTATGGAGGAATTTGTAATTGAATGCAAAAACCGAAAAATTAAAACATGTCAGTTTATCAAGCATGTTGGAGATTATGAAGAGGTAAAAAGTTAGTCGGTGCAGAACGCATGATGGTTCTTTGGTTGCAAAGATTTTTGGTGCAAGGTCTGTGTTGACGGCTGCAATGAAACGAGGCCAAAAGCCGATTTGTCCTAAACTATTTGAAAGTGTAACTCAATAATAAATCATTTAACTCTTAGTATTAGCATTATTATTTTTACCTATTTGTAAGTCTAGTATTAAGACAAAAATACTCATTAACTTGTTCTGTTCAAAAACACATTTAATTCACATTGCCTAAGCTCTGAATAGTAAGATATTAACAATTTTTTTTTCTTTTCTATCAATCTGTTTCCATATCTAATGTTTACCTAATAGTATAAATTATTATAAAGAAAGATGTTTTTATGTGTGTATGAGATGAATAAACTTAAATCATGGGAAAACCAGTAGTATAAAAGAAGAAGCTACCTGACTGACTGACATAATATCAATGCTATCAAACATATAACCTCTTGCCTTATGTATAAAAGGGTAAGAAACTTGAAATTTTGCACAGCAGTTCCTCTTACAACGTAGTGGGGAGACTAATTTTTGAATACTTACTCCTTTAATAATTTATGAATATACGAGTATAACCCATAAAACAAAGCTATTTTGTACAATAGACTGATATAAAAATAAAATACTTTATGTATGTATCAGTTAATTTATTTATTGAATGAGAGTCGGAATGANTAGCCTATTGCGAATAAAATTCACTCTTAAATTTTACTATCACAAGGTTAAAATTCCTTAAGGTGAGTATAGACCAGAGCATTTACTTGTATCAGAACAACGAACCACTCTATGAAATGTTCTAGTGTCTTCCTTTCACAAACCAAACGTCGAATTAAAAACGTCGAGTCAAATAACAATTTATATCGCATTGTCAATTCGCTGTGTACGAAGGACCTATTTTACTAGATGTTTGTTATCTATGAATTTGCAAAAATAATGCTACATCAGGATTTATGTATATTTGGCATGTTGTTTTTATTTACAGGTGGGCAAAGATACTTGGCTGCCTCGATCACATACCTGTTTCAACAGGCTTGATTTACCGCCTTATAAGAGTTATGAACAACTATGCGAAAAACTTAATTATGCTATCGAAGAAACCGAAGGCTTTGGACAAGAATAAAAAATGTCTATGAAATAACTATATTAGTAAAATATGGGTTTCCTACGTTATATCGAAAGTCGTTGCATCGAATGTCATAACATTGAAAACGCTACATCGAACGATGAAACGACTTTTGATAAAACATAGAGAACCCAATGTAAATTATTAGCACATTAAATTGCACCATTTGAGTAACAGCGGGTTATTCACCAATAGAATTGGTGCTGTCACGAAAAGACCAACCAAATACTGTATGAATATTTTGTTTAAACTATAATTATTATGTAGATATGTTTAGTATACTGTCAGTTATATAAGAAAATATTTTGTTTGAACTATATTTAACAAAGTTCGTCTATAAAGTTCAATAAAATAAATAAATTATCTTGATTGTTTTATTTCTTGCTATTTTTGGGACACTCTTATGGCCGTGATTTCGTACATGCTGTTGCATCTGTTTGTTCAAGATTATGATTGTGCGGGTGCTTTACCGATAAAATCTGCGCAAGCGCGCAAGGCTTGTCATGTTTCATTGTATTTTCCGTCTTACCATAGACATTAAAATATCGATCTTGAAAATAAAACAAATCAATTAAATTGTTTGAAAGACTAGATCTATATATATAAAAGAAAGTCGTGTTAGTTACTCCACTTATAACTCAAGAACGGCTGAACCGATTTAGCTGAAAATTGTCAGGGAGGTAGTTTAGAGCCAGGAGAAGGACATAGGATACTTTTTATCCCGTTATTATTGCCATTAAGGCGGAACAAAGTTCGCCGGGTCAGCTAGTTTGTAATAAAAGCTAATAATATGCTGACACTACTACAAGATGCCATTCACAATGTCCAATTAACTAACCCGATAAATTCCAATTTAGAGTCCTGTCAAACTGTCCTTGATGTTCGGTAACTTGTGTGCGTTAAAAAAAAAATCATTTAGAACTTAAATGTTTATTTCCAATAATAAATGGCAAAAATACAACTTAGTTATTTGCTATAATAAACATAAGTGCACCACACAACAGAAAGTTTTTTTTTAATTAGAAACAGTACCTACATAAGTAATAATGTATGAAACCATCATGTTTCCGATATTTAAAAAAAATAAAAAATAATTTAGTTTAGTAAATGTTGATAATTTCCACTTCAAGACAATTTGGATTTAGCAAATTCTTCAGCAACTTTCAAAGCTTCTTTTAGATTTTGCGGATTATTACCAGATGCTTGAGCTGATTCCGCCTTTCCACCGCCTTTGCCTCCCATAATGTTAACGACGGATTGAACCCACTCAGACGCCAAAAGACCTCTTTCATTAATACTCTTAGGGACCGCAGCCAAACAATAGATCTTACCAGATTCGTTATCAACTGAAAAGAATATAGCTGCGGTTTTAGGACACAGCTGTTTTACTTGTTTTAAGGCACTGTCCAATGCTTTGGTGTTTCCAAAAGCCTGTAGTTCAGATACAATTATTTCAGAATCTTTTTCTTCAAGACAGATTTGTTTAGCTTTTTCAGTGACTATGTTTATTGTCATTGCTTTAGATGCCCTTTCCTTGTCGTCTAATTGTTTCTTCAAATTCTTTAGCATAGTTCTTAACTCATCTTTCTTCCAATATGATATTTGTGCTTGAGATATATCATTGGTAAGATCAACGATCCTCTTTACTATTTCTTTCTGATTGATAGTGTCACCTTGTTCTTGAATCATAGTAGCAACACCATTTACTTCGTTTTCTAAAATACTAAGTTTATTCAAAGCCTTGATAGCTTCTGGGCCTGTTAAAGCCACAATTCTTCGGATACCTTTAGCAATACCTTCTTCGCTTACAATTACATACTCTCCAATATGACCAGTTTGATGTAAATGCGAACCACCGCAGAATTCAACAGACGTATCAAAACCTGCGGGACCTTCGGGGTTCTTCTCTAGCTCTTCTACAGGTATGCCAACAGATACCACACGAACGGGATCCGGATATTGTTCGTCAAACATAGCTCTTAATCCTTTAATTTTTTTAGCATCACTTAAACTAGTATGTTTCGCAAATACTGGTTTATTGTCGTTTATTATACATTTGATTTGATCTTCCGCGTCCTTGATTTGCTTGATAGTCATTGGTCCTTTGTTTGTAAAGTCGAATCTTAAGCGGTCGGGCATGACAAGTGATCCGCGTTGGTCAGAATCATTGCCGAGAACCTTTCTCAACACATTATTTAATATGTGCGTTCCAGTATGATTATTCATAACAAGACGTCTTCTTACTGTATCAATATGTAAAGCTACTTGATCTCCTATTTTGAACACTCCTTCTACCTTTCCAATGTGCAAAACATAACCTCCCTTGACTTGTACATTTTTAACAGTGAATTCAGAGCTCTCATCATCAATTTTAACCATGTATCCCTCATCAAATATTTGGCCACCTTGTTCAGCGTAAAAATTTGTGCGATCCAATATCAAACCACATTCATCTCCCGATGAAACTTCATTAACAAACTGCTTATTTTTTCGAATTGCAATTATTTTACCTTTACAGTCACTGAAATTGTAAACTGCTTCTTTGTCCTGCGTAGTTGCTTTGTAATTGTATTTTGGCGAGTCATCTGTGACTGGTATACCATTTTCTTGTAAATGACTGATAGCATGGATATCTAACGCCAAAAGATCTTCTTGACCTGCAACTTTTCCTTGAGAAGCTAGAATGGACTCTTTCTTAGCTTTTTCATAAGCTTCCATATCAATGCTAAGACCTTTTTCTTCACACATAAGTTGAGTCAGATCAATAGGGAATCCATACGTGTCATAAAGACGCCATGATATGTCCCCTGGCACTACTTTAGAATCGCCTAATTTTTCAATAGTTCTGTTGAGCAAATTTCTACCTCGAGAGAGTGTCTTTAAAAACTGAATCTCTTCTTCATTTATAAGTTGAATTATTGATTCAGGGTCTTTTTTAATTTCTGGGAAAACATCTCCCAATAACTCTACTACCGTATTAACTAATGAAGAAAAAAATCCTGGCTTAGCATTGAGTTTTTCACAAGCATATCGAACTGCTCTTCTTAAAATTCGACGTAGTACGTATCCTCTTCCAGTATTATCAGGGCAACCGCCATCAGATAAGGCGATGGTTAATGTTCTCGCGTGATCAGCTAATACACGGTATGCCATATCTATGCCATCTACATCATCAGCTCCTACTTTTCCAGAATATGGTCTTGCGCCTGTACCATTTTCAATTGCCTTAAATATTGGCATAAAAAAGTCAGTATCATAATTAGCCCTTTTGTTTTGAATGACTGACACCAATCTTTCGAGACCCAATCCACAATCAATGTGCTTTTTGGGCAATAATTTTAAAGAACCATCGGATTCTCTATTAAATTGTATAAATACCAAATTCCAAATTTCTAATACATCTGGATCATCCATATTAACGAGATGTGCGGCATTGCGTCCTCCAATTCTATCGTAATGCAATTCAGAGCATGGGCCACACGGTCCGGTTTCTCCCATTTCCCAGAAGTTATCTTTCATACTACCTGGCAAAATATGTGATTCTGGCAGACCCAAATTTAACCAGATGTTTTTACATTCTAAATCTGGCTCAAGACCAGAGGAAGCATCTCCCCCGAAATAAGTTACATACAATCTATCAGCAGGCAACTTATACACTTCAGTTAAAAGCTCCCAAGCCCAAGCACATATTTCTTTTTTAAAGTAGTCACCAAATGACCAGTTGCCCATCATTTCAAAGAAAGTATGATGGTACACATCTTTTCCAACATCATCTAGATCATTATGCTTTCCACCAGCTCTTATACATTTTTGTGTATTAACAACTCTTACATATTGTGCCATGTCAGAGTTGGGATCAACAGATCCTAAGAAAATTGGTTTGAACTGGTTCATGCCTGCATTGGCAAATAGTAAAGTTGGATCATCCAATGGTATTGTTGATGAAGAGTGAACATACTTATGTCCTTTTCCAATGAAAAAATCTATAAAGGTCTTACGAATTTCATTCCCCGTCATAGAAGTGTCCATGATGCACCAATTCTGTAAAACAAAGAATATTTATTAATGAATTAGTTAGAATATGTAAAGTAGCAGCAGTGCAGTTGCAGCACCTTGAAAGTTTTTTTTATCAAGTTTGCTTAATCCATATATTTTTAAAGATGTTATCAGCTTATCACCCTTTGTGACTCAGAACATATTTTTTTCTTTATGTTACAGGAAATGTATGAATTCTAGGAATTGTATATGTTACGGTTGATGTGATAAATTGAAAATTATTAATAATAACCGGTTATTATGAATAATTACCGACAGTCGCGGTAAAAGTGATAAATTAATCACATTTAACAGTGATTATTTAATAATTCAACCTTAGTACTAACAAATTTCTTAAAAGAGAACAACATCTTGTCTACGTGCTCGTGTACAGCCAAACTTTTGAACGTTTTGATATCATATATTAATATAATTTGGCATAATGAGTTTGGAATGTTTCTTGCATAATATTACTTTTCCATGATGCCTATAACATAATGTTTTGATTTAAAGTGAAAAATAGGTTAAGGTGCGGCGGGGGGGGGCCCTGGGGCACCCCTAAGCCGCCTATTTAGTTTTATACACACATAAATGACCTCATATTAATCACATTAACCAAATCATGCGGTAATTATTCATAATAACCGGCGATTATTCATAATTTTCACATTTATCACTTTGACCGTAACATATACATCTCCATACATTGTGCCAAATAAACAATTTTTCAGAATCAGAATCTCCTAGGAAATGTATACAATTCTGAAGCTATTTAGTAAATGTATAAAATATTGATTCAGAGATTATTCAATATGCACATATCCTAGGAAATGTATACAGTTCCTTAGGGCTTTAATAGCCTTTGCAAATCTATAAACATCTGTGAATCCCTGATCCCAATAAATGTATCAAGTTCACAGTTACAAATTACGTTATTTACAAATACATTTATTTTAACTATTTTTAAGTAGGTACCTCAGGTAGGTACCTATAGCATGTATGTATTTTAATATACATAAAATTAAAAATTTAATTCAAGCCACTGCCTGGGTTGGGGGAAGGTGCCCATATGGCTAGCCACAATTTATTTGTTTATTGCATCATCATAATTAAACAAGTTGTTAATAAAATACACTATTAAAACTTTAACAATTACAAGAACAACATTAAAATAAAGATAAAAAGTAATTTTAATCTACAACAGCATCAGGTTAAATTGTATTAAGCTGCTTTTGGTGCATATCTCATTAGGATAATCTAAAAGATCTTAAGGTATACCAGGGTATGCCATATGGTTCAAGAGAATGCATTTCTACTGCAATGCGTATCATTAATTTAAAAGTTTGGATTTATGCATTTATGAAGCTTAAGGTAGATGTTTAATACAAAACTAAAACCAACCTTTCGGCGTTTCAGGAATAACCTTTTATAATTTTATAAATCACACTGACACGACGGCAAATGAAAGCATGAGAGAAGCAATTGCAATGATTGAGAAGACCGATGTAGTGGTGAATAAATAGGTGAATAGTGTGAACGTCGTCCGAAGTTCCGAACTCCGACCGATTCACGAGAGAGAGACGGCAGACCACTGGGGCAGGCGACGAAAATGACACATCACACAGACACAGTTCATTTAGGGATGTCTACGTTTCACCCCTTTTAACGTAATTAATCGATACTATTCAAATCGGGTCAATGCTGTTGCATTTTATGAGGGAATCGGAACGTGTACGCAAGCGAGACAAAAAGCACTCTTGTCTTGTTAACTCGAATCCCCAACAAGACAGCGTCAGCAGACGGGATAAATTCGCAATTTGGATCCCTATTTTACTAGGTCTTTGGATTGGAGCTATCCCCCCGGCAGCATTTTTGTTCATTAAAAAAAACATAACCTCAACAAAACTGAGTTGTCAATGTCAAACACCGAAATTTAGTAAAAAAATATTGTGTACTTGAGAAATATTAATTTATTTATTCATTTAGTATTTAAACGTAGGTATGTATCTAATTTTCAGCCTACTTGTGTTTACATAATTGTATGATTCGTATCTATTATTTTCTTTTCAGGTCTTTTAGTAGGTGAAACATTTTCATCTTACTATACCTACCAGAGGGCCAACTGGGGACTACTTACATGGGACTACAGCTTTAAATGGGACAACACATTAAAGTGATTTAGTAAACTAAAACCATGGCGGTTTCCAGAAATTTAAGAATTAACCTAAGTTCTATAACAAAGAACTGGAGATATTTTAGTTTGTTAACAGAAAAACCAAAGTCGCAAAATGAACTGATTAATGATAAATTTATTGAAGAAAGCATTTCCGAGGATTTGTCGTCGGTAACTCCATACTACCCTAATACTTTTAATTTGGCTTCATATGTTAACAACTCAGAATTTTTGCAGAATTTACTACATCTCAATATAAATTTGAGTAAAATTGAAAAGAATCCGCATGTTGTAAATAAAATACTTAAGTTGAATTTTGATGATATTAAGAAACACATTTTGTTTATCAATGACTTTGTTGATAAAGAAGAACTGGGAAATTACCTAACTAAAAATCCATTAATATTATGCCAGCCCCTGGATGATCTAGAGGTTCGAATTAATTATTTACAGTCAAAACATTTTTCTAAAAGTCAAATAAGTAGAATTATTCAACACAATCCCTTTTGGCTCATGTTCAGGTATGTTTGTTTGTTATGAAATGTTAATGCTAAGTAATTTATTTTACAGCACTAATTTTAATAAAATGTAACTAATTTCAGCACTTTAAGAATTGACAGAAGATTGGGCTACTATCAACAAAAGTTTGGTTTATGTGGTGATGAGGTCAGGTTTTTAGCAACAAAGCAACCTAGACTGATAACATACAGCTTACATCATGTAACAACCAACACATTTGTTATCAAAGAGGAAATGGGCTTTGAAGAATCTGAAGTAAAGAAACTTTTATTAGATAAACCTAGATTGTGGATGATGAGTAAGTTGTAATTTCTTATAAATCATACTATATAGGTACCTCTTATTTATATTAAATAACTAAGGTTTGTGCAACAAAACTGAATGTAGAGAATATAGTGCTCATTCATACATGAAAAATGTGAACTTTCAAGTTTTTACAATTGTTTATTATTTTTTATTAATGCCACAAGACATTCTCTTTCTTCATTTTTATTGACTATTATTACTGTTATTAACACAATAGTTTCTTTTAGAAAAATAATATTTTAAACTTTTTTTGCAGATCAAAGAGCACTTCTAGAAAGATTCAACCTGCTACATAATACAATAAAAATTCCACATTCAACAATATTGCAGCAACCAGAAATTTTATTATGTAGAAGTTTTAAAGTTAAACAACGATATTTGTTTTTACAAAAATTAGGCAGAGCCCAATTTGATCCTACGAAAGAAAATTATGTTCCAATAATGGCTTTAGCTGAAGGAACGGATGTAGATTTTTGTAAATTATACGCCAAATGTAATATAAATGATTTTAATGTGTTTCTCAAGACACTATGAATTAGCCAGATTTTCCTAATAACATCTTGCTCTGAAAAGCGTTAAGTGAATGGTATAATAAACTATCAAATATACCAGCAACTGTGAACACTCCTCCTATTATAGCACATATATTGGTTGCCAAGTGCCCAATGGACCTGAAAAATGAGAAGGTAATGTAGAAGATACTAGATAAATAATAAACAACAGTTTAAATCATAAAATGTGCTTGTTATTTCTTACCTTTCCTTTTCTGTGTATTTTACCATTAAAGGTGAAAGTTCATAACTAAAGAAAGCACCAGGCATGCCAGATTCCATATTGGCGTTTGAGACTGATTTCTGGTGTCTAGTCACAGAGAATTGGTTGGTATATAGCACAGTCTTATCTAATTTAACATACATTGTAGGAACTATTTTTAAGTAGTACTGGAACATTACAGCACCTGAAAATTGAAGTGTTTAGGGAATGTTAAGTGATGGATCAGAATTCCCTAAAGAGTGCTAAAGATTAACTAAAGTTAAAAAATCGAAAGCTTTTTGGAAGCTGCAACATTTATATAACCCGCCCAAACGCAGTGTCAAAAAAAAAGATTTTGCACAATAAAAATAAATAAAAACTTAATGGCTGTATATAATGTGATCTCTGCTTGTAAGTAGATAAAAAATGTTGTCGTAAAATGTCAGACTGAAGTTGTCAGTTTGACAGTTGTCTCCTGTCATTCATTGTTGCATTTTGGCATAGAGAAAAGTAATACATAGGAAATAGAGAACCCTCTCTGTCAAATTTTTGAGCCTACTAATTGACAGCCTGGTGTTAAATTCGCTGTACTTAACCTACGTACGTAACGCTCACATACACACATAGTACACGCACACATACATACATAAAGTCCACGCATACATACACACAGTTCACGCACACATAGGCCCTCATAACCTTCAAAGAATTATTGTTTTTTTGATGTACAATGTAGAATTTTTTCAAATCCATTATTTTGAAAGTATTTATCTTTATGGTGTACGTATTGTATTATTTTCAAAACAATGGATTTGGAAAAATTCTACATTGCACATGGAAATGCAAATAAACAAAAACTTTTCAATTTAATAATTTTACTTTATTTATGAACACACATAAAATTATTGTTCTCAAACTCAACATCAAGTGAGTTTGGTGAGTTTGACACTGGCACAGAGTTTTTAGCAGTAGTATCATTGAAATTGTTTGGTTGTTGTTTTGGCTGAATTAGCGTGTCGGAATGAGATTCCGAGTGACATTCACATGAATCAAGCGAAGGAACTGTAGAGCTTTTATGATGACGTCTCCTCTTTTTATTACAGTGTTTACAATACTTAGGTGCAGAGGCCCGTTTTAAACGTTTGGATTTATTTTGAGAATGTTCGGAGCCATCCGTGCATGAACTTTCAGTATCTAATGCTGAATAATTATTAGCTATAGTGACATTGTACGAAACCTGGGGGACAGAGCCCCCAGGTTCGTCTGGGTCGTTCATGTAACCAGAGAAAAAGGTAAAAACTTACCAGAGCACTGCCAAAATCACTAACTAATAAATAAATAGAAAGATAAACATAAATATACTACACTCCACTACTTAACTGATCTCTATTTACTAGATAATTTATAAAAATCGCAAAAGCAAAAATTGAGACAACCGCCTAGCTTGACGTTTCCCGCGCTTTTTTCTATCTCGGATTTGCCATGTGTATTTGACATTGTCAGTCATTTTGAAAGATAAATAACCTCAAAATCTTGCACGATCAAGTGCACAATGTAAACACATGTTTGTGAGAATTATTTGGTTAATAAAGTTTAAAACCCCTTAAATCCATCAAAATGGGTAAAAAGACTAAAGTAGGGAAACAGCGTAAAGATAAATATTATCAGTTGGCGAAGGAAACAGGTACCTAAAAATAAATTATCTTAAAAGAAAGGCCATTTGCAGCCATATCGTGAAATGTGTTCTATAAAATACCATTTTCTTTCAGGCTATCGTTCCAGAGCAGCTTTTAAGTTGATTCAATTAAACAGAAAGTTCGGCTTTTTACAAAGGTCACGAGTATGTATAGATTTGTGTGCCGCGCCCGGTGGCTGGATGCAAGTGGCGCATCAGAATATGCCAGTATCCAGCATCGTTATCGGTGTAGATTTGTTCCCAATAAAACCTGTGCCAGGCTGCATTGGTCTAACCGAAGATATAACAACTGAAAAATGTAAATCGGCTATCAAAAAAGAAATTAAGACATGGAAAGCTGATGTCGTTCTTCATGATGGAGCTCCTAATGTGGGTTTAAATTGGCTTCACGATGCGTATCAGCAAGCCTGTTTGACACTCAGTGCCTTAAAACTTGCAACCAACTTTTTAAGAGAAGGTGGTTGGTTTGTGACAAAAGTATTCAGATCTAAAGATTATCATGCTCTGCTTTGGGTCCTAAAACAGTTTTTCAAGAAAGTTCATGCAACAAAACCACAGGCTTCACGAAATGAGTCTTCCGAAATATTTGTTGTTTGCCAAGGTTATATTGCTCCAGATTCTATTGATCCTAAATTCTTAGAGCCTAAGTATGTGTTTGAAGATTTGGAAATAGCTAAAAAACAGCATACAAATATTTTGCACCCTGAAAAGCAAAAGAAAGCCAAAGCTGAGGGCTACAAAGAAAATGACTATACTACTCATCACAAAGTTCTTCTGTCACAGTTTTTATCTGCAGATGACCCAATTGATCTTTTACAAGGATGTTCTGAGGTAATTAGTGATTTTTAAATCTCATTAGCACTGAAAGTTTTCTCAGTATTAACAGAAACGAGAAGAAATTCAAAGAAGAAAAAGTATTAGTATGTGAAGTTTTATATTATTGTTTTTATTACAGATTGTGATCGATGACAAAACTATTGAATTACATCCTAAGACAACAGAAGAAATAAAAATATGTTGCAAGGACATAAAAGTGCTGGGCAGAAAAGATCTCAAGTTGCTATTAAGTTGGATGAAACAGATGAAAGAATTAAAAACTCCAAAGGTAACAATAGTACTGAAAATAATTAAGATAGTTTAGTACTGTAATAATTAGTTTTCTTTGTAATATTTGCTGTTATTTAATTTCTAAAGAGTTAAATTTGTCCTTTTCAGGAGAAAAAGGATGAAAAAGAAGAGGCTGTGGATGCTGCTGATGACACTGAGGCAACAGAGGATAAGAAAAGCGATGATGAGGCGGAGGTTGATGATCAAATTGCTGAGCTTCAGGTAATCTAACCAGAATCATTTTGATTTTAATGAGCATTGATAAAAAAAATAGTCAAATATTCCCAAAATTATCAGACTATCAGAAATAAACATGGCAGTATGATTTCATATTGTTATATCTTGCACTGAAAATGTCTTGAGTATCAAATTTATTATGAATATTTTCAGGATGAAGAAAGAAGATTGTCAAAAAGAAAACGAAAACAACTGAACAAACAGAGGCAAAAGTTAGCAGAGAAAATGAATTTGAAAATGGTTTTGAAGGGAGATGGTGGTCCAATAATGGAAAGCAATGATATGTTTCAGCTATCATCTATTAAAAATGCTCAGGTTTGTTTTGTATATACCCAAACATACCTACTATAGATTTAACATGAAAGAAAGAAAGAAAAAAATATTTATTTGGTACTAAATGATACACATTGACAATATCACTTGCTCAAAATAAGTAATGTAAATTAAACAGTTGTGTATGCCTTAATTTTATATTTATTTTATTAACTAAGTGCAGCATATTTGAGTGTGTTTTAATGTCAATGGTTTTTTTCACAGGAATTGTCAAGGCTTGTGGACCAACAGCCTGATATTGTTGTTGACGGTGGAGATGAATCAGATGATGAATTTAAAATTAAACCCAAACATATCAAGTATGATGTTGAATCTTCAAAATTAGATTCTTCCGGGTTATATTATAAAGATTCTGACAGTGAACTGGAAATGGAATCAGATTCAGAAGATGAAACTGAAAAAGATACTTTAGGCAAGTACAAAAAACTCAATATTTTTAGCTGACTGTAAAAGAGTCTCAAGACTCTTGTTTTGGAGATATACAATATTACACAGTATGTAATTGACATTACACACTTTAAGAAAATTTAGATTTTAATAAAATATTTTTGTTTCAGCTTTCTCAGATTCGGATAATGAGTCAAAGAAGAAGAAGAAGATAGATAAAATAACAAAATTAAATACCCTCAAGAATAGTCAGTTAACCAAAACTCCATCGATCCCTAAGAACAATCCATTATTGACAGACCTTGACAACACGGACCCTGTGTCCAAACGTTCAATGAAAGCGGAACTTTGGTTCCAGAAAGACTGTTTTAAGGACATTGATGAAGAGGATGATGAAGGTGTAGATTTGGATAAAATTGCCACTACATATAAAGAAAAAGGTAACATCTAACAGGAAATTTTGATAAAATGAATATGGATATGATTAATCATCACATTGATGACAATAAGTTTAATAGATTTCTTGAAAAACCATCCATCCGAATTTTAGCTTGAATAATTTATTTGTAACATTATAATTTCAGGTAAAAAAATAACAGAGGAAGCAAAGAAGTCCAGTTTAGAAGATAGCAGAAATGGCAGTTTGAAAAGAAAGTTGAATGATGTAGAGAGCTCTGATGATGACTCATCAGACAGCGATTATGATGTTGAGGATACTGTGGCTCCTGGCGCAGATAAAGCAGGTGCTAAAACAAGCAAAAAGGATGGTTTTGAAGTGGTTTCCCAGGACCCTGGTAAGTTAAAATTCACAAATTAATAATTAAAATAATGTTATACCTACTATAAAATTTTATAAATACAACTAAACCATAACAACAGGATCTGCAATATGCATAATGAACTTGTTTTTATGTTAATATTTTTTTTAGATCTAAAAAGACTAAAGAAAACTCTGAAAATGGATGCAGAAACTTTAGCTTTAGGAACAATGATAGCTACTTCTAAGAAATTCAAGCGGGATCTGATTGATGATGCATGGAACCGGTATGCCTTCAATGATAAAAATTTGCCCGATTGGTTTGTTGAAGATGAAAAGAAACACATGAAGAAACCAATGGCCATCCCTGAGGTATTTCATCATTGTAATTTTTTTATTGTGCATTGGCTACGAATTTGTGATTTTGTTAGTCTTTCATATTTAAGCTAGATTTAGGTAGGGAATATGAATTTTCTTTTCAATGAGGGTTTTCGCGATTGAAAAATCCGCCAGATGGCAATACGTAGACGTGAGGTCCAAATGCTGCATGATTGGTTATTTTTGATATGACATTGACAGATATGTCAAAATCCACCAATCATGCAGCATTTGGACCTCGCGTCTACGTATTGCCATCTGGCGGATTTTTCAATCGCGAAAAACCTCATTGACACTTGATCAATTTATTATCGTTTTCAAATTTTACTGTATATATTTTCAGAAATATACTGAAGAATACGAAAAGAAGCTGCAAGACATAAATGTTAGGCCAATCAAGAAGGTGATCGAAGCTAAGGCTAGGAAGAAGAAGCGTATGATTAAGAAGATGGAGAAGGCGAAGAAGAAGGTGGAAGCCGTGATGGAGAACGCGGACATGTCCGAGCGGGAGAAGGCTCAGCAGATCAGGACTCTCTACAAGAAGGCGCAGACCGATGGCAAGAAGAAGGTGACCTATGTCGTGGCCAAGAAGCACACCACGGCCAAACGCATGAAGCGGCCGAGCGGAGTCAAGGGCCAGTACAAGGTCGTCGACCCACGCATGAAGAAGGACCTGCGCGCGCAGAAGGCCAAGGAAAAAACCAAGGGCCGCGGCAAGAAGGCCAAGTTCAATAACTCCAAGTCCAAGGCGGGCAAGCCAGGCAAGGCCGGCAAGGCTCCCCGAGCGAAAGCAGGTAAAAGGAAGGGAAAAGCTAAATAAGTGTTGTATGTACATAATATTATATGTATTAATATGTGATGAAAACGTTTTAATGCTATTTATAGCGAATCCTCTTAAATATCACTTTATACACTAGCCTATCTCAGGTAGGTATAGGTAACCTATCAGTTATCATATTTTTATATTATCTTACTATGAGCAGGAATTTATTAAGATGTATTCTGAAAAGACGCACGTTTTCATTAAGGACTAATTTTGCGAATTAATTGTCTAGGCAAGGCATCGATTTGGATGCTTGTTGAAATTAATCACTGTAATAATGGCGCAAGTGATGCGGGAAGTTGACCGAGAAGAAGCGCGAGTCCGCACACCGAAGTATGGGGGATGCACAGGGAAATTACCTGAAGTGCGTGCTTACACTATACGTCTCGCTCGACCAATTTCCCGCATAGTGTACTTGCGCCATAATAACAAAGCGCATCAAGTAGAGATGTATTTTCACCTAGTTAGCGGTTACAGTTCAGGCATATATACAAATTACAAACGCAATCATGAGTTGTTACTTGACATGCAAAGCAAGCTAGATTTTAAAGGGGAATTATAAAACGAGCGACTAAAAAAAAACTTTGCGACTGATGATGGCATACTGTTTTAATACCTTGAGCGGTATGAATTTGAGTAAGCGAAAAATTTACCACACTAACGACGAATATTGATCAATAATAAAATCCAGAACGAGCTTACAAAATGTGGGTTTTGATTATTACATTTCAGACATAAAAATAATATCCGGGCGACTAAATTACTAAGTGAGCGACTAGAAATACAGAGAGGGCAACTTTAATATGAAGATACATTAGATTTTTCTAATTGAGGTTTTACTGAACGAACTACAAAAAAGTTAATTCTAAGCAAAGTTTTGTAAGCTGCTTTATTAATGATTATTGGTTACTGATAATATATTTGAGGTCTCATGTTTTTTATTTTGATACGCTTTATTCATGAAAACTACAGATTGTTACAGCGCCCGAATTCGAATGGGGGCGGGGCGACTGTTCCGAATTTTTAACAAAATATGTATGCAAACACGTTTTGGGTCTAGCAATTCGGCTCAAACTAACAACACCGCCACTGGAAGCAAAACTGTACCTCTAGTACGAAAAACTTTCGAGTTCGTTTCGTTGCGTATTCAAAGTGTCATCGAAAAATTTTGTATGAAAAATTAAACAGCGCCCCCTATATTATAGCCGCCCTAGGGGGCGCTGTTTAATTTTTCATACAAAATTTTTCGATGACACTTTGAATACGCAACGAAACGAACTCGAAAGTTTTTCCTACTAGAGGTACAGATACCTATTGGACGAAAAAGAAAACGAGGCCGGCCCGCTAAGTCCAAGCCAGCACTTATCATACAGTGACGATGAGTAGGTAGAGCTCCTCAATCCTCATAGGTACCAATGAACCTTATTAATAAGATTACTTTTTTTGGGTCGACAGAAGCGACTTATTTTATTTTGTTTTTTTTTTGTTGATTCGATTTAAGAAAATACAAATTTATTTCATTTTTCGTAATACATTGTTTCATTTGATTACCTACCCTTAAATAATGTTTTATTTTTTTCGCTACTAGAATAGTGTTCCGTCAAATATTTATTTCATAAGATCATTTTTTATTTAAATGTGGGCTTATAATACGCTGCTCATAATAGTATTTTCCAAAGTAGTTTTTGCATTCGAAACACTTCATTAAAGTTCAAAATACCGCTCAGTATAAAAAAAGCATTTGCCAAATATTTAAAAAAATGCAGGACCTAACGTTGACACTCAATCAAATATTAGGTCGCTCAAATATTATGAAGCTTCTCATTTTGTATTTTAAGGAACTCAATTTTTTTTTGTAAGTTGCTATTCTTTTGATTTTTCGTTACTCGCACTCAGTCGCTCACTTAGTAATTCTTTAGCCCACATTAATTATTTTTGACCCTTACAACATAAATTTACAGGCACTCGTTTAAATACTACCCGATTTTAAATATTGTATGAATGATCAAAATTCAACGATAGCTAAATACTTTGTGTCGTAGTAGAATAAAGCATGACCGTACTCAAAATATAACAGAGGGCCATTTACAGTCATACTATTACTTGAGATTACGTCGGAAGTGGCGTTTTGTAGTCTTTCGTGTATTAGTCTGCGGGCTCTACGTAGATACTTAAGTATACAGGGTGTTAGGTAAATGGGTATATGAGCCGACACTAGCCCATGTTAACATGGTCATATAAATGTTATGGTGAAGTCAGAAAATCGATATCTTCATTTTAATTATTTTAATTTTCATACAAATTGGATTTTATTAAATTTATTTTGTATCACAATTAAAAAAATTAAAATGATGATATCAAATTTCTGACTTCACCATACCATTTATATGACCATGTTAACATGGGCTAGTGTCGGCTCATATACCCATTTACCTAACACCCTGTAGATAGGTGTTCACTCTACAGCGATCTACTTAGCATCCCGTTTTGTCGAAATTAAATAGGTAAGACTTAAACTTCCGTTGTAACTTACAGCCTAGACTTTGTAGTTTGATTGTTGTAGCTACACTGAGCAAGCATATACTACGAGTATACCATCGTGAAACGGAATAATATTCCACTAATTTATTGTATCGAAAAGGTAATTAATTTGATATTGAAAATGGAGACGACCTTTATAAATGTATTAGGGTGTAGGCAGAGCCATTACCTGAAATTACCAGGATTATTTTTACGAGTAAGGTCACGGTGATATTTGAAGCCACGTGCGTCACTCGCGGCTAACAGAGTTCAGGGACAGGCACGCCATATAAATGATATCACTCCGCTTTGACCTTGGTGTCTAATTCTGATTCGCTCCAACTACGCCGTCTGCCTACTAAGTTCCAGCGAGTGGTTTTTGTAGAGATAGGTAGGTAACGTGCGATTTAAATGATGACATTTTATTTAGTGTAAATCATTACGGATTTAGTTATAGGGCAATCGGGTAACGTTGAAAATGTAATAAGGTTGGTAAACTACGCCTCATCTTGAGGTGGTTCTCGTTCCGGAATATCTAGAGAGCATCAGGCAGGAGGCAGCGGTGGAGTGGGTGCGAGGCGGTGGCGGCGGTGGCGGCGGTGGCGGCGCCGGGAGGCGGCGGGTCGGGCGGCGGCCGCGCTATATCGAGCGCGATCACGGCCAAGGCCGCGCACCGCCGTCATCGAGCCCGTGCCCCGGCTCCGGCCCGCGCTCCGCACATAACAAACACGGTACCTATCCCGCCACATTGTATATCCGTAACACATTTCTACCTATAAATCATCAGTACCTACAGGCTATTGCGTCGTAATATTATAAACGTCTTGCAACATCACCCAAGAGTTCATTAACTATTTATTTAGCGATTTGTTATTATGCCACATACGCACATAAAAGTAAAAAAAAATAATTTATACAGGTACAGTCAGCATAAAATCGTGACACCCAAAGTAGCCAAAAAGTTCGGCAACACGTCTTTGTTACAATTGGAATAAGGTTGCGTTGTCAACTATTTGGCCACTGGGTGTCACGAACTAATTACGCTAACTGTACCTAATTCTAACTGAATAATATCTACTTCAAGATCTTGAATGTCTTATCTAAAAAGACGTACTTAACACGTGAAAGCCGAGAATATCGTTAATTTTCCTGGTATTTACGGGGTCAGGTAAGCAGATCCCACCGCCTCCGATCCGGGTGGGGGCGTAAGTATCCATATAACCTTCGTTCGTTTTGTGTATGTAAGTATGCCTTGTATAATATTTTTACTATTATATGTAGGACAAATCGTGTATCTTAAGAAATTCCTTCTTATAGAGTTAGAGGAACTTATGGCGTAGTATTCTATACCAAGAGGATCTAGTTTGGATTCCCAGGTGGGCAACACATAGGTAGTGTAGAATCTGTGTGTAGTTCTCCCGTTTGGCCGGTAGAACATTGTAGGCTTTAATCATGTCCTTATAAAACGTGACACAAATAGAATGCGGGAGCGAGACAGGAGGGAGGCGTATNAGTTTGATCGTAGTATGGAAGTTTCCGTACCCTGCATTTTGGTTTTTGACCTGAGATTCAGATTTCGCTTTTAATTTTGAAGTAAATTACGAGTAGGTAATAATGCCTGTTCCTGGAGGTGTTTATCAAAGTCAAGGACCCTCGTGTTTTGATAAAATGAAAATGGGATTCATGATAGGATTTTGCGTGGGAATGGCTAGTGGAGGTCTCTTCGGTGGCTTCACTGCTTTGAGGTTGTTTTTTAATGTAACCTAGCATGTTTTAATATATTTCAATGTTACCAATAATTATATTATCTTTATTCTTATTTAGATATGGAGCAAGAGGGCGCGAATTAGTTCATTCTGTTGGAAAAGTTATGCTTCAAGGTGGAGGAACATTTGGAACATTTATGGCTATTGGAACCGGAATACGTTGTTGAAAGTATATGGTTTTGTACTTTGTAAATACTTTAATTTAAACTTTGTAGTACCTACTCAAAATGTTATTTTATTTAAAAATATTGGGGGTATTTAGGGCTTTCATTATGTAATATGAGAACCTAACTTAGTTCAACTGCATAAAATTTTCTTCTGACAAACATTTACGTACTGCCCAAATTAGCTATCAATGTTACTTACTATGTCAATGTAGAAAGGAATTTAAGATTAGGAATTTAACCCGGCGCCAATGACGTGAAAATAATTGCAAAGACGATGACCCCGGGTCATATTGACCCACATTTCATCGATCATTTTTCAGGAAATTGTACAAGTAATCTTAATTTTAATTACTGTCTATATTCTTTACTGAGCTAATAAAACAAAAATAAAACGAATACATGAAATAAATCATTTTTTATGAATTTTTAAACAAAACATGAAAAAATCATGTATGGAAACACATTTGAGTCTATATTTTTTGTTTTTGGTAAAGATTTTTAGTATTAATAGGAATCAACAATGTTATATAGTGAAAAAGAGATAAAATCTACTTTTTAAATGCAGATACAATGAGATCAGTCTTCTACTTCATCATTCAGAGCCATGGAACTGCTGCAACTGGTGCAGTATGTAATTAAATGGTCTGGGCATGTAAATGTGGCATGACGCACTTGCCGGCGTCGTACTAATGCAAGTTCGAGATTATCCGAAGACTGAGTTCCCATTACTTGCGTCTTTTTCATATTCGTTGCCATTTCTAAGTTTTGGCTATTACAGCCTGAAATTCTTCAATCTCGGAATCCGACTCTTCCAGCAACGCTACATTCTTGCTAGGTCATTTAACAAAGACATTTTGACTAAAACTTAAAAAAGAACAACACAAGCTAGCACTAAACACAAAATAAGCGAATAAAAGTAAGTCACAAAGTCACCGCGCCACCGATGACGCCGGGTCATAATGACCCGTTTTAATTTGTAGCCTGTGTATTTCGCTACGCAAGCGGAGTCACAATACGTTAACTAATGGAATGGATTTAGGGAGGTTCTATCTCCAGCTATACGAACGCTAGAACCACAAAATGGACGCAAAAAAAAAATATGAACGTTTGAAAATGCCTCGGGTCAATATGACCCAGCGTCATTGACGCCGGGTTAAATTGTGAAAATCTATGAAAACTAATGAACAGAAAATGCTAATATGATAATTTAGTGATTTCTAGTATGAAGATTTCATTTGAATTACAAACAACTTTAAATAAACAAAGATGAAGGATTTGTATGCAGTTTTACTAACCTTCTTTAGCTGTGCCAGTAATACCATCCAGTGGTGCAGTATTCCCACTTTTAATATCACTTCCAAATGAAAGATGTTTGATTATATGGGTGGTGTTGAAAACAGAAGATGAGAATGGTTGCACATCATGAACATGAACATGATTGATGGTGAAACTCTTTCCTGGAGCTATATGAAAACTTCCACCAACCTAGAAAAGAGAATTATCTGTAATTAAACAGTCTACAATTTAAAGTAATTTAATTTAGGCTTAGTAAGTCTAAGCTTGAATGTTGTATTTGTCCATTTTATAACAAACCAAGTAAAAACTTCAAGCTCATGACATACATATAACTCCATTTATCTAAATTACCCGATTAACTTCCATGTATCCATATAATTGACATCCTTCTTTAAGAGCCAAATTAGTTCTTTCAATAGAGTCATCATCTTTACACTGTTCAATTGTTGATAAGTCTGGAAGAGCCCATCGTCTTATTCTATAAGCTTCTTTTACATCTTCACAAGTATTGCAGCATCTGAAGTAAATGTGAGTGTAAAAGTAAACCATTTTTTAATTGGGAAGGAAAGGAAAATATTGCTTTATTTATATGTATATCCACATAAAAAATTAATATGTTACTTTAAATACTCACTGAGATTCATTGTAAGCTGCTCCATAACAGCTACCACATGTTGTTTTAAGTGCAATACTGTTGTTTTGATGATTCTGCAATATGTATAAAAATATATAAACAATATAGAAATATGTAATTTATATCATTTATTCCAAAGGGATTTTTAGTTATTCTCAATGCTTGTTATTTTTGTCTCATGGGGCTGACAACAGTACATTTTCATTTCTTGACCTACAAAAACTATAAAAATTATTAGCATATTAACTTAATATTATGTAGGTTGGGAATATTTAAAAAGTAAGTAATTAAAGAATACTTATGTTTAGGTTACTAAGTATGTTGAAATTACAGTAGTGGATGATATTGCGATTTCTTGTTTCTTAGGTTCTTCTATAGGATTTCCATCTAAATCTAGTCTGCGTTTGTGAATATTATGATCCATTTGTAAATGCTGTTCTCCTGATGAATCCATAGCATCTAACACCAGGTCTAGAAAATAAAATAAAATGGTTACAGATAGTAAAAAAATATTATTAGCAAAATAAATACAAGATTATCTATCTTTAATTATTAGGATTGCTAAGCACATTCATTTACTACTTATGTATCATATTCTTGTTTGGGATGTGGTGGTCCAAAATGGACTAAAATAAATAAATATTTAAGTACTTATCGTAGGTGAAGCTTTGTCTCTTTTATTTTTATTCATGACACTGATTTTGTAATGCAGATGACAAAGTCTAGTGGACAAGGCTCACTTATTTAAAACTACATTATAATGATACTTACAATCACATGATATCCTAGGTATAACGATATCGAAATTGATCCTTAGCTTGTGTCCTCTTGACGTGTCGACAAATAATTCTTCAGATATGTTTGGAGACATGTACGTATGAAGTTCAGAAATAAACAACAAAGTCATAACAATACCGCCAATGATAGTAACTAAAATAAAATGCACGTTTTAGTTTTTTATCTTTGGCACCGTTTAAATTAATAATTTTATTGTAGTAAGGCAAATTTTAACTTACTTGCTGCACCGGTAGCAGTTTTAATTCTAAAATCTTCCAATGTCTTGGCATAAGCATCTAACTGTTTAAACTTATCAATTAATGGTGATGACATTCTGATAGTTTCGTAGAATTGTAGCGCACTCAATTTTTTTTTATCTTGAATAGCCGGATAATTTAGAAATACCTATTCAATGAATCCAGAGGAATCAGTTTTAAAACATCGATGATGATTTGACAAGTGACATACATGACATGACTGTGATGACATCTACACGATTTTTTAGTTTGATTAATTCCATGAAAATGCAAGGGCATTACGCCATACAGCCGGGTCCCCAGCAACCCATCTATGAAATTGACAGGAGGGCGTATAGATGACCCACGCTGAACTGTCCCGCCAAACTCAATGACAGGGGGGCGCTACCATCGTTCAACTTTATGGTTTCCAACATGACAAAAATCGGAACCAGCGATTCGGTAATGACGGTGGCGCCCCGCTGTCAATGTCATCGATAGGACAGTTCAGTATTTTGGAACTATACTATCGATTCTAGATTATTAGTTCCGATTATGCAAAAATGGATAAGACATTTTAAGGGCGTTATATAGCCTGACCAGGAACATAAAAACCCTCGCCATGTTGCGGAAAACTAATGGTACTAATTTATTTTAATGGCAACAGTAACTGAAAACTTCATTGACATGTCACCTTGCATGTCAGTCTATTGTTGTCAAAGTGTAAACAAACTTTATTTTAAATGTGTGCAATTGATTTTGTGAATTAAATTGCTAAAATCTTTTTATAGTCGTGAAAGAAAAGTGGTTCACGGTGTGTTATTGTATTTGTCGAAGAGAAATACTAAGGGTTCAGACAATATTTTCATTGAATAATGTTTCCGACAAAGGTTGTCAAATTGACTGACATGTTTATCGTATAGTACAGTCTACTATGAAAATTAGCTGTAGTCTGTTTCAACTACCCATTTTAAAGTTTTTTGTTACTTTCTAAGTTTTGAATTTTATGGAATTGGGAAAGAAGTACCGAGTTTGAAGCGTTCATGAGCAGACATTACAGTTGATTAATCAAGTTCTGAATTTGATTATTGATGAATAATAAAATATACCCTACTAGCTCGATTGATGGTTTCATTTAATTTATTTAAACCAGGTTACCTTAAATAATATTTTTCGTTCATTTATGAAAATATCAAATTAGCCCGTAATCCTGAATCCTGATACATAAATTTACCCTATTAATTTAACACATGTACGACTGTACTCAGTGTTGCACTATCAAATGCAATTGAAGCGCCTCTATGCCAGGGTTTTTATGTTCCTGGTCAGGCTATACTTTAATTAAATACTGGTAGGCCAGTAGAATTAAACACAAAAATGAATCAAATCGGAAATAATTCCTACAAAACATTTTATTGCTTTGATGGCTTCATTGGTTGCCCATAAAAACACTCCTAGGTTTTCGACTTTGACGGAGTTGTGGTTATGTGGTGGGGGCCCCCGAAAGGGGCGTTTTTTCGGTTTTCCGGTTACACCGCGTAAAGGACTTACCCTATCGAAAAGTGTTCTTCATGACGGTAAAAATAAAGATCATGGTTTTCACAAGAATTTTATGTAAAACAAAGAGATTCCAGAAAATAGTATGGTTGCAGAAAGTAGGTATTGCAGATAATAGTAGGTTAGGTTATAACAGTGACCATTAACGCGTTAGGCAGCGGCCGCTGAGCGCTAGCTAATCACCTCTATTTTTAATAGGCCAGTAGAATTAAACACAAAAATGAATTAAATCGGAAATAATTCCCATAAAAGATTTTATTGCTTTAATGGCTTCATTAGTTTCCCATAAAGACTCTCCTAGGTTTTCGACTTCGACAGAGTTGTGCTTAAGTGGTGGGGCCCCCGAAAGGGGCGCTTTTTCGGATTTCCGGTTATACCGCGTAAAGGACTTACCCTATCGAAAAGTGGTCTTCCTGACGGTTGAAGGACATTTAATCCTGCATTAAATAAGACCAAATTCATATGTTTTGGACAAACCGTTCTCGTGCAAATGTTCGGAAAAGTAGAAAATATGTGTAGGTATAATTAATGACCCTCTCCAAGTCCAATAGCTCGTCACCCGTAGGCTCCCAAGCCTTGTAAAGGGTCGCCTTAACCAGCGTATCCCTGTCAAGGCTCACGACTTGGATTCGCGTATCCTTGTTCGTCCCAGCCGTTCCTTAACTGCGCAGCTGCGGTTGCTGCACCTCTTCCTGGCACTCACCTGAACGACTCTGTGTGACCTACTGTGGCTGCCCCACTCTTTTGTAACCTGCTGTACGACTACGTTGCCTAGCCGTATGCCTGGTCTAAGGTTCGACGCCAAAAATCAACAACAACAAGTTCATATTAAAACGCTGTAGAGTTTTTTGTTTGTTTGTCTGAACGCGCTAATCTCAAGAATTACTAGTTTGATTGAAATAATTATTTTTGTGTTGAATAGCTCTTAAATTGAGGAAGGCTATAGATAGGATATATACAATCACTCTAAGACTAATAGAGGCGAAGCAGTAAAGAAAAATGTTGCAAGCACGGAAAATAGTATTTAAACTATTTTCACGCGTACGAAGTTGATTTTGTGGCGTCGAAGCTTGGACCAGGCATATGGTTAAGCAATGCAATCGTACAGGAGGGTACAAGGAAGAGGGGCAAGCATAGTAGGTAACACAGAGTCGTTTAGGAGAGTGCCAGGAACAGGTGCAGCAACCGCAGTTAAGGAACGGCTGGGACGAACAAGGATACGCGAATCCAAGTCGTGAGCCTTGACAGGGATACACTGGTTAAGGCGACCCTTTACAAGGCTTGGGAGCCTACGGGTGACGAGCTATTGGACGTGGAGAGGGTCATTAATTATATCTACACATATTTTCTACTTTTCCGAACATTTGCACGAGAACGATTTGTCCAAAACATATGAATTTGGTCTTATTTAATGCAGGATTAAATGCCCTTCAACCGTCAGGAAGACCACTTTTCGATAGGGTAAGTCCTTTACGCGATATAACCGGAAAACCGAAAAAGCGCCCCTTTCGGGGGCCCCCACCACTTAAGCACAACTCCGTCGAAGTCGAAAACCTAGGAGAGTATTTATGGGAAACTAATGAAGCCATTAAAGCAATAAAATCTTTTGTAGAAATTATTTCCGATTTAAAATCTAATTCTACTGGCCTATAATGAATCATTTGGAAGTTTCGACAAAAAGAATGAAATATGAAAATTAATTTAGAACAATTATATTAACTACTTACTCACTAAACAAAATAATAACCACAAGCTAATTTATATTCCATTATATGCACAAGAATGAAATCTGAAAATAAATTTAGAACAATTAATTAACTACTTAGGTAACTACTCACTAAACAAAATAACAACCACAAGCTAATTTATATTCCATTCTATTCTATGCACCAATCAAATTATTTTGTAAATTGTTTCCCGTGAAATGAAACATTTGGCAAAACATACTTTGCCAAACAATAATATGCCAAAAACGACATTTGCGAATTAAAAATTTGCAATAAGTTGTTTTGCCAAATGAAAATTTGCGAAACGTTGTTTGCGATGTGATAATTTGGGAAACGTTTTTTGGTCAAACATTAGTAATCCTTGAAGGGCACTTAATCCTGCATTAAATAAGACCAAATTCATATGTTTTAGACAAACCGTTCTCGTGCGTGTCAATGTTTGGCAAAGTATAAAATATATGTATAATTAATGACTCTCTCCACGTCCAATGTCTCGTTATCCGCAGGCTTCTAAGTCTTGAAAAGGACCGCCTCAACCAGTGTAACCCTATAAAGGCTTACGAGCTGGATGCGCTGGTTCCTTAACTGCGGTTGCTGCACCTTTTCCTTGCACTCTCCTGAACGACTCTGTGTTACCTACTGTGGCTGCCCCTCTTCCTTACATCCTCCTGCACGACTGCGTTGCCTAGTCTTATACTTGGTCCAAGGTTTGACTCCAAAAATCAACAACAACAGAGTCATATTAAAACGCTGAAGAGTTTGTTTGTTTGTTTGAACGCGCTAATCTCAGAAAGTACCTACTGGTTTGATTTAAATAATTGTTTTTGTGTGGGATAGCTCGTAAATTGAAAAAGGCTATAGGATAGGTACATAGGATCAAGCTACGACTAATAGGGACGAAGCAGTAAATAAAAATAAAATGTTGTAAGCACGGGAAATAGTTTTCAAACTATTTTCACGCGTACGTAGTTGATTTTGTGGCGTCGAACCTTGGACCAGGCGTACGGCTAGGTAACGCAGTCGTGCAGTAGGGTGCAAGGAAGAGGGGCAGTAATAGTAGATAACACCGAGTCGTTCAGGAGAGTGCAGAGAAGAGGTGCAGCAAACCTAGTTAAGGATCGGCTGGGAGGAACAAGGATAGGCAAATTCAACTCGTGAGGCTTGACAGGGATCGAGCCATTGGACGTAGAGAGGGTCATTAATTATACGTTATATTTTCTACTTTGTTGAAGATAAGCACGAGAACGGTTTGTCCAAAACATATGAATTTGGTCTTATTCAATGCAGGATTGAATGCCCTTCAACTGTCATGCAGATCAGTACCTGAGAGTTACCTCTCGTCATCCATTTTATATAAATTATATGTATGTATAATTTATGTATATATTTTGTATAAATATATATTATAATATTTTATTTATTTATTTTTTATTTATTTATTTAAGGACAGCTAACAAGACATACACAATTAACAGGAAAAAAAAACATTGAAAACAATACATGTTTATAGTGTAGCCTTAATTAAAAGCTGCCACGACATGTGCATAGATTGCGTGGAAGCGTAGTATCGACTAAATTAAAAAACACAAAAATTTAATTGAACTACATTCAATCGAATTTCCGTGTTAATATATAAGAATTTAATTCAAGCCAGGAATCCAGCATATCAACTGCATGTCTTAGATAATAGTGACTGAAGGTAGAATATAGAATATAGAATATTTATGTATTATATTGTGTACATTTTTGTAGCTTTTTAGCACCGCCTACTAAATATCTCTGTTTTGCTCAAGGTCAGCTGGTAGTGAATGAAGAATGGCATTAAGCTCGCCTTTTTGTACAGAACATTGTTGTGTGTGCAATAAAGTCTTTAAATAAAAAAAAATAGATAGTATTAATGGGCAACAAAGGAAGCCATTAAAACTATAAACTCTTTTGTAGGAATTTTTCTGATTTAAAATCTAATTCTACTGGCCTAATTAGTTCCGTCGTTATTTGAACAAAGTGGCCCCTTGCCAGCGCGGGTTTCATAGCGCGGCTAGTCATGCAGTCACAGAGCACGTAATAGTAGTCGGATTAGGTTGTGGCGTTTTGTGGGCTTAGATTAATAAAGCGTTGTGGGATTCTTACAGGCAGTGCATTTTCGCTTTTTATGGAGCCGCTGGGAAGGGGTATCTTAGTTCAACAACTAACTAATAGACGTAGACTAATAAAACATTTATGTACTTTAGCGACCTGTGGGCCTAGATAGACAAAATGCACAATATAATCGCAAACATCGAAATCGAAAAATGGTTGTACCTATGGAGTTGTGATTATGACGGATTCGAATTTCGATTCGATGAAAAGTTCAAATTGTCTAGAGGGGCTGGTTTTTCTCGTATTTTAAAATAACTTAAAAAAGCATAACCCTCCTTCTGGCGCAGTCGGATAAGAAGTGAAAAAAGCATAGAAAAAAGTAATGTTTTTTTATTTAAATCCATTCTTACTTTTTTATTTATTTATTATTATTTAATTTTTTAAATGGAGGAAGAGACTTTGTGTCTGTTTTCTACTTCCACCGATAGATAAGTAATTTTATCATCTATCGCATGATATAATATCAAATATTTGCTTGTCGCGGTCGCTTGTTTTAGAAGGAAGAATGTAAAAGAATACTAAATTGGTCAAGCCCCAGATTTGAAATATTTTCATCGATAAAATTGTCCATAACATCTGAATTTTCAGTTAGGATTGTAATTAAAATAACGTTGTTAATTTCTTGGTATTCCACTTTGAGCACTCACCCAAATAGCACCTGCACGAATAGCACCTGGCCTATTCTACTTAGAGCACCTATCGATATAAAAATAATGGTATGGAATCTATTCGTGCAGATGCTATTTGGGCGGGTACTCAATGTGGAATACGTCAATTTCTTGTTAGTTATAGGTAGCATTCTCCTTTTTACAGTAACGCGTATAAATGGGGTAAAATGATTATAATCAACATCCAATTATTGTTTTTTATTGTCAATAAATTTGTTTTAACCTAAATTATACTTAATGAAACATCAAGTCTACCGTTCTACCTAACTGCAGTAAAAATTGTAAAGGCAGCATGTGGTTGCTATCAACATAATAACGTGTTCCAAACATCAAACTCAAATTATAGCGTTGTTAATTGAATTCTTATTGTTTTAAATGATGCACAGAACAAAAAATATATTAATGTTAAGAATATTTACTAATGTTGATGTCGACCTGCCTATCGATCATATTTGTAATTATTGTTAACATTACTGAGTATTATTTACATGTGTTTACAGTCTTTTAATTTAACTTAAAGAGATCACTTCTTAAAATTGAAACCCTCCCCCGTGGGATCTAGGATCCATGGGTAGTTGTTAGGGCACTCCATGCAGGTGAACAAACGTAGTGTCTCTCCTGGCAGCTCCCGGGTAGTCAATGGGCAGGCATTTGGCAAAGAACAGTAAGGTTGACCTTTCACGTCACATTTGTCTTGTTTCCATTCTTGGAAGTCACGTAGCGATGATAATTCAGTTGGATTTTGCATCCATTGAATAACTTGGAGCAGCGATACGAAATAAACATCGTTCTTTTCCAACATTTCTTCAATAAACTTGATGAGTTCATCCCTGAACTCCTTCTTTGACTTGAGCCACGATGCATGAAAATGCAGACCGAGAGGAGCGCGGTTTGTAGAGTAGTGGCGGTTGAAGTTGTGGCGCAGAAGGCGCGCGAACTGATCACCAGTTTGAATGTTGGAGCAAGAGTCAACCACATGACAACCTGGCAGTGATTCGTCGAAGGTAGGGTCATCTCTTCTGTCTAGCTCGTTCATAACCATTTCCCAAACAGGGTGGCTTCGAGACGGACAGTTGTGGGCATTACCGTTGCATTTGTGTGGCATTCTGAAGTACAGGGTGTAAGGCCAGATTGGTACACGACCTAGAGGAGCAGTGATCGATGCATCGTAGACAAAGTACTGGTCAGCCATCATTTCAAATTGTTTATTGCCACCTACTCTGAGATAAGGAGCACGGACACCAATGATCGAGGCATCTGTCAAATTGGCAAACCGTTCGAGAATGAGCCGAGCACCGGCCATTTCTGCTAACCAGTCATCGTAACTACCACTAGTCCAGTAAAGCGGATCGTCTTTGTGTGTAATTGAGAATACAGCAATTTCGTGTCCTTTACGGTGTAATTCTTGAACGGCAGCATAGTTTGTGTATTTGTGTGAAACGAAGAAGGTTCCTCGTACTTGGCATCCATTAGGATTGTGGCGATTTCCATTGAAAATCTGATCGTACAAATCAATATTGTCAACATTAACGGCACCGTTAAATGTGATGGTGATCATTTGAGGCACCTGGTTAGGTTCTATTCCACCAGGGATACGAGTACCATCAGCAGAACAGAAACAGTCAGGAAGTGCACACTGCTTAGGGTCACAGTCAGGGGCTCTATTGGGATCTAAGTCAACAGCTGTAAAAGAAAAAAACAATATGTTATTTTTGTACTTCTCACAAAAAGAAACACTTATGAAGAAATTGTAAAAATATGAAAAGAATATGCTAATTAAAGTTAGAACGTAACTAACTAGTATTGAATTGATGTATGTATTTACTTACTGCATGCATTTTCATCGGACTCGTCCTTGCAGTCGGGTTTTCCGTTACAGAACAGCTCCTTTTCGATACAGTCCCCGCTTCCACAAGCTAATTTTCCCTCAGGGCAAATGGGCTCATCAGTTTTCAGGATGGGTAAGATTTTTCTTGGTTCTGAAAATAGTTATTTAGATATTAAGCTTCTTGAAAGCCAATGTTGTTGTGATTAGGTCTTTTTAGGTCGCAGGTGTCTAACTCGAAATTTAGCTTTCGGTGCCTCGTCTGTGTGACTTTTTCCGTATTTAATGTAATTGTGTTATGAGATCCATGAGAATCTGGCGAAGAAGACTCGGCAAAGCATGATAGGATGACAAAGTTAACAATTATGGTAAAAATAAAGAGAAAGGAAAGGTACGAAAAAATATAAGTCAGCAAGAAATTAATTAGATTGAATGTGATAAGTAAGAAATAAATAAATTAGGTATAGGTATGTATATTGATTGATTAACAATGAAAAAGGTCCACAAACGGTAGATTGAATTTAAAATCATGGAATATGGAGTTTAATAGAAATCAGACTGCAATAAAACATGGTATTTCATTTGATATATTCACAAACTAAGCTTTAGTAAAATTAAGTGATGGTAAATAGGTACATGCTTATTTGTGAAAATATCAAACGTATAGGTAATAAAGAATTTACAGCCGAACCAAGTTCTGGTATGTTCAAACTTTATAGGATATCTAACTAAGGGGTAACAAAAGAACTAAGTAATTTAAATGCTCTATTGATATTTTTTGCTACTTGCATACCATAGAACTTAAAGCGACTGCAATTAGAAAGAAACAGAATCAAACATAAAGAAGCATTGGACAAAACATGGTACCACATTGAAAAGCATTATTGGTTGTGTTCGAAACAAAAAATTAGTGGCAAGTCAAATAAGTAGTTATTAAATAGGTTAGATAAGTGATTTCCAAGGTGTTAGTAGTATGAGTAAAACTTATTGTTGGGTTAGACAGTTTCAAGAATAAATTAAGCTCAAAAGCAGTTTAGGTTAGTTAGTAAGGTAACAGAAGAAGATAGAGGATTGTGTAGTGTATGGAGTGAGTTATTAGACTTGTGTATATTTACAAAAGTTACATTTACAATCCCTGGCTGTGCTTATTTAAATAGTGAACAGGCAAAGTGTTCCGATTAAATCCCTTGTAGCATTTCCTTGCTACACTAATTCGCTAGTTTAAAATACGTTGGGGGAAGATATTTTTTTGCATCAACATTACTTCAAAAAATTACTCTGTTCTTTAATAAGTATACTGATTAGAAATTTCAAAAATAATTTCTTCTTTACAATTAATTTGATCTCAAAGTAGGTTTAAACAAGTTTTGCACTTAAGTAGTTATAACTTATTTTTGTTTATTTTATCATTAATATTTTAGTTATAGTTTATCGTTGAAGAATGTTAATGCGTAACCAACGGGTCGGTCCAGCACGGGCCGCTCCCCGGTCCGGGGCCTCATGCAACGCCTAAACTACAGTGCGACGCGGCCCCTTCACCCAAGCCCGGTTGCTCGCTACACGCGAATAGCTTCTATTTCGGCACTTACTCTCCAGTTTGTCACAGTTGTTCACTTTACCCTTCCAGTCGCAGGTTTGTTTATCGAGATCGAAAGCCAGTCCAGACGGGCAAGTGATCTGTTTAAGACCTGACCTAGTGCACCTGCGTTGACAAGAAATGTAATTAAATTAAATGTTTTATAACAGGAAGTGAACATCCGGAAGGCTAGCTCGTAGCGACTTTGCTATATCTGGTTATTCCAGCGCTGTAATCGAGCCCTTCGCATGCCCACTTCCTGTGGTACACGGAACTTACTTTCTAATTTATCGCAATTCTTAACGTGTGTTTTCCAGTCACAGGTTTGGCGGTCGATATCGAAGGCGAGACCGCCGGGGCACCTCACTGAGGCGAGCCGGGTGACTCCGTCTTCGCCGCCTTTGTCGCACCTGTACACAGCGATTTTTTCAGCAAAAGCACAACTCACTCTCTCTCATCCAACTCGTGTACAGTTATAATAAAGCTGTTGACACATGAGTGGTTTACATAACTACTACTAAAGTTCCATCTTTGCACATTTTTCTCTCTTTGCATTAAAGAAACTAACTATAAACATATTTTGCTTGAAATTACAATCAGAAGGAAAAAATATTAAATTAAAAATAAGCATACAAAAGCTAATATATTTTTTTATACTATATTGGAACTTTTCTTAATATTCTGAAACTTTAAATGAACCTACTGACTGGTAGTGATTTCCCAAGAGGGACTAAACACGTACTAGGTAGGTATACTTACTTGAACAAAAATAAAATACTAGGTATTCATGACACGCCGGTGACTGGCCCGTTCACGGACACGAGTGTCACCACCGCATACCAAGTGCTAAATTTAAATGAATAAATATCTCTATTCTAGTCTCTGTTTTAAGCAAAAAGGAGTTCACTTAGTCACAATTTCATGTGAGTAAACTATCACAATAACTTTTTCATCATATCCGATACTTTAATCTGCGATTAATGCTAGAAGAACATATTTTTATATTGATTGATCTACCCCCTCATCATGAAAGTGACACTCGAATTTTTGACTGATATAGTATTTATGTAGAATGCAAATGTTATTTCAACTTTTTATAAGGCAGTAGCAAAGGTAATAGAGTCGGATCAAAGTTATCTTAATCGAAATTTTAACATCAATAATGAAAAAGTGTGAAGATGACTGTAGTGCAGTTAGTACTCACTGGAAATGATTTGGAAATAATAAATTATGTAAGTTGTTTCTATTTACAAACAGAGCAAACTACTACTGTATTTGCGTTCTCGTTGCGTCAAAACTAGAATAGTGAGTTTCACTTTCAAGGGTCCAACTCGTGCAGAACATGCGATAGCTGCGTCTAGGCGTAGCGCCTCGGTAAACTATTCATCTAGTCTTTCTTGTAGAGGTCTCGTTGCGGCGCCATGTAGGGCTTTACAATCAGCCATGGGGTAATCTGTTCCTAGATAGAGGTACTGACCTGACGACATCGCGGCAATCTCCCTCGGTGGTGAGGCGGAAGTACTCGTCGGCGGGCCGACCCTCGCACAGCTGCTCAGGGTTCACATCGTCGCTCCCAGCATCTTCATCTTGTCTCTTAACTCTCAGGTTCTCGCCGTGTACTGTGCAACAAATATCATGAATATAAAATATCATCCTACCTCAAATAGAAAGTACCTACATAATTTTTATATCAAAACTAGCTGACCCGGCGAACTTTGTTCCGCCTTAATGGCAATAAATAAGCAGACTTTTTTTTTAATTTCGAACGGGATAAAAAGTATCCTATGTCCTTCTCCTGGCTCTAAACTACCTCCCTGACAATTTTCAGCTAAATCGGTTCAGCCGTTCTTGAGTTATAAGTGGAGTAACTAACACGACTTTCTTTTATATATATAGATGTATTCAGAGTGTAATAAAAGAGAGTTACTTTTTGTGAATGTACGATAGAGATCCTGTCTTAGAAATGCATGTAGTTAAATAAGATTGTTTAAAAACATTGTTTAATTTTTTTTTGTAATTTTATGCCTTATGTAACGAAAGAAAAAAATTAAAATTTCGCTACAAACACGGCAACGTTAACATATTTATTAGGTAACGCAACTTAGCGTAAGCAACGATTACAACACCGCCGGTGAAGGAATGTAGTACCGTTTCATTGCGACGCCGAATGCCACGCGACTTGAGTATGCTTGCCTGGTTTTAATTATATCCCTTATTAAACCGAGGAAATTCACAAGGTTTACCCAATATACATTAGTATTTCCACATAGTTTTTAAAAAACTTTAGTAACTTACTAATATCATTAAAGTTAATTACCAACAGAGTTCATGCTACTAATGACATTTGTCACTAGTATAAAACCGGCTTAGCATAATAGATATTCAAGTTAGAACTACATTCTATAAGTAACTTGACGTCGGCATTGAAAGTTGAAATGTTGAGAAGAAATCGAGGTCAGCTCAGTCAAGTAAACGAGCCACGTAGAACCGGCGTTCGCTTATTGTTGCCTTTAACCCGCGCCTGAGACACTACCTCAAGCCACTTACGGCATTTTAACATTTGAAAATATTTAAGATTATGACCATCGAGTAATATGCTAGCCATCGTATGAAACTATATTAAAGAAAGAAAAATGGATTAAATAATTTCATATTGTCACTCCTGTATTTTATTTATAAAGCCTTAAAAGCAGAAGATCACCAGTTTATAAGTTAAGATAATAAAGACAAACACGATTATTCAAATATTTAACGATTTAGTTTCTTTGTGCCGGTAGTTTAAAAAAATATGTAACACAAAATTTACACATAATTTGTGTACCTAAATAAAAGTTGTCACCATTAAAACAATATTTTAAGTACATACTTGATATGAATAGGTAGCTTTAAATAGAATGAAAAGCTCTCAAAATAAGCTTAATTAAAAAAATAAAGTACCAATTTAAAAATAATTGTAAAAATCTATTGAGTTTTCCAGTTTTAAAGTTAAAATTAAAATAATGAAGGCCGTTATTGTTATGAAACTTTTGTTTGTAAAATAAAAAAAAATATGGTGGGTTACTCACTGTAACAGGCGAACAGCAACACACCAAGACACAAAAACGCGTGTCGAGCCATGGCGCTCGGCGTTGACTGGTCGTTGCGTCGCGCTCCGCCAAGAAAGTGCAAGAGGTCTCCGCTGCCCCTCTTCACCTATTTATATAAGCTGGCAGGGCGCGCCGAGTACCCAGCGCACTGACACCTTCCAGCCGTCCTATACCAACTGCGCCTCCCGTCGATGTAAACCACCTCACCACCAACCAGCTTATATTAAGCTCTGGATGACATTACTAGGACTTAACGAAATTTAACGATTATTACCTTTTTAGTTAATGACTGCTAGAAAAATAACGTCATGTCATTTAATAGCACCCCCTAATGTTATTACGTAATGATAAATGATAAACTTTCTAAAAATATTTTGCATAATCTACACCTATTTGTAGTTTTTTTAACGATCGTTGTTAAGGTTTTTTTTATTTACCCATTTACTAGTAAGTGTTACGGAAACGTTACCTACAAAGAAAAACCATTTTCAAGGACATCTAATAAATCACTTCCTAATTTCCTAAATAAAAAAATACTTTAATAATTTTGTGTTTTACATTTTCATAGACTCGCGCGCGGAAAAATTGTACGGAGATATAAGCAATTCATTTTATATTTTAATACTAACTTTTTGAAGTAAGTACCTTTAATATTGGAGTAAATGTTTCAGTTTTGAAACCTGACAAGTGGTAAGAACTTCAGTTCAGGTGTTGAATCTTTAATATTTAATTTTGATGACCACATTTGCTGCACATTTTTATTACCAATATGGAGTGATTTTAAAATCAGAGTTTCATGGGCTAACCTAACTCATGGTCTAAACTTAATAAATGAATTGCTATTTAACATCTACCAATAACATTATTTGGTATTATGGTCTACATGTATGGAATTTAATATATTGCATAGATATTTCCAAATCACGTTTATTAACATTTAAGGCTATTATGACACCCATATATTTGTAAAATGAGATATGAGAAAAGTATTTGAAAAAGGGTTCAGGGTTGAAGTGATAAATTATGAGTTCAGGAAATAATAGATTTTGCAAAATTGAATTCTGTGCATCATCTCTGCTCAGTAGGTAATACGTTTTATTGTTTTGTAAAACTTGTAGTTCTTAAGTATTACCTATCTTATTTTACTCGTGATTAAAATTAAATATGGGTCATATAAGCTATACCTACATCGTCCCTATAAATAATTATGAAACTATTCATGACATATTCACTTTCGGGAGTTGATCAAAATTTTTGCCTTAACTAGACAGTTTCCGCATTCACGACGTGATATTGAAGGTTAACTTTTCGTCAAATTATTGAATTAAATCGGCAACCTTGTTAATTTTGACTAAAAGTTGTTTTTGAATCTTTATTTATGGATAGATTTTAAGGGAAATAATTTTATTTTATAGGTATGTTTTAATGTTTTATAGCATACTAGAATCTAATTGATCAATCAATTTACTTTCTCCTTGTGCAAGACAAGGTATTTCATTTCTTTTACCATGTCTACATGAAGCAATAGCCCAAACAGACTTCAATTCGTTAATTGCGATTTTCATCAAAAGCATGTCTCGCCAGTGTTGTGTCAGAGTCATACGCATTTTCTCTACCCTCATTTTAAACCTTTTCATTACATAACGTGATTGTTAGAAAAATATTATCATATTAAATTAATCAAGATGAAATCCAGTTAAGTTTTAATATTTTAGATTATGATGGCCTTTTTGCCAATTCCATGAAATCGAGAATACTCTTTTACATACTGGTCCAATGGTAAATAGGTTAGCGTGAACCTGTTTTATTTAAATAATTATGTCAATGTGAAATCAAGGTCGATAGAAAGATTCTATTTTCGAGTATCTCAGACTGCTTCTTATGTCTTGTGGCTAATCAAGTAACATCTACAATTATTACATATAATTTTTAACGAAGTTATTAATGTTTGATAATAAAGTGCGGAAAGTACGATTACCTACTTCTTAATTACAGTAAGTAGGCCGTATCTACATAAATAGGATGTGACATTGATCTACATGAACTTGAAGTTTCCGGAAAATAATGCCGCGTAGAAAAGTAGTAACTTACTCCGACCTTAATAAGTATGTTTACTACTTCATAAATACCTCACTGAAAGTATTTTCATGGAATATGATACGATTTTTAACCACCACCAACAACTATTGCGACCTTCCGACAGCCATATTTATTTTTACTGTGTAGCAAAGATTATTTTATGGAGTACTTAATTGCTCTAAAAAATAAATTACGATTAATCCTCGAACTGAATCAATGTAAGTAGGTATGCTTGATATTTTTCAAATAATGCCTTTTTTACGAAATCCCGTTTTGTAAATAGTACCTACTATAATATAAAACAAATAAAATCAATTTTATCATTTTAAACAAATCAATGTAGTTAGGTAAGTTTAATTAACACAAATCTACATATTTTTTAACTCATATCAAATGTAGGACTGACAGCTGAATTAATAAAAAAAAATGTGTTTAATTAAATATTCGCAAAGTGATTTTGAGAAAATGTTAATAGATTCAGAGGTCACGTGCCTGTTATTTGCGCGAGAAGACCTGCTTAGATGGGGTACAAGTCAAGAAAGAGTCAAGGACGTCAAGGTCTGCTTCTTATTAGTTGAAAAGGTTTCAATCATTTACCATTCTAAAAACTACCTGATTTCGAATCTTGAACGTGCTTATGAACATCTTTACCCGTTGAATAAAAATAGCAATCAGGTTTATTCGCGACGTGACAGTGCAACATCGTAGCAATTGATCAAGCCGGTCCCTTCTCATGTATGCGTTCCTTGATATAACAGATAAATATTGTTTTCTGTTTATTTAAAATAAAATAAAATAACATCCTTCCATGTTTTAACACTGCACCACTTAGACTCAAACATAGATTATTAATCTAAGGTCCCACACTAGTATTTATTCTGTATCCAAACTAAGAAACTTGTACAATGAGTAAGTAACTATGTACCAGAAAAATTTACGGCGCTTAAGTCCATACACATAACAAGATGAATCCTTATAATCTGTAAGTATACAGAAATCACCCAGAACAATACAAAAAGCTACATAGCCTGTACATACATGGGCACAAATTAATGTCTGTGAGCGGGGATTGAACCCGCGACATCTCGTAGTGCGTCACCCAAACCACCATGCGAGGCCGGCTATAGCATAGTTATAATGAGCAATTAAGTGTAAAAGAACAATGCTGAACGCAGTGATAATTGTTTCCGAAGATGAAAACATCTGGGAGACGAGTCGTATTGTAATGTCCGGGTGGATCAGGTTATGTAAGACCCGCGGGGTCTGGGCGCGGCGCCGGCGAGCGCGGGCGGGCGGGTGCTGCGGCCCGCGACGTGCACGCGACGAGGCCGACCTCTTGACCGCTGACTGAACCGACATCTTTAGCGATGTCTGCAAAACCAGAATTACAGACATATGGCCACTAAGACGATCTTGTTCGTATTGCAATAACTGTTTGATCCACAGGAACCGGTATAATAGACGATACACATTGTTACCGTTAATCTGGACTTACAATGCCTGTAAAGTTACATAAAAGTTTATAACATCTCACATGAACTCTTGAAAACATTTGGATTCACTTGTCATGTCCATTGATTACTTAGGTTCTTACATTTGCACTTTCACGAGATGCGTTATTTGTTGCGCAAGATACTGAAGATTTAACATTTAAACTATCGATTGCTTACACCTTGCGGTTGTTACGTGCATATTTGACCTGGATATAGAGTTTTTAGTATTCTTAGTATTATGAATTAACATAATGGTTGATTTTTAATAAGAATTCTGTTACGAGTATTTTTCTTAATGTATACCTACCTAAATCTGAAAACTTTTAACATTAACATTCCTAGACACCGTTTGAATGATATATTATTAAAATACTTAATTTTTAATATGAGACCCACCAATTTTATTAAACTAAGCTCTTAATTGACTTTATGTTTTTTTTATGTTAAGTTTTAATAAATTTAATAAATTAGTATATTATTAAATAGGTAAATACAATAGTGATTGACATTTTGCAAAGCGGAGCACGGGCCATAAACATCATCTTCCTTTGTAGGTAATCATATTAATTTAAGGAAAAGATTGTAATTACAAGCTTTAAACATTTAATAAAACAGCTTCCGAGGATCTTAATTACTTCGTGTATTAATAAAAATAACTTTCATGATGTATCAGTGGTACATCGTAGCCTACCGATGTCGTCGCAAGTAGGCGCGCGCGAGTCAAGGATCCTACCAGATATTTCCTTTCACTTGCGACAATGCATATACATACCTATCCGTATAGATAGTAGCTCTACCAATAGTCGGTATCTCTACGTCCAGCATACAAATACGTCATTGTTATGAAGGCTAATTAAATGCACAAAACAACTATGTACCTACATAGGTACTATAATATCGATGATCGCATGAGTCTCGTATTGTATCTAGGAAATCGTGAAGCTAGATTTAGAATTAAGATAAGGTCAAATGAAAAAGCTTTACCGCAAAATACCTATCGGCAAAGTTTGTAGACGTTGTTAAGACGTTGTACATTTGAATCGCAAGAGTAATCTGACAAGTTAATATTTTTTGTTTTCAGTATAAGAGCCAAGAGGGCCCTTCAGTTAATGTTAATTATTCGCTGTGGAACCAGTAACAACCAATGCGTAAACAATGACGTGTACATTTCGCAGAAATGGTTACATACAGAACAGCAAATCGTTTACAATGGCATGTATCCTTGACTAAACGAGTTGTAACTTAAATCATACAGGAAAAACGCTTATATACTCTTTGGGGCAAAAAAAAAGTATTTTGTGAACTCTCAGAACACTAATCGCGTTTGGGTCATGGTTTTAAACCCAAGAGATTATATATTCTGGCTAAGCCTTGACATATTCAGCGCATACCATTTATTGAAAACAGACGAAGATACGGAATTACAGACGCGATAACAACTAAGATGGTGTTAACCGAGACTGCCGCAAATACAATTGAATAGTGCGACATAATACTTTCACTGCTTTCACTGTCGTAGACTGCATCGTTATTCTTTGCCACCTTAATATCAACAGAACGAACCTCAAACTCTCTATTTATTTAGATGCTGCTAACAATACATTTTGCTTTTCATTGTCCTTATTC